TACCGTTTGGGAAGGGGTAACCCCAACTTGAAGCAGTGTCAACCAACAAAAACCAACCGCTTGGGACGGGGTCTAGTGGAGGAATAACTGCACATTCCCAAATTCGCAAAATGACACCCCGCCATTTCAACAAAGCCACCTTCCTTTCAGTGGTCAAATGAAGCTTGTGTGTGTGTGTGTGTGCGTGCATCTACCAAGAGAAGCAACACCTGGAATCACAAGCGCGCTCCTAACCACAATTGCGTCATTCAGGATCCCCTATGTTGGATCATGTTGACGCGAACAAAGGTAACGCCAACTATTGGAAGCTCATGTACAGACACGACTTCAGCAGAAGCGCATACGTGTGCCTAGCATAGGCCACCAGGAAGACTGCTAGCGTCCTGCGAGAACAAAATGCGACTCGCAAGCCTCTACTATGAAGCCGCCGTTGTCCAAACGTAGCACCCGAACAATCCAACGCACGTGTGCTTGTGGGTCAAATTAAGCCACCAGGAACTGGACCGCAGGTTTTGATCCACGTTTACATTTACCAGGCTTCCATTTGGATACCTAGTTTTGACCCACAGCCATGTGACATGTAAAAAATGCTGACTGCCTTGTCCTACCACTTTTGTGTACAAACCCGAAGGCATCCCAGCTTTCGGTATGCTATGTGATGACGACCCTTGGCCTCATTCACTGGGGAACCAAAAAGGAAACTGGGGATCAAAAGCAGAGAGAAGCCGTATTCAAAGCGAAATACATCGTTATATTGAAGCAATGGAATGTGCCATACATCGCATCCATGACTGAAGACTACAGCTTTGACTCTAGCTCACTTAGACATGTGCTAAGCAACAAAAGCTCAGACTATGGTGTAATTACGTTGGATGCGGCATTGCTACTTTCCCTTGAAAGTGTATGGTGTCTTTGATGGGAAGGATGAGTAACAAGTTTTGAATCAGCTGCATGTGCTTATTTTCAACCTGATGAATCTTCTGAGGACGCTGGTCAACCAACCCAAAGCCGATCCAGCGCTTGATTGCTATTCCTCCCTTCAGCCTGTGCAAAATTGCCGCTGGGTGCACTCGCGTGCGGCAAAGCCCCTGGCCATTCCGTTCCTTCGCTTCACCTGACTACATCCACTATAGCCATGTTGATCACCAACATGTGGGTGTGTGTCGGAAACGGAAAGTCTCTTTTGACATATACACATCCCAGGGCTCCCACAACTTCAAGGTCTGCATGTTGAGACAACCCCAACACCTCAACTGTCGCCCAGGCCATTTTGGCAGCGCGACATTACTGCTAGGAGCACCTTGGGGCGTCTACGGGCTAACGCTCGTCGCACAGCCCCAACACGCCGCACAAAGCCGCCCACAGCCCAAGCCGGTCCCCATAATAGTCTTGTTCTCCCACCAGGCGCGATTGCAGCCTTGGCTTCGGTCGACTGCAGTTGTGCTTGCGGTTCACGCGAGGGTTTCGCACAGAACGGAGCCGTCTGCGGCCCCAGCACAGCGGTTTGTGATTTCGATGTTTGACAATGCGCTTCAAGACAGCATGCTCCGGGATCGGAAGATGTTGCTTGTTCCCGCAAATTCTATGGAATGGTGTGCGGTGGATAATCTCCAACATCTGCTGCATTCTTTGGGGCGCTCAAAGGGCATGGCTGGCACGTTCGAGATGTGATCATGTTTTGTGTTCTTCGAACTGTACCAATTGTAGGTGCAAGCGTCAGCAGATTGCTCAACACGTGTTTAGTATCATCTGTTTTGCCCGAGTCACCTAGAGTGTCCCGGGGTGACACATGGTGGTTTTCCTGTTGGCTTCCCTAAACAACCAGCCAAAAAGGGCACCCTCGCAAAAAGGCAGACCCACATCTTTCTTTGAGACTGGTGTTTCTGTGCTAATGTCAAACTCTTATGCCTGAACAGACCCTTTGCTGGTGACAGGGAATGGATAGAAACCAGTCTAACCCTTCCCAATGGTCAGCATTCATTGACTTGGAGCTGTGGTCAACATCATTGACTTGGAGCTGTACAGATGGTTTTCCATCAAGACCTTCGATGCGGGAGAGTTCGATGCCGTGTAGCAAGCCATTCATTTTCAGAAAGCTCGGGACCTTTCTTTTACAGGTGGCCTCAGGGACCACAATTCTTGGTACTTGTACATCTTTCGAACCAAATCTGAGCCACAAATCCATACGAGAGTTCTACAAAATGAGGGGCACTCTTTGGCATCCCCTTTAAAAGGCGACACCTACCGGCAGGGTCCAAACGGGGGCCATCCTTTTGACCACTCCAAACCTCTGACTCCATCGAGACCCTCGGCCACGGGATATGCCGTCGGGTGTCGAGGTCGAGCGAGCTGAGTGCAGCACCCCTCTTGGAGCAGAACTTGCCCACCACGGCGCCGGCCTCGTGCTACGACTCGGACCTCTAACATGGTCCGTTGCTGTGGGCCAAGCACCTCTAACATGGCCTCTAAAATGGCAAGAAACCAGGAGGGAAGGGGTTCAGGGGGAATGCGCATGAGGCATTGCCTCTTTGAAAGGTCTGTGGCATTCTGTAATTGGGGAAATATATCGCGATGCTGTCAAACCTTCGCCACTTCATCTGGCGCCTTGAGCGACAATACCCCTGTCGAGTCTTCGGCAATGCAATGATGCAATCGTCCCTCGCTCTGAAGGCAACCAGCTCTGCAATGCTAAGCTGTCCATGTGGGTTGAAAAAAACCCGTGGACAACCCTTGTATCCTTATGCCTCAGTATCGGTCAGTATCGGTTTTTTTCCTCTGCATCGGTTTGCAGCGTTTTGGCAGCTCTGGCTAAAAAGTCGCGACTTTTCCATACAAGTGTAGTATGCGAAGTACACTCTGCCAGCTCCCAGCTCCAGCTGGAAAGTCGCAACTTTTCAGTACAAGTGTACTACACAAAGTACATTTTGGCAGCTCCAGCTGGAAAGTAGTAACTTTTCAGTAGTATGCGCAGTACACTTTGGCAGCTCCGGCTCGAAAGTCGCAGCTTTTCAGTGCAAGCAAGTGTAGTATGGTGTAGTATACGAAGTACATTTTGGCAGCTCCACAGCGGAAGTCGCAACTTTTCAGTACAAATGTAGTACACAAAGTACATGTTGGCAGCTCCAGAGAAGGCTGCAGGGCAGCTGGTTGGATTCGGCATGGCGGCCAATGAGTTGGGTATCGGTTGGGTATCGGTTTGGGTATCGGTTTGGGCCCTGCAAATTTATGATTCCGCAATTTTGGTTTGCGACAACAACTAGGACCTGATGTGTGTCTTCATGGCTTCTGGGGGTATCGGTGTTTTTTCCTCTGTATCGGTTTACAATGGTTTTGGCCTGCGAAACAAGTTAAGGGACGGCCCCTTACATAACGAAAAGGCGCGGGGTTGTTTTTTCAGCCCATGTGGATTCAAGTATTGGGCAGCTCCTTTTTGCCTCGCGCAAAGGTTCTCAAAGGACATGGAGCACTGGGGATCCCAAAAGAGTACCCTCCCAACCCTGCAAACTGCGGCACGGCATCGTTGTGAGTTGCCCGAATGGAAGATGTAGCATGCTTGGTGTTGACTGTAACGCGGGTCTACCGAGTGAGCTCTACTTCTGGCTCACCCCGAATCGATATTTAGGGGCCTGGCCACCAATCCCGTGTGTCGGGGCTTCGGCGGGGCATGGGCTGATTTCTCGAGGCTGGGGCTTCTCTTTGGGACGAATAAGGCCACAGCGACCTCTGGGAAGTTGGACACTTTTGAAGGGCTCTTACACCTTCTTTGAATTCCACAGGTTGAGCCCTCAAAGGAGGAAACCGAATCCAAACAACCCTCTGCTTCCAGCTGAGGGTGCCGGCCACAACATGAAGTTGGCAGTGATGACAGCATCCATCTAAAAGTCACTGTTGGATAGAACGTCATTCGAAACATACTATCCGCTCACTCACATGGAAGTTCTGAAACGGTGGAGCCTGCCAAAAACTGTGTTCCTTCCGAGGATGACAAGTTGCATACCAGGTGAGGAAGAACTATCAAAAAGGGAAGTTCTTTGACCACAGCACAGCCCCAATACAGCACACCCCCAATGGCCTAACCCCTGCCGGAGGTGTGGTTTTTATCCGAACCCGAGTTCCTTTGCGGCTTTCGCGCCATGCGGCGGGATCGGCGAAGAAGAGGGGGGCCAGAGCCCCCACGGGCTGCTGCATGTAGAACCTGCCAGTCGCGCTATTGAAGCAGAGGCCTTCTCAGCTCCGCTTGTTGGAGCCCGGTCCTTTGGTGAAGCGGCGGTTTCCCTTTACGAGCAATCCAAACCTCCAGGCGCATCTGAGGAAACCTGAAAGAAAGCCGATGGAATAAGGCGAGTGCAGCGACTGGCACGGCATGGGCGGATTAAAAAAAAAAGGACTGGCCATGCTAAGCATGCGAACATTTGTTTCACCCATTTAAAGTCTCTAGACAAACTGCTTCAACATAATAAGGTTCTGAGCTTGTCAGAGCCACATGATCCGCAATTCTAGAGAGAAGCTAACCTACCCAGGGACAATTCATTCAAGGTGGGTGGGCCAGGGAAAATATATACAGAAAGCTGCGGTCCTTGGACATGAACACGGAGCAACACCGGTCTTCTGATGAAGCTAGGAACAAAATGACTTTGACGTTATGGTCAATACTTCCGCTCCAATTGGCAAGGCCAATTGAAATGCCAAGCTCGCCGGAGAGGCCAAAAAGCAACGATGACGAGGTACACCGAGATTCCTGCGGGCGGAGCTAAGGTTGCAGACTTGAGAACTCAAGGCTAAGCTGTCACAAGCGATTCTGATGACTTCAGATATGCAGCAATGTTAAATCTGGTTGCGCAAAAATCGGCAGCCCAACCAAGTTGAGGCCAACCTACTGCAGAAACTGCAAACACCGATGGGCAAATCTTATGGGCAACACAAAATGAGCCACATTGGGTCTTCCTTGAGGATGAGGGCATGCGGTTCTCCACGGCTCTAGACAACACTTTGGAACCCCCTGATTATGGATCCTACCTGATGTCTATTTCTTTTCCTCTCCCGCATCATCCTCACACTGTTTGATTTTCCGAATCCCTGCGCCACCTAAGAAACCCTGGATTCTGATGATTCCGCTCTAACCGTTGGTTCTCGAAGTGGTGCGAAATGGATCTTGCAACCAGCAGCAGCAGTATGTTTACGCACAAAGAGGCTTCCGAAGCTAGGCCTGTCCGAATCTGTGAGCTAAAGCAGTGACCCCCGTGTGCTGTACTCTGCAGTCTCTGCAGTGATTTGTTGCACATACTCCGTCTTCTGTCTGATTCAAAAACAAATATGACAATCAGATTCAAACGTTGGATGACAAGCAGATTAGCTGACAGGCCATTTGCCAGTTCAAGCACAAAACCTTGCGTGTGACTGCTCCTACTTACTTTACTCGGACCATGCTTGCCCAGAACATAAACATGCGATCACTCGCTGCCACTTTTCTTCTTGTCATCCCTTTTGATTCAGCTTCATACCTTTTGCACTGAGCCCTCTCGTCGGTTCAGCACGTCTGGGGCACAACGACAAACCTCGTGGAGAAGAGGGGGGCAGGCCTTCCTGCAAGGAAAAAGATGCCTTCAGAGAAAGAGGGCGCAGCTCAAAATGCCAAAAGACCCCACCTGTGCCCAGGACAAGGGTACTTCATTGGAGTTGCAAACAAATAACTGGCGCGAAACCAAAAAAAAAACGCAACCACACACCGGACGGATCATCAACGCGAAGCAAGCACGCAGCCTGCCCAAGAGGCCCTGAGCGGACCCCGAAAAGCCCGAGCAAACCGTCAGTCCTACGTCGTAGACATCCCCGAAGCGGAAGCTGGGCACCTGTGCTTGGCTTCGCTTGCCCCGCCAAAAATTGAGGCTGATAGGGTGTTGCAAGGGGAACAAAGCACACAGCATCAAGTTGAAGACGGCTTGTGAGGAAGGGACGTCAATTGCCAGTGTTCTCTCTAGGGTGCTAAAGGACAGGAAGGAGGGAAATGCTGCAAGACTAGCCCCAGAAAGCCTAAAAAGAATGCCCTACCGATAGGCATACATCAGACGTTTTTCTATATGGCCCATACCGTGGATGGACGGAATCCTGCACCACTTTGGACCATTGGAAACCATTGTTTGTTGATATTTGCAGGGGAATCATCATTCCAGGGCTTCTTGGGTGGTGCAGAATTTCCCATCCACAGTATGCCGTAGGGTGTGCCGATTCGCATGTGGTAACAGAACTTGAAGGTGCAGTGTGGCTGTCAGAATTCAAGGGTGGCCAAATTTGCCAGGAGCGAGTCATTGCACTTCCAATGACTCACATTTATGTTCGGCAACTTGACAAGAAGGGACCCATATCACAATTAGCAGTCAATAGAGATTCCCGTGGCTTATGCGTGCCACACTCACGGCCCGTGCATCCGACATGGTCATGATCGCTCTGGGACATCCAGGCTAAGCGTGTCCATGTACCTCATGAGCATGGATTTCAAAGGTGAGAGAGGATGTTTTTGTAGAATGTAAATGAACCCTCTGGACAGGGCTGAACGGACCCATTTGGGAGTGTCCTGTTCAGGGTACTCCCAAAATGGCTTCGGCTTTGCGTTTGGCTTGCCTTTAAACCAACCCCCCCCAAAAAAAAACGGGGAACAAAACAACATCTTTTCATGAGGTATTGCCACCAGAGCTCAACTGCTGAGCGCCCTGGCCCATTTCGGGACCAAGCGCCAGGTCATGGCCAGGGATGAGGCAACTACCAGGTAGATGAATCCCCTGGCCACGGGATTCCGCCCCAAGTTGGCGACTTGTTTCCTGGGGACCGCCTCAAAACGCTGAAAAGCGTTGTGGAAGTCTGACGTCGGGCTTCCTAATTCAAACTACTGTCCATTCAGCCGGCTTTCACAGAATGAATCAGATACCTAGGTCAAATACCAGCATGTTTGAGCATCCCGCATCTCCAAGCAATTAGCCAATATCCATTATCATGCTCACCGAATATGTGATTCAACCGATGCGATGGCCAACGTATTGCACAATGAAATGCTGAGCATGGCCATCAAGAGGTTGACCAACGCTGCCCTGCCAAACTCCTGCGCCATTCCGCCATTCCCTCTGCACATGGAGTGCACTTGAAACGGACCATGACGTGTCTCGGTGCAAATGAAAAGCTCGTGATTCTTCATGAAAGGCTTGCCGTCTTGTTTTTCGAGGCTTACGTATAGTCTTGCTTAGTTTTAGAAGTCCAGTTCCAGAATCAGCAAGTGCTGCTTCTTAGGTGCTAAGAAGCACAAATCCACCTTCTACATTAGACATGGGCTCAGTGGGCTGCAGCTTCACAAGACAAAGGCACCGTAGGCAAGATCAAGCATTCATCAGCTTGGTCAAACATCGCATCCGAGGAAACACCTGTTAGAACTCGCGGAACTGCGACTATCCCCAACCACCACGCTAAACATATCGCCTTCAGGCTGTCTTGACTATGATCTTTCCGGATGTGAGCTACTTCTCCGTATACACGTGACAAAGTTAGAAGGATGGCTGGTTGAGGTTGTTCCAACCTTCAACCATGAGCCAAGAACAGAGCAAACCCTTATACACAACCTGGTCAGTCATCAACTTGTTCTTCGATGCAAACCACTCCTTCCATTTGGTTAAGATCCCTGGAAAAAATAGAAATATGTTCAGTAGTGATAAATTCCTTTTAAAACCAACAAGGGAAAATAAAGAATGTTCTTAAAATGGAAGAACTCTGGTAAGCCCTACCACAGCAGCATCACATTGGAGGCACCATGACACGTTGCGCCTGGCCAAGGGATCTCGGGAGTCCAGCAGCAGCATGAGGGCGCCACTGCCGGCATGGCACGCCTCGTGCCCAGCTCAGAAAACCGCTCGGCGGCTGGACCCGTGGTGAAAGTCTAGGTGGCCGTGGCACAGGGGAACCCTTCTTAGGGCTGAGTTTTTTGGGGGAAGCGCTTCCGCAAACATGTCGCCGTCTTCTGAAGTCACGTCCAAGTCAGGCATTGGGGTCAGAGAATACGCTTAGCAGGTGTCCACAACGCTGCCTTGCGCGAAAAAAAGAGACCCTGAAGATGAATTCGAAGTCAGCACCGTAGCTGGTTGGCCGTTGCCAATACTCGCGCCTTTTGAGTCTTCGCGTCTGGCCAAACTGAGCATGGAGGGAGCACAAGGTGACACTGACGACCCCAAACAAGCCCCAGTTGTAGCATGGGTCCGTCGGACCACAAAAGCCGTGGATGACTTATACCTTTTGACCAGTCTTCCAAAAACGTGGTGACCCTTGAACATGGTTGGGGGAACGACCCAATCTAATTTGGGTTTTCTATCCTTCGAAGTCTGAGACTGAACATGAATTTCCAAGCTTTCTGTCATTTAAGATAAGTATGATCCCTGAGAAACCAGAATTCCGCCGAATGATGCAGCCAAACAATGAATCCCCCAACTTGCCGGGTGTGGACAAGTCTGACAAGTGAACCTTGGGCTGGCTGTTGTCAAGGGACCAAACAGGAAGCCCTCTGAATCAGGCAGAAGGAGCAGTTTGTGCAGGCGAAAAAAGTGATTGCTCGTGTACATGCAGTAGATGGGAACGGGCGAACACACTCATCCATGAATCAAGACCTCACATCTGCGGTGCTCCAGCCTTGCGTGCAGCAAAAAGAGAAGGCAATGCCTGGAGTGTGAGGACAAGGCTGCGATCAAGACGAAACTGGTGTCAACATGTGCGCCTCACGCCAACTGAGATTCGGCACGCAAACGACGGAGTAGGCAATTGGGCTTCAGCAAATCTCAAGGCAGGATTCGGCAACTGCATGTGGCTGTCACCCGCGCAAACAAGACAGAGCGCTCGGATGAGTGGCTGTTGCAAGTTGCATGGCAGGATCCCGCAATCCTTCTTCGAACATTTGTCCCCGGCTTTACTGAACATCCAGCAATCTCAGAATCCTCGGAAGACTGCTACCGCTCCGCGCACCTTGTCCCCGAACTGGAGGAAAATCAGAAGCGCTGTCTGCCTGGGACAAATTTTGACTGCTCAGAATATCGGCAACCAAAACCATGTTTTATGTCCCAAAAGGGAGAAACTGTCAGTGTAAGATTTCCTGGTAATCCTCATCTGTCTTAGGGTGCCCGTTTTGGCGTCTTGGAGAAACATCAAAAACGGGACACCGACGCCCATGTCGGGGTTTCGTTCCCGCATCAGATCCATCCGAGCGCGACGCAGCGCAATGATGGTTTGCACAGAAAGCTCCATGGCTCGGAGGAAAATCGCAAAACTGGATGTGCCGAAAATGTTGGGTTCCAACCTCCCCTCCTATTCAAAGTCCCTATGCTCACATGCACCACGTCCCCATTGATTCCCCACGGTGTGCATATGAAGCTTGCTCAGCATGTCCTTGACCAAGTAGTAACTGTGTTGGCATGTTTCATCGCGATCAGCTAGCCTTATCGGCTTGCGGCGGGACATGTGCTGAATCTGAGCGCACTGAAAGACAAGTGAACACAATGACACCCTGTCAAGACATCCTGACTTTGAGGAGACGAGTGCAGAGGTCCAAAACCGTTTGCTACAAACAATACTGCTATGCAGCAGGAGATTTCACTCACTCAGTCAGCAACTAACTCAGTCACTCAATCAGTCACTCAGTCACTCAGTCACTCAGTCACTCAGTCACTCAGTCACTCAGTCACTCAGTCACTCAGTCACTCAGTCACTCAGTCACTCAGTCACTCAGTCACTCAGTCACTCAGTCACTCAGTCACTCAGTCACTCAGTCACTCAGTCACTCAGTCAACCAGTCACTCAGTCACTCAGTCACTCAGTCACTCAGTCACCCAGTCACCCAGTCACCAAGTCACCCAGTCACCCAGTCACCCAGTCACCCAGTCACCCAGTCACTCAGAGTCACTCAGTCACTCAGTCACTCAGTCACTCAGTCAGCAACTCAGTCACTCAGTCACTCAGTCACTCAGTCACTCAGTCACTCAGTCACTCAGTCACTCAGTCACTCAGTCACTCAGTCACTCAGTCACTCAGTCACTCAGTCACTCAGTCACTCAGTCACTCAGTCACTCAGTCACTCAGTCACTCAGTCACTCAGTCACTCAGTCACTCAGTCACTCAGTCACTCAGTCACTCAGTCACTCAGTCACTCAGTCACTCAGTCACTCAGTCACTCAGTCACTCAGTCACTCAGTCACTCAGTCACTCAGTCACTCAGTCACTCAGTCACTCAGTCACTCAGTCACTCAGTCACTCAGTCACTCAGTCACTCAGTCACTCAGTCACTCAGTCACTCAGTCACTCAGTCACTCAGTCACTCAGTCACTCAGTCAGCAACTAACTCAGTCAGCAACTAACTCAGTCACTCAGTCACTCAGTCACTCAGTCACTCAGTGACTCAGTGACTCAGTGACTCAGTGACTCAGTGACTCAGTGACTCAGTGACTCAGTGTCTCAGTGTCTCAGTGACTCAGTGACTCAGTGACTCAGTGACTTAGTGACTCAGTGACTCAGTGACTCAGTGACTCAGTGACTCAGTGACTCAGTGACTCAGTGACTCAGTGACTCAGTGACTCAGTGACTCAGTGACTCAGTCACTCAGTGACTCAGTGACTCAGACACTCAGTCACTCAGTCACTCAGTCAAGCAGTCACTCAGTCACTCAGTCACTCAGTCACTCAGTCACTCAGTCAACCAGTCACTCAGTCACTCAGTCACTCAGTCACTCAGTCACCCAGTCACCCAGTCACCAAGTCACCCAGTCACCCAGTCACCCAGTCACCCAGTCACCCAGTCACTCAGACACTCAGTCACTCAGGCACTCAGTCAGCAACTAACTCAGTCAGCAACTCACTCAGTCACTCAGTCACTCAGTCACTCAGTCACTCAGTCAAGCAGTCACTCAGTCACTCAGTCACTCAGTCACTCAGATACTCAGTCACCCAGTCACCCAGTCACCCAGTCACCCAGTCACTCAGTCACTCAGTCACTCAGTCACTCAGTCAGCAACTAACCCAGTCACTCAGTCACTCATTCACTCAGTCACTCAGTCACTCAGTCATTCAGTCACTCAGTCACTCAGTCACTCCCTCCTTCAAGTAGCCTTCGCTCCCTGCTCTCTCACTGCATCCATCCCTCATGGCAAGTCCAAATTGCCCTTGACGAACGCTGCCGTCGAATTCCGCGGAATTCGCCAGAGCTCTGCCTCAAGTCCGAGAACCCGAAGGCGAAAGTGATATTACACTACCGCCAAGGTTACAGCAAGAAACTGCACCAGCATCTCGCTACGCACATGGAGTGCCAAGGCTGGCTGTGGGCAAACTTTGTGCCTTTTGGTCAACCTCCAGGCCCCTCATGCCTTTTGGAGGCCTCTTAGACACAGTAAGACTCAGTTGAGGCTTGATCGAATTGGGCTGCCAAGAGGCAGCCAGACAAGTGGGGCTCCAACGTGCATGCGGCATCCAGCTTCGACTCATGACGGATGCTGCAGGTGTTGCACAAGACAGAAAGCCACTCGCACGAAGCAAGCAACTGCCCAAAGGCCGCAATGTGTAACCCCCACAAAACATGTTGGGATGGGACCCCCAGAAGAGCAACTGTATCTTTGCTGGATAGTGTGTTTGTGCGTGTCAAAATGTGTCAAAACAAGGATCCTGTTACACCATGTTTCAAGGCGACCAACCGGAAGCCAGCCCTTCAAAGGTGTCCCTGCTAGGTCCTCCAGTAGAGGTGTTAGAATAAGGGTACCCTTTCTTTCTGTAGTCTATTTTAGCAGGGGAACCCTCCCCCAAAAAAGGGTAAAGGGCACGACTGGGGGACCTAGCCTGGTTTTCAACACATTCCTTTCCAACTTCCCGTAGTCAAGCAAATGTTGCCCAAAGCTCGCCTCCAGAGTCCGGCACCAGCCCTCGCGCAGCTTTTTTGTTCTCGAACGAGTTAGGCGACTGCCTGGAAGCTACTCCTTGGACTCCTGCACACCGTCAGGCACATCCTTGGCGCGGTTTGCAGCATTCTCATCCCAGAGCAACGAAACCCGGACTGAGTCGTTTGGTGGAAGACTTCTCTTTTACGGTGGCCTCCTGCCCATCTCTGTGTTGTTTAAAGGGGGCCAGGCTTACTCTTGTTTCCTTTGGCTGAATATATGGCAGCACACAGCAGCCTGCCTAAGACTTGGCAAATGGAGTAGCAATACCTCCCCTCGTTTTTTGGGAGTCAAACTACAGCTACTTGGAGGGCTTGAGTTCGGCGCGCCGCAAGTTCTGCGGAGGACATGCAGGTTGAAGGCTACGGGTTGTCAATGTGTGGAAACTGGACAGCAAAACAACGTGCTTTCAGGGCCAAAGCTGGGGACAAAAGCACATGCCACTCTGGTCGCTGCACAGAGTCAAGAAGCCACTGCCGAGCATCTTTCCGGCTGTGCCCTCAAGCGCCTCAATTGCTTTGTCTAGACATGCATTCGATCAGATTGCTGCACCCTGGGTGCAAAAAGAAATCATCATCGAAGAATTGTAGGCCTAGCCAAACACCGGGGAGTGGCGCAATCGCCGGGAAACCTTGGAAACAGCGACCTGAGTTCCGATCTGAATCCGGGCGCCGGACTTTGAGCCTGGGTCCAATAAACATTTCCATCTGCTGAAGAAGTTTCTCTTCGATCTCTGGCCTCACTGCCGAGGCACGAGACGTAGTGTTGGCGATCTAACCCTAGAAACAAAAGCGCACACGCGCAAATATCTATGTATAAAAATGTAGGCATTCAAACAGTATCTCGACATGTTCGCAATATGGTGGCCACGAGAAAGCTCACAGGTGTTTGCTCTGCCACTCTGCAAGTGTTCGATGTGAAACAGGCACTCTCCAATCCCCAAGCGCCTTTGCTTCCCATGACCCCCGACTTCAAAATCAAGAGGCTTCTGGGCAAATGAGATACGGTTCGCGTGCTCGCAAGGAAAGGCATGCATTGCGGATGGCCGATGCTTGCAAAACCATGCAAAACCAGCCAGTTCAGCGGGGGCTTCCCTGTGGGGAAAAGGCAAAGACAAGCGAACTCCGCGTTGGGCAAGTCCCAAGCCTCTGTTCAGCTTGGCCATGCTTGGCGTTCATGGTTGACCCTCTTCCGTCCTAATAAAAATTGGATGCATGTTCCTCCCAGCTTGCCCCGACAGGCAGATGCATCCGATCCGGCCATGGTGTCCTTTCGTTAGCGGACACCCTTTTTCGTGGTTATACTGGGCAACCGAAAGGAGAACAGCCAGGCGTAGCGCTTTGCGGTCCAATCCACGCCCAACCATGTGCATCTGCCACCCCCTTGGATAAGGAATGGCCAACTTCATGCGGAAGGAGGCAAACACTCGCAACAAGGAGCAAGAAACAAACCAACACTTCAAGGCAGACAGGCAGCTAATCAGCCAGAAACCAGGCAGGGCAGTCGACAAAGCAAGCAAAACAAGCTTGCCTGCCTGCCTCTCTGCCTACACCCTCGGTGAGTTGCCACCCATAGCCCTGTCTGGAGGATCCGACTGTGTGCCCCAAGCCTCGGCCGATGCATAGGTTGCGCGAACAACCGTACGCCAGATCAAACCTCACCTTTCAACAAATGAACAAGCTTCCTGAGGGGCGATAAGACATCACAGGACTCCGATGAGAATCAAATGAACAAAGCTAGTGCCCTAATGGCCAACATGGACAGAATGTCTTTTCGAGAAGCCCCTGACGAACACATCCATAAGCATGGGTGCCAGAAGAATGGACAAAGGAAACAACTTGCCTCACCAACATACTCTCCTGGAAGGCAGAAAAAAATATATGCTCTGCTCACAGTGGATTGCTGATTCAGAGGTTGCCTGCATGGTTTGCAATGGCTTTGCGACGCGTGGCACTTGAGGCGGCCCGTGCCGCATGTGAGCTAAGGGAATATTGACACGTTATTTCCTGTTAGTTGGGCAGTTGCCAGTTGGTGCTTGCGTTGACACAATCCGTGCCTGTCTTTAGGGAACTAGCAACTCCGTTGACTGCGGAAGGCGCTATGGAGGAATGGGGTTTTGGCAAAACGGAAAGGCATAGCTCTTGGTTACAAGCAGAGACAGCCTGACTTTCAACCGGCTGGCAATGGTGACGCTTGAGTGTAGGCACACTCAAGACAATTGGTTGTCAATCAGCAGTCATGAATCACTATGTGTTTGACTTGCTTGAGTTTCGGTAGTAGATGTGCCCTCTCCAACCTTCTTCGAAGTGATCATGATTACATTATGGCTTCGGCTTCTATCTTGTCCAGACATGACTGGATGCTTTAACGTTTGGCATGTGTAGAGGCATGTTGCTGCCCTGAGAGAGAAGCCCAGGCATGGCGTTCTGAAAGAATTGTCTGAAAGTACGCATGTCTCACTGGCGTTGACACTTCGGCTCTTGCATGTAGTTGTATTTGTGCATGTGACTGCGCAGTTCGGGGCAGCATATTTCAGGCAACACCGTGGATATTTGGAGTCTCAATGTGCCTGACAGTGTTTGTGTCTGTTCGATTGAGCCAACCGCAACATGAGCTTCCGTTTTCTACGTCCGTGAGCCTGCCGAATAACATGAGTATCACATGGAGAAGGGCCGTGAACGCCTAGTCGAAACGAGGCTGTGTCGCTGGTTGTGATCTGCTGTTGTTGAATGCTCAGCCCATACAGGAATGGACAAAGAAAACGAAGAAGCCTCCAAATAAATCACACACACCCAAAAACAGAAATTAAAATACATGTCGAAACAAGGGGCCACATCGAATGCCTGGTCACGTGTTGCTTGGCAGTTGATTCCTAAGACAAAACATGTCGTTACTGTGGGACGTTGATTTTGCTCTAAACAGGGATAGCCCGGAAATGGATGGCGTCCCTTTGGGTTCCCGTTGATGCCGAAATGAAAGGGGAAATCTGGAAAAAAAACATCCTCGCAATGTGATGCACTTGGAACGCAAGCTTACTTCCAAGCCCCGCGCGAACTTGCTGAGCGAAGTGGCATGCCCAGCCTGACCGACACACTGCTAACAGCCGTCAATGTGCGGTATTGTGCGGTAGAGTTTTTTCCAAGACGAAGACAAGCCATTGTTGAACGTAATGTACATTAGTTCAGCCCGGATGCAACACTTCAGCCCGTGATTACCCGCGAAACAGTCGTACTTATTGCTGACAGCTACTCTCTTGAAAGCAGATCAAAGGTCCGTTGGAGGATGTGCCTGGTTCAACGACCGAGTGAAACGAATCACTGTGAGTTAATCTGTCAAACATCTGAACCAATGTTCCAGCGATGAATCCGTTGTGTAAACATACAATTTATCGGCCCCATCCTCACACCTGCTTTGCTTTAGGCCAGTGCAGGGTTCCCACCAAAGCTCTTCGCCAAAGCTCCCGCCGCATTCTGCACGCCTTCTCCCCGGCAGTCCACCACCATCCAACCTCACCTGACAGCGCGGTTCTTCTGAAACCGCGAAGGCTCCGAGCCCGAAGACTTCCAACAAAACCAGGGATCTGCCAAGAAACATCCAACAGCCACGAGGAAACCAACACATCACTCGTCAAAATTGTCAGTTGTGGCTGAAAGAGGGACCAACTACACTAGATTCAATCCCCGAGCTGGCTTCGCGTGCCTGCGGCTGGCATGTCCGGCTTGAGCTCCTCGCGCATCCCCAAAGCATGGCACAAATCGAGATACTCAGACACTTTTCGATGGCTTGCTTTCGAGATGGTGCGAACACACAAACCCTAATCATCTGATGCTGACTTACAGGGTCTCACAAAGTCTTGTAAGACCGGCTTCGACGTCACGAACGGTTGATGGTGCATTGTAAGATTGATGCAGATTGATCCTTGTAGGTTGAGCTCCAGCAATGTTCCTCACAGATTATCCAGCTTCCACCCAGCACACCTTTCAGAAAATGGCATCGTTCGTGATGTTGCCCGTCGCTGTCGCTTGTCACAAACAGGCCAACTAGCAGCACAGTGGACAGTCACGCGACAGCTATGTTGTGTGGTAGGCAGATCGGTTTGAAGAAAGTTTGCCAAGGCGGTGGGGGGAATTGAAGCTGATAGCTTGAAGCTGAATGATGCCGTGTCAACCACAAACCATCGGCTGGATTGGGACCCTCTTTAGACTTCCAGCAACTTTTGGCTGACTTGGGGCACACAGAGGTCCGCAAAAGCGACATATGTTTCACCTCTTTACGGCAGCGTGTCTGCAGAAGGCCCACTTGCAAACCGTTAGCTAGAGTCATCTGAAACTTTCCGAGGGAGATAACAACATGTGTCCTTTTAGGGGAAATAGATGGCCCTGGTGGATGATTAAGCCACCAGGTAAACCAGGGCCATCTATTCTTCTACCAAAACAAACAAAAAGGACACCTATGGATGACAATGATTGACTATGCCTGTTCACTTCGAGCAATCCGCACGTGCGGCCTGTCAGAACCTGCCCGGCAGTCCTCGAGGACTCGCTTTCGCACCAGGTTGGCATATTCAGCCTCCCACTCCTCGCACTAGACCAACCCGTCTCAAGGAAAATGCAACTTCCAGGAACTTGCAGTCTGGCTCCACCATCTGCTTTGTTGGAGAGGTCAGTCTCCAAACGGGGATTGCTTCGTAGGCTCTGGGAGGGGCATTAAACGACGCATCTGAGTGTCCAATCCTTGAAAATTTCTGTGATTCCAAAATCTAAGTCGAAGCAATGATCTACGCCCATCAGGAAACGTCAGAAAAAGCCCTCAAGACAATGCATCAATCGGATCAACAAAGAAATCGAAAAAGCCATTGTGGAGGGCGTCTTTGGACTTAGGATGTATTGAGGTCATAGCCATTTGGAGGGTTTTGCCATGGACCTCGGTCCAGTGTGCAACACATGCGTCTCAAGCCCCCTTGAGCTTTAGGCACGAGCCAACTCCCGGTTTTTTTGAGACTACAACCACGTTGGACGAGAGCTTTCTTCAAATGTCAGAAACAGGGCTATGTGATCCCATTCACACTGATGCGCTGAGCTTGAAAGAGCCCAAAACCCCTTGCACGTGCTGTGGCTTGTTAACGACAAGCCCAGTGGCTGAAAATATAACGAGCAAACGCTTTGCGTTCAAAGCGGATGGACCCTGCGCAAAGAAGTCGACACAGCCTCTACCTTTCTGCAGTTGGCAAGTACGCAATACTCGTTCTCCCTTCTTTGGCTTGACATCTGATAAGCCACGAAGTGCATAGTCTGGGGACCAAATGAGGAGGCCTCACACGCTCTCACATGGAGAAAGGACCTGCCATGTGCTTTAGTTGTGCGGCTGTCACCAAAACAGTCCTGTACTGAAGAAACGTCGACAACACATCCTGCTGATATGGCACAACTGAACAACACCGGTCTCGGAACCACAGTTCGCCAAGCGGCAAGGACGCAAACACTATAGATTGTTCTGCTGCTTTGTCACTCGATCTAAGCCACCCAATCCTCCCTCTTCACGTGCTTGTAGGACTCCTGGCAGCATGGGGCAAACATGCGTTGCGCCGGCAAGGAGGGGTGGATTTGCAGGGTGTGTATGATGGAGTCACCAGAAAAGAATGCACTTTCTTAAAATATGGCAAACAAGTGGTGTTTCTTAAAATGACAATTGATGAGCGAGATGTTCACTTTGCAACATTCAGGCCTGATAGTCACCACTTGAGATACAACTTGCAGCTTGGGGGGCGGCCCATTTGGATAAAAGGAAAACAACCGCCCAAAAAGGTAAGTCCAGCACAGAAAGAGATATAAGAAACACAATCATCACCTGTACAGTCAAGATTGCCTAGCATTTGCAATGCTCGAATTCAAGCGACACTGGAAACAAAGGGAACCTCTGCACTGGCGCGTGGGGTTTGATGGCAGTCGCGGCTCCTGCAAATTAAATGGGAATGGTGCTGATTTGGATTTGGGAAGCCTTTCGTGGACATCTGCAGCCACCACCCATGTTTGGGTATGTTCCAATCCTTGGAATTCACAGCGAGATGAAACGGTGTGAGTAGCCCATCTGACTTCACCGGACTTGCTTCTGCTTTGAGAGAAACCTCCGACAGGATTGTTGGGGCTGCAGGAACATGGAGCGCCTGCTGGAAACAAATGATGCTATCCGAAGGGAGCGGCTTCTATGCCACTTACTTGCGTCACAAGCAAACCTATGAAAGATAAGCACGCAAACCCATAGGAATTGCAAGGGCGGCCGCTTCTACTTCTGCTTGAACTTTACTGGCCTTCACTTGTCCAGTTTGGCTTTGGCTCACCCGAAGGGTGTGGCTGGTCGACGCAGTGCCGTGCCTTCAGGATCTGACATTCGCCCACGAGCCACAGCCTTGAATGCGCTACCCAATGTGAGCAGTTGTGTGGGCAAACACGAATTACTCCCTCAACAAGCTGACCCTTTGAGAGTGCAACCTGTTCCTGCCATTGCAAAGCTATCCCCAACCAAACTCTGTACACAAGTCTGACAGCATGTCATCCCCAAAACCAGCTCCGGTCGCTTCAACTCCTTCCACTCAGGCGCCGACCACTCGTGCTGGGTCAGCTCTCTCTCCCGGATCATGTCAAAGCCCTGGAGCCGATTGGGGCATGGCTCCGTCGACAAGTACTTCCCTCAGGGGATCGTTTGCCAGGCTTTATGTGAGATGTCCAAGCCCATTGTCCCCTTTCTGGTGGATGCTTCCAAGTCAAACCCAAAATGAAACCATACCCAAAGCTTTGGGCTTTCAAAGGACAACTCAAAGCCAACCGTTCAAACAAAAGTGCCTGACGTCCAACCGTCGAATCGATACACCAGGCGCTGGCCGCGCCAACCCCCAACTCCCGAACACTCCTCGGTGGCTCCAAACTGCCGGAGCAAGAAGTGGACCTGGCGGAGCTTTGGCTCCGGCTCAGAGCCCCCAGTCGCTTTCAATGGTATAAAGTGGTTTGGATTATCCAGGGAAAGTATGCCGGGGAGCATGATATCACTTGCGTCCCACGAAGCATTGGCCGGAACACTGCCAGCAACATGTGATCAATGAAGGAGGCTGCTAGCCGCCAGGGTACAAAATCGTGGATGGACAAAAAATCGTGCACCAGTTGGTAGATGATTCACCCTCCCACCAACAAACATGGAAGTGCGAAAAGGCCCTTTCCAAGAGGAAAGTAGGTCTGTGCACTTCCATGTTAGCTGGTGGGAGGGCATCCCATTGTTTTGTACGGCTTCATCCATCCCAAGGGGTGGATTCCGTCCACCCGCAGGAGAATCATGCCTCTCTACTCTTCTCGCGGAAAGTAGCCCTGGTACCAGGCGTAATGGCTATTGGAGCTAGTCAATGAGTATCCTTATCAACTGCGGGTGGCCAGATATGTGTTGACGTGGCAACCTTGCAGTCTGCGAGCAATCGGCACATGTGGAGCTGCAAATAACATGTCGCTGTGGTCTCTGTAGATGAACTTGTTGGGGGGGGGGGGGGCATCTGCGGTTCTGCTTGCTTTCCAGTTGTGGTTGTGTGCAAGGAATACTTGGCATTGTAAGTCCTTATTTTGGTCCAGGTATCTTGCATATTGCCGTGGGAAGCCGGTGCCATCTATGGTTGTCTCTTGCTGCTGCAAAGAATCCTGACAATGCAGCTTGGAGAAAGTGGAATCAACCACGCAATGATACGCGACGTTCTCTGGGCTTTACCTACCATGGCAAGCATCCAGGCAGGAAACCAACGGGTTAGTCAGGTCTGTATGTCTACAATGAGTTGCAACGGGGGACAAATCGTGGATTGCTGGTTTTCCCCAACGGCTGAAAGCTTTGGGGTCTCAGCCCAGATAGGCTCGGGGTGGTCCGGGGCGGCCCTGAGGTAAGGTTCCACGAGGGTTCCACCAGGGTTCCACCAGGGTTCCACCAGGGTGCCACGAGGTTCTGCGAGGGCTGCGGGGTGGTGCAAGCACTAAAAAGAGCACCGCATGCTGTTGGGGATATCACCCGAGCTTATGATTCTGCCGGCACCGCCTCATTGTTAGAGATCTCGTATCTCAGGCCCTCCAGCATCTCTGGCACCTCGCGGAAATGAGGCGTCTGGCATAAAGGCTTCTATAGGATTGCAGGTTTTTGGTGGGGCCCAAGGGCTCCTGAGTGACATATCCTGGTGCAATGGACGTGGGAAAACAAGCGAGCCTCCTCTAGTGAGTCCCCGGGGTTTGTGAGAACTTTAATAAGTCCCAAAATGACAACAGACTGCCGGATATTCTGACCGATTTGGGAGCGCATGCACGCGTAGCCCGCAAGGAAAGGGCCGTGGACCTGATCCCAAGACCATTTGGAGGCCGCGAATCCCTGGTACTTCTCTGGAGTGGTTGCAATACCGGAGGTATAGTTCATTCAACTCGCCCAAGTACTGTTTGGGATGGTTGGCAATGGGCCAGAAATTGGGAAACTGGACCCTGTTCACTGCAATACTGTGGTTGGACAAAATCCTGCACCACCGTCCAGAAAGCCTGGACTGATGAGTCCCTGGCAAATGCCAAACGAAAGCTCATGGTTTCAAAGTGGTGCGAAACAGATTTCGCAACCACCCACAGCATGGCGCAACTGGCCCCGGAGTTTCAGCCACGTCCACCGCTGCTGCCGGGATACCTCGTGTACATAGCCCAGGAGCCCAAGCTTGGATCTCTGCATGGCAGGGGAGTCTGCGTGGAGGGTGCTCCTTTTGCGCCCCTTTTGTGTGGCCTGCCTCCAAAGGAAATCAGGAACTACCAGAGAAAGCAAGGTGATAGCATGCCACCAGGCACCTCACCATCGTTTGAACCTGTTTACTTTTATGTGATGCCAGGCTCTTTATTGTTCTCTTCTAGAATGTTTGTTCTTCTCCACTACCACTTTCAGGGCCCGTTAGATTCTTCCCAATCCAAACCTCCACTGGCCAGGGGCAAAAAAGGACGGCCTGTTGGTTAGCCTGGATTTCGCCCCAAAAAAACACCAAACAACATTTCAGGGACCCTTACACTAATCCCCCCCCACAAAAACAAGCCCCCCCCCAAAAAAAAACACACACACACACACACACACACACACACACAAAAGCCCCCCCCCCCCCCCCCAAAAGAAAGGACAAGGGATTCTGACTAAAAAGCGGCGGATTCGAATCCGCCTGCTCAGCGGTCACCTTGCCCACCTCACGCTGCTGCTGCGCCCAGGCCTAAGCGAGAGACATTCGCGGGGATGCGAGTGAAGAGGGCAAAAATAACATGAGTGTTCCAGGGGGTTCCCTTGAATTCCTCGTTCAAACGGAACAACGTCAGTTGTCCCTTGAACTCCTCATAGTTCCTCTTCAAAACATGAGATCGCCGGGAGGAAATGGCGGCGCCACAGTAGGTATTAAAAAATTAATGTTCCCCCTAGTGGTCGCGGGAAAATTGGGTCCCTCATGTCCTCCCCCAAACCAACAGTTGGCCACCAACAAATTGCCACTTACTCAGGTGTCCTTTTGCGAAAATCGATGGCGCTGAATGGAGCCAAACTGAAACCAAAGGAACCCATCTATGTTCAACCAAACAGGCTTAAACAGGACACCGTAGACGGGTCGAGGCTGCTTTAACCTCTTCAGACTCCCAATGTGTTGCCACGGAGGGAGGTGATCCCTCCTAGGACAAGCACTAATTCAACGGCGGCTTGCAAGTTGGCTGAACACCGCACATCCCCAACCATGGGTCACTTGAAGTTTGCCCTGCTGTGGGCTTGAATGGGCTGCAGACTGCATTCAGCGCTTGGGACATTGTCAACATCAGACAAGTCCGAGCAACTGTCCCCGTCAAAAACATGTCCTGTAAAACGGGAGAATATTCCCACTTCAAAGACGGAACACTTCTCATGACCATCACTACCAGCCCAAGGAAAGGGTGTGCTTCCACTCACTTCCGTGCATTGGCCAGAACAAGTCTGAATTTTGTGTGTACATGAAAAACATGGACCTTCTTAGATCAAAAAACACGAAGCAATGGAAGCAACTCCATAGCACACCCGTCTCGCCTTCATGGCCTGCCGCTCCAGGCGACCTTCCTGGCGTCAATGGCGGTCCATGGCTGCTGAACCGTTTGGGTGCGTTGGGCCAAACCAAGAAGTTCGTCCTGGTCCGTGGGTCCTGATTCATGTCCAGCAACCACTTTTGAGGTGGTCCCAGAGTCCCAACTCTCAAAAGGTTCATGGCCAAAAGCCGGCTGTGTATCTCACTTCCTGAGTGGATGGGCCAGAAAAGTCTAAACTTTTTGTTCACCACTAAAATGTTCCAAACCCAAAAAGTGACGAAAAGTCCAGGAACTCAGGGAGTGAGGTATTCGGCTCGCCTGCGTCCTCTCCAGCACCAGCAGCGCGCGGTCCTCCTTCGTCTCTCTGGCGCGGTCCTCGGCGTGAAGAAGCTGAGCACCGAGTTTCCAGCAGAGACCAGCAGAGGCAGAGACAAGGAAGCAGACTTTCAGGGGTTCAAAGTTGAAAACGACAACCTCCAACCACCAACCCCCAACCAACAACCTCTGACCACCAGACCCCTGACCAACAACCTCTAACCACTTAGAATCGGCTTCCCCTCTTTGAGCTTGAGATCCTGGTGAGGTCGACAAGGGCCCCTCCGTAAGCTTGGGCCTGTCAACCGTACTGGCGTCCACAGGGTCCAAATGCGGACAGGCGAAGCAACTGTCCGCTGGTGGGTCATATCTGGGTGTCTTCTTTACGCGACCCCCCCCCCAAAAAAAAGAAGAAGAAGAAGCGGCTTACTTGTGGTTTCGGGTTTCGCTGTGAAACCCAAAAACAAGAGGCACCCTCAAAAAAACACACCCATCTACCAGTTTCCTCCTTGAAAGTCCGAAGCCAATGAGCATTGAACCATGCCGCATGCAACGGACACACCCCATGATGAGTACGTCGCATGGTGTCCGCACCCAGGCTGAAGATCTCAAGATCGCGCCATGCGTGCCCCATGTTGAAATGTCAAGATGGTACATGTCAAATTTGAGTGCTTCCTGAAGAACAAAGCAAACAGCACCACCAGTCCTTGCGCTTTTCACTGATTTACAAACATTCCCTCACAAAAATCCCCTTAGTTTCACCAAAAACCATGCCGTCAGGCGGCAACGACGTGCTGGTAGTGCGCTTCCAGCTCCTCCTCAGCGCGGCGCTCAGCGACTCTGAGCTTAGAGCTTGACGAATGCACCCAACAACCTGGACCCCCAAGCGGCCCCTTTCTTCTGCCTTTGTACTGTTTTTCCCCAACAGCTGAAAGCTTTGGGGTCTCAGCCCAGATAGGCTCCGGGGTGGTCCGGGGCAGCCCTGAGTTAAGGTTCCACGAGGGTTCCACGAGGGTTCCACTGTTGGGGATGTCACCTGACCTTATTTTATGGGTCAAAGGCAGAAAAATTGGCTTTTGGGGGCTGCAGGAAGCCGCAAGTGCGCAACACATCTCCCCCCGCCACAAGGCCTCATTTGGGATAGGTTGCTCACTCCGGGGCTCAACCCGTTGGATCCAGATTTGTTTATTTCTTTTGCGGAGCGAGGCGCTGGGGTCATGTCCAGCAACAGCTTCTCCGTGAAAATGGGCGTCGCCAAGGTGGTCCGCCATTCCTGCGCTCCAAATGCTAGCCCCAAGCAAAGCCTTCAGCAGGCAAACGGGTCTGCAACTGCGAATGTTCAGGTCTAAAGTCAGCCCAGCTTGCAACAGAGCAAGCAAACATGTATTTCCCAAAAAGATGAAACCGTCTAAGCTAGTCATGAGCTGCTCAAGGTTTGGGAGGGACAAGGACCCTTTTCAAGGAAAGCCCCGGAGAGTGGGGCCATCTGGAGGAATTGACACAATTAGGCATTCTTCCCCAAAAGGCCGGGTTCATTGCATGGGGATGTCCAAATATGCCCCTTCCCACCTTCTAAACGACGGAAACCAAAACGAAACCAACCAGTTTGGCGGGGGGTCCCCCTATTTGTGGCAACACCCACATGAGACCTGATGGATTAGCCAGGAGATTGGCTCCCGTAGCTTGATGGCAAGAAGTCAGTGCGAATGTTCCTCCACATGGCAAGGTTGTTGCCAGCCTTCATCAGCAATCTTCCCCGTGCCACAATCGCAAGAAATTCAACATGCAACCAGTCGGCAAGTAGTCTTCAAAGATTCGCCCATGTTTTAAGGGACTCTTTCTGAGTAATCTCTGGCCACCTCATGTTGATGGAGCACGCGCCCGCGCCAGTCCAAAGTTCCAAAGACTTCCAGACCACCGGCCGGAAACGCGCCTTTTTTTTTGGTTGACGTTGGAAGGGGAGCAAAAAAATAAATGTTAGCAGTTAAGTGGTTGGATTTCAACCACTAAACCACATGATTTGCAAAAAGGCCAGAAATGTTTCCCAACAACCCCCACGTTTTGCACCATGGGATTCTGGCATCGGATCCCAGTCCCAACGTCCACCTCGCCTCTGGGTCGACCTCGGCAAAAGCCGACGCAATGGGCTGAGCTCGGAAGTGGCGATGGCTTCGGTGACCGGTGCTTTTAGGCGGCACCGAGCTGAACGGTGCATGGTACGTGCCATTTTGCTGGCACCCTTTCTCTTTCTCGCCCTAGGTTGTTCTATATGATTTTCTTTCTGTCAGTCTTTTGTTGCTTCTGTCTTTTCGTGAATTGTCTTCCTCGTTCGTTCTGCCTTTCTTTCTTTTCTTCCTTCCTTTATTTCTGTCTGCCTTTCTTTCTGTCTGTCTGTCTGTCTTTCTGTCTTTCTTTCGTTCTGTCCTTATGTGGTTCTTGATTTATTCACTTACCATTTTATGTGTCTATCTATGTGTTAACTCATTTCATTATTTTACTTCTTTGCGTGTAAGTTATTTACTCAATTCTCCCAGAACAACGAGAAGAAAAACACGGAGCCACCGGACAAAAGCCACGAGTGCCCTCACAACGGTCTTTACAGAATGACCTACTCCCGTTTAAAGACTGTTCTCTGCACGTGCTCGCATTCCGGAGTCTCGACGGCGCTAGCCAGGGGGAACAACAAAAACACCAAGATGTACTCAAATGGACACAGGACCTGTATTGCAAGGGATCAATTAGGACTAGTAATCCAATAATTTGACATACGGACCCTTACGTGCTACTGTTTGAGCTGACACTGAGAGATGGCCTCCAGGGTTGCAAGAGTCCAAAGATCAACACTTCCCCCTGCACATAAACTTCCACTTCACTTGCAACTCTATCATACGAACCAAGAACCTTTGACATTCACTGCATTGCAAAAAAAAGAAAGGGGAAAAAAAGAAGAAACAAAAACGAGGACCCTTTCCGCCCGCAGAAGCTTTCTCTGGCCTTCTTCTGCTTGCAAAGCTCTTCGAAGGCCGACGGTGCCATGGCTCGCCTGACAAGCGTCGGGGCTTGCTCCGCGAAATCAACCAATGCCACGCGAGGAAACACATCTTGGACCGCGTTGCCGCGTTGCCACCATTCTGGCGCCTTGGCAAACGAAGGAAAGCTGTTGGTCCCTTTGGAGCATTCCCATGTGTAGGCAAGACTTGCAGAAAGGAGGAAATGCTCTGAGCACCACTTGCTCAATTGTTTGTTCCGCGGGAACTGTGGCATTCCGATGTTCCGATCATGGCGTCCAATTGGTCACTTGGGCCTGATGCTTGGACCTGTGGGTGGTCCGGGGGAGGTGGTGCGGGGGGGGATCAACGCTAGCACCACTGGGCTCAGATGTCCTCTAGAGTTTCAAGCTTTGCTGCTGGTTTGGTGTCTGAGCATTGCAATGCTCCAGAACTAGCCCAACCCAAGCCTGACGCACCTTTGAGCCAACGCAACAAATCCCTACATGCAATTGGTGGTCAAGCCTCATCTAGACCCAAACCAAACAAAACCAGCCTTGACAAAGCCCGAACACAGTCTCCCTATATACTGCACTCCAAGATAATTTAACCGGCTTGAAACCGTACCCGCATGCTTGTCGTGCCATAACTGAGCTCAATGCTACCCACCCACCAACCACCCACCCACCGACCCACCCACCCACCACCCCTCCCAACACATCTGACAAACGTGTGGTCGTGTTCCTGCCTCAGCACCCACAGTTGGGGCGAAGGGCCATCGAGCCAGCTTCAGGCCAGAGCAAATGAGGTCAGAAAGACACCTGGATGCATCACTGGATGGCAAATAAAGGCGTGCCATCACTGTCCTACAAGAAAGACCCAAACAGCCAGCATGATTGAAGGATAATTCAATGCATACGAAGTATGCGCGTTGGCCTTGAAGCTACTTCACATCACTTCGCCTTGCTTCGGTCACAGTCAGCCTGACACGCTTTGCAGCTTCTCTCTGTTGCCCGCGAAGCCCGGGGGGAAAGCTGGCAAGTGTTTCATGGGTGTCTCAACGGGTTCTGCCAACGTGGCCGGCGTCCTTTCGTCCGGGTCGACCCTCTCAGGGATTTGTGGGGACTTTGAGTTGCCAAGCTCCGAAGTCCCATCACATTCAAAGGAGTCGCAGAAGTCCGGCGAATTTCAATTCAACACCAGCTGAACAGTCGTGTTCAAACTTGTCCCCCCCTAATATGAGAAACCCCCACCCCTGCATGTCGGCATGTTGCAGTGCAGTATGCCAATCACTGAAGCTGTCAGAAAAACCTCTAGCCTCCCTTTGAAATCCCTCCAAAAGGATTCTAAAGGCAGTCAACACAGTCAGTTGAGCACCAGCCGGTTTTCTCCGTGCTTTGGCTTCCTGGCGTCTTGGACGTCCTAGAGCCACGGTTTTGTGGCAACGTCGCATGAATTTCCACCACATGCAATGCCAGCGAAAGGATCCAAGCTTTTGCCGATGACCTGGAGTGCTTCGGACATCCTATTTATTGATGCTTCTCAGCACTCACAAGATCCTTAGGTCATTGTGATTGAAGGCAATTCTGTGCCACTAGTCAAACCAAGCAGTATCAGAACCATGAACCCATCTTGGATCAAGAAGCACTGGGGTGACACCTGGCCCATTGGAGGGACCCCGTCTTCCAGGGGCCCCGCGACACGAACATCTGAGCACCCTAGGTGTACCACACCCAGGCGGCATGTCGGCTCACCCCGGGAGCTGTCCTGACTGCTTCAGTTGCTGGTCGGGTGGCAGCTGCTTGGCTTGCGAAAACACGGCGAGCTCGACAGCAGCTGAGAAATGCCATGCTCCCCGTTACAACGTCAAAATGCATTCTTCCTCATGGCAGGACCAACTCCTCGTGTTCCAAAGGTTTAAGTCTGGTTCGCCACGCATGGAGGTTGGTCTATTTGTGGATCCACTGCATCTGAACATCTCTTCGCCAGCAGCTCGCTTCTGAATTGGCAAAACCCATTTCGAAACCCTCAAAGAAATTCACGCTGGCGCGCATCTACTCCCAAGCCGGCCAAAGTCAGTGCCAATGTTTGGAACCCGGCCTTCCGGCATGCCGTATATAAGGCCCGAATGATTCAACCTGGTACCCTTGTGGGACACATCAAGTGAGACACAATCAAACCTGGTACTAAAAATGGTCTTCCCAAACCAATGTAAAGAGAGCTACAAAGGCCGGCGGCAGCACCTAATTCTGGTTGGGAGTGTCCGTTACTAACCTTTACTTACCCGGAATTTCATGGCTCGAGTATGTTACAGCATGGGAACTCCTGTCGGGCCGCGACATGCGCATCACTCGCCTGGCCACGGCACGTGACCCCCTGGCTGAGAAATGGCAGCCCCCGCGTGTCATATTGGCTCGCCTGGAAAGAGAAGTAGGAAGGCTCACATGAAAGATTTTCATGAAGCCTTTGCAAATGGAGAAGAAGAAAAAACAAACAGACACCAGCCTCTTAGGTATCCCAGGCAAACTACTTCACATGTTGACCCAGCTGAGCCCACCGAGAAAGTGTCGCCTTTCTCGCAGCTTGAGTTCACAGAAAAAGGTGAATGCCTTGCTGGCATGGCATTGAAAGCAGTGAACAAAAAGAGCGGCCCATGAAAACCTCGGGTTCCAGCTCAGTCGCCACACTGGCTGCATGAGCTCTTCTGCTTGCACTTGAAGAATATTGACGATTGCTTTTGGACTCTGGCGACACAACAGCGTGTCGCAATTCTGATGAACTCTTGCAGCAATCAATACTGCCTGAGGCAACACTCTCCCTGCCTCTTCAGGGGGGTGGCAGAACAGGTAATCCCCATACATCAAGATAAATGTCTCTCCTTTGTTTGGCTAATATTGTTTTGCCATCCAATGCTTTCCTTCGTTTCCGAATCGCGTGGGGGACGTCTCATTCGGGGCTGTTCGTTCAAAAGCGAGGGTTGGCCAATCCCAATCCACAGCTGGGAAACAACGAAGGAGACCTTGTCTTCTTCGAAACCTGCCAGGAAAGGATGTTGCAGATTGCCCTTGAACAGCGCAGCCACTTCTTTCCTTCCAGGTCAGTCCGGTTGAATTGGATGGATCCAACTGGCTCCAATCCTTCACAAACAGATTCCATCTGGCGACGTGGGTCAAAAATAGGGTAACCCCAAAACGGAACCCTGGCAAATGGAACCAAAGACTAAAACATGCCATCCTCTAGTGACTCCATTTTCACAAATACCCAGACCTGAGTTTCTCCAAAGGGAACCGGCCCAGATCCCCCACGCCTTTGGTCCACCCCTGTGGCGCCACAAAGCCGGCATCGCCCTGCGCTGCTTGTGTCAGCCAAGTGAAAAAGCTCGTTTTCGGACATGGGATTCCAGGTAAAAACAAGCAACCCAAGCAACCACACACCACAAGAACACCTGGTCATGGCAAATTCGCAGGTGGTGCGCTTTAGGGAATATGACATATGTTTTGGGGAGTCGGACACTTCGGATCGCTGGACCTTCCCCCTCAATACGGGGGGGTTGAAAACCGTGCTTGAGGTTTCTCCGGGCACCAGTCCAATCAAAAGTGCCCCGTTGATCAGACCAGTTTGGGTGACTTTGCGCTGGGTCCGTTTCGCAAAGATTGATGGAGGACTTGGTAGGAAGTGCCCAGACATTTCGTCTGCGTTGGACTTGAGCCGCGAGCTCAATCAAGAAGCCCTTCATGTGGCTGGTTCCCTTCTTGGTTTCTCTTGCACCAACCAACAAGGGGTTCCCTGTTTGGCGACACACCCCTCTTGTGGGAGAACCAGTTCGGGTCGAGCGTCCTCGGGCGTGGGCTTCCGCTTCAGAAGCAGCTCCACCTTTTCCTGGGAAGCAACACCGTGGAGACCGAGGTATGCCCGTTGACCCCGCGCGTGGGAAGATATTGAACGCCCCGCAACGTGCTTCTCTATCCTAGGTCGGTGGATTTGTCCGGGTGAAGGATTCGATGAGGACGTACGTACTTTCAAAGAGTTGTCCATTTGTGCGTCTTTTCTTAGCGGAAACTTCAAAACATTGTTTTCCTTTAGGTTTTTCTGTTGAAACCCCCAAAAGGGGGCACCCTCAACAAAGGAAACATGCACATTCTAAACGTGTGCCATCCACAACAACAGTACACAAACAAACAAATTCCAAGAGAAAAAGGGGGAGGGCCGCTCAAAAAAAAAACGGGTCGGCACGGCCAAATGGTAATTACACGGGGCAACCAACCCTCTTCGCCAAAATCATGAGCGACTGCATTCACCGGCAGCAAAAGCGCGTGAGGAAGCTTGCCCGCAGGCAGGAGCTGACGGCACTTACAGCTCTTGTGTTGCACTTGCCGGGCTGCTGTTTGAGACCCCAACCTAAGTCGCTTTTCCTTTGCCGCACAAGCAAATGAAGAGGTGGCCATGGCTCAAAATCCCGGTTACCGACCAGTGAACATCCGATTCAATCCCCACTAAAATAGGTTCTACAATGGGTGCACCTACCCCAAAATGGTATCGTATCCCATGAGTTTTGACCCACAGCCAGGTGGGTTTGACACTTGACGCTTCCAGCCCACGAGCCCGCTCCCCTTCGCCCGATCTCCTGCTTCATCTCCAGCTCGACAAGCTGAGCGTTGAGCCCATCCCAGCGCTGCGCCTGTGAGAGGTTGTACTGCGCGCTAAGAGCTCAGGCAGGGGTGACTTCTGTGGAAGTAAGCCAAACCTCAATTGCAATAGGTTACAGGAACTGTGTTTTCCCTGCGTCTCAAGCGTAGGACAGAGGTCGTGTCAGTTGGCAAGTGCATTGAAGCCTTCAAGGTATGGACACGATTCCAAGGATTGTTCCACTTGGTGCAAGGAGTGTGCCAGCATATCGCTCTCTTGTTGTGGCTTTTCACTGCATGCAGTTGACGGCAGCTTGCAATATGCACCAAAGTCAACTATTCATCTTCAACAAGGGTGCCAGGATTGACATCCAAAATGATCACTAAACGGATGGGAACAGCTTTTAGGTGACATGGTTGGCTCTCCTTCCCTCCATCTAGTGAGATGGAAATACAATCACGGTGTTCTGCACAAGCCACAAATCAAGCCGGGGAGAGAGAGAGAGAGAGGAGAGAAAGCAAGAAAGAAAGAAAGAAAGAACGAAAGAAAGAAAGAAAGAAAGAAAGAAAGAAGGAAAGAAGGAAAGAAAGAAAGAAAGAAAGAAAGAAAGAAAGAAAGAAAGAAAGAAAGAAAGAAAGAAAGAAAGAAAGAAAGAAAGGAGACGGAGACGGAGACGGAGACGGAGACGGAGACGGAAGCAGAGAGGGAGACAGGGACAGAGCCAGAGGCAGATCCAGATACAGAGGCAGAGAGAGAGAGAGGGAGAGAAAGATGAGACCCTCCAGGTCGCTTTGCTCATTCCTCTGCACCCTCATGTACTTGTCAGAAACAAGTTCCCAAACTCACTTACCTGGAAATAAAAGGTTAACCTTTTGGGACCTCTACTAAAAGTAGACCAAAAAGGGAAAACCAAAAGGTCAAAAGGTAGTCTTTGAACAACTGAGCAAACCTGGATGAATCAAGCTGAAACCCGGGGGAACGCGTCCATCCAACTCCGCCAAACTGAGTCTCCAGGTCCCCGGCCGCATTTGTCTCGGACTCCGTAAGCTGCTGCTGCAACTCCTCTGGCTGGGGGCTCGGAGTAGCAAAAGCCAAGGAGACACGCTCCCTTTAAAGCGCCAGTTTTGCAAAAGCCGAAAGGAAGAGCCTTTTTTTTGGCACCTCTTTTTTTTGAAAGACCTTCAAACATTGCCACCCCGACGTTCCATCAAGAGAGGTAATTAAATACCAAGTTCGCCACCAAACAATGTTTGTCATGCTGGACTCTGCCCCTTCTCCACGACCAAGCGATGTTGTCTCACGGACATGTCCATGTGTACCTATACGTAAACATGTACGTATACCACCCAGCAAATGCCGTGAAAGACAAACTGCCACTAAACCGGCCTTCCGACAAGGGTGGACTCTTGGATGGTGCTTAGGTCGATACTTGCACGACAAAACCTCAGGGCTTGGTTCAGAATCCATTCAGTATCTACCTCCCCCCCCCCCCGTTTTGGGAAGCTGTCGAAAACATTCTGGAGAGGAGAGTCGCGTTTATCCGAAAGGGTCAAACCACCGCTGCTGTGACTCTGAGAACTTGATGCGCAACTCACAAGGCCCCGTGCCCGCCTCCCGCCAGGAGATGACGTCCGTCTGCAGCTTGAGACTCTCAGGGCTGATTAGCTCCTGGTTGTGAAGCCCAGTCGGTGGGTTGGTTGCGGATTGGTTGGCTGGCTTGCTGGCTGGTTGGCTACTTGGTCAGTTGGCTGCTGGTTGGCTAGTTGGTCAGTTGGCTGCTGGCTGGTGTGTTGATGGGTCAGTGTGCTGGTGTGTGGCTGTAGTGGTGTGTTGGTGTGTGGGTGTAGTGGTGTGTGGGCGGGCAGGCTGGTCGGTCGGTCGGTCGGAAGGTGGTTGGTTTGGTTTGGTAAGTTGGTGCTTAAACAATAGTCGTGTCTGATGTGTGAACCCATGAGCACTGCATGATAAGCCTCCAATGCTGCCAATGACCAACTAATCATCATGATAATAATAAACGGAGGGGATGAACCCGTGACGCTGAGCACTCAGTGCTCTTCGTCCTTGTCAAAGCAGAAGTTTGGCTCTTACACAAATCCTGGGCCTTGGCCCATCAGCGAATGGCCCTCATGGAAATAATCAAGCGAGTCGGGCCCTCCCGAGGTCACAAACGCAAGGTGCGTTGAAACGACGAAATCCGGCATTTGTATAAAACCGTTGGGTGTTGTAAAAAAAAAACATGTCATATCGAAACAAGGGGCAAAGAACAATGAGCGTGCTTTCGCATCTTTTCGGCACACACCTTGACACCCACCCCTCAAAGGCCTCGTCCGGCATGCCGGCGCCACGCTTGAAGAGCTGAATCGCCTTCCGGGTCTCCTTGGGCACGCAGGCCTGGCGCACTTTGCCGAGCGCTGAGGGCCGAGAGAACAAGTGGCTGTGGTGGTCAACAAACGGTAACCCCAAAATGGGTTGCCCCGGCAAATGGAAACAAAATGACTAAAACCTGCTGTCAATTTCCTGGCGGCTTCATTTTGACCCATACGCAAGTGATGGGTTGCTCCATGAGATCCCTGAGGGCGCGAGCATGAAATGCCGACGCCGTCATCGGGAATCCAAAACATGTGGAGCACATGCTAATGGACTCCCCAGCTTAACATGGAAGTCAAAGGGCGATTTTCAGAGTTCGATCTTCGCCTGAGTAAGAACAGGCTTGCTGGTCAGGGAGACTCGCGCTTCGGCACTTCCTGTCCGATAAAATCCGAATCGCAGCTGCAGATGTGTGCGGGGCTTCGTGGTGTAGCACGATGGTTCGATCACAGCACACAGGTCATTGTCCAACTAGAGGGCTGTCCTTTATTAGAACATCGGTTACTCGGGCGTCATGACAATCTCATTGGTGATTCATTGGAATATATTCTACACAAAGAAATCAACTTGAAACAACAGCAGGCCATCCGAAACTGAGAAAGAAAGCCCTAGCGATTTCAGCTATCCCTACTGTAAACTACGAAGGAATTCCTCAATTCGGAGGCCTGAAAGTTGACAGTGCAAACCTGGAGGTCGCTACGGATTCCAACTGGAACGCGGGACCAATCACCAGCTCGTGCGTGGCAAACTACCCGACCCCAACCTGGTTCCCCATTCCTTCATATGCTCAAGATTGACCGTCACGCCACCAAACAACACTCTCGACCAACAAGCACAGATTGCTCAAAGAGACACGGGAAACATAAACGCCTTGAAGGCCTGTAGTTGTCTGCCTCTGCCCCAACCAGCCCAAACCTTGCAGGCTGATCCAGAGTACGACAGATCGGGAGATCGCCCGATCTAACCAAAAAGAGTAGCTGCTAGCCGGTTATACCCAACCAAAACGACCACGCCCAACAACCGTCGACCTCGAGAAATCTCTCGCCTCCATGCAGCCCACCAAGACCTTGAGCTCCTGCACCTGCCCATCGGCATTTGGAGTGGTGCCCACTGGGTGCGCGTGTGGCAACAGGGAGGTGAGTTGACAACAGACAAAAAAAAAACGCAACGGCATTGAGAAACCCAACCTGAATCATGAACCTGTTTGCAGAGAAATTGAGCTCTTCAACACTCATGTAGACCCCATGTTCATCAACATCAATTGATTCATAGCGGGGTGTCCCTGGGATGCCACTTAAACCACATCATCACCGACAATATCCCTCCACCTGCAAACATTGCCAAATGAAAAGCCAAAAGAACCTGCAACATTTGCTTAGTGGGGCTGTCCGTTGTCAGATCTGCTCAAGGTTCAGTTTTCGTGGCTTAAATGGAAACCCTAACCACTCAACCCAACTGAAAAGCTCTCAGCGAAGGAACTGGATGGCTGGGAGCCACCCAGTTTCAGCTTCCGTCCGGGCCTCACGGCGCAGGTCCTGCTTGAAAGTCTCCTGGCCCGGGGTTCTGCGCGACTCCCAAAAGCTCCGGGCTTTGCAACCCCGTTTGGCCACCCCAAAAGCGGTGCACTCAAAAAAAAGGAAAAACGGACACCAGAGGCTTGCTCCCTGAACCCCAGCAGAATTCGGCAAACATATCATTTATGCCCGGGAGGTAAAAATCACCCTAGACGACACCAGCTGGGAAGCGCGAACCGAGAAACCTTGTGGCTAATGTTGACCCCGGATGAAAAAGCCTGTCCTACTAGTAGGGGGGGCGTTCCCTCCAAATGTGACGAATCCCCACTAAACGGGACATCCCCCCTATTAATCAACCAGGCTTATTAATCCGAAGCTCCCACTAGCATTAGGCCCGTCAAACGAGGAACCAAGCCTCAGCCATCCAATCGGCCAACCTCCGATCCAAGTCTTGTCACGCGCTCGGCGGTAGCTCCCGCCTGGTCCTCTTTCACAATGGTCAGCTGCGGCGGAACCTGGCGACGTCCCGATTTACATGTGTCAAAAGAAGGAGCCCACATCTGATGAACGGTTACGAGCAAGCAGCATTGGAAACAAACGACTAAATATAAAAGAGTGAGAGAGACAGAAAGAGGTAACTAAATAAAACCTGCATGCCTGACAGAATGACATTGACATCTTGAACGCTGGACAAAACTGCAAAACTGCAAGCTTCTCAAGCGAACGCGCCGTGCGAAAGGCGTCATTTACTTCCATCATTATCCTTGCCTAAGCTTTGTTTGGATAGCCTTGAGTTCACAGCAAAACGAAACCGCTACACGTAAGGGGTCGCCATGCCTGTTTTCAATGGGATGTAAAATCAGGCAAACTTATTGCTCAAAATCTGAGCTATATTGGGGCGACGCCATAGCTTCAAGTGTTGGCACCAACCCAAATGGCGCCGCTCCCGTCCATTGCCCTGCCTTGATATTGTCAAATGATATGGTCTGAAGCTTAGACCAAAAATGCCCAGGTTCACAAGTACAAGTACACCTTGCCAACGCACCTCCAATTTTTGGTGGATATAAGCCCCGATGGTTTCTGCCAAGTCCCATGTCCCCTGCAAGCAAATAACAACCTAGCAGCAAACCCTGTTGAGTTGCCCTAGTAGCAATTCGCTAGTCAAATGACGTTCCAACCACAAACATTTGCCATCATTGCCTGCTCTACAAGATCCACGGACACAGGCTAGTTGAGTTGGAAGCCCCTTTTTGGGCTTGTGCTTCAAGGAAAACTAGGAGGAAACTGCCCATTTGGAGACCCACCACAACGCATGTGCTCTCGCCTCCCTCACAGCGTCCACGTCCAGCTTCCCCAGAACCGTCTCCAAACGGTGGACCCGGTTTGCGATCTGGCCGAATCCGGTCTCGGGAGTCTTGTCATACCCATTGAAACTGCCCAGTGCGCTTCACTACATATGCTGCAGGATTCCATTGGCAAAGTTGCCCAAGTTGAATTTTGGAGGCAAACCTACTGGCTTGCCCCTTGCCTGTTTGCAAGCCCACAAGTTCGCCCAAAGTCACCAGTCTCGCATGCCTGCGGTGGGTAGGGAGAGAGAGAGACTTAGATCGTGATTCCCATCCCTTTCTCAGAGTAGGGTACCGTGAAAAACCTCCAATCAAGAACCCTTTGAAATTTGGGGCTTAGGCTGAACCAAGGCCAACTGAAGAAAACAAAAGCAATCCTCAGCCTTCCAACTAAGGCCAGCCTTTTTCCCCACCCCTGGGTCCAAGACCAACCAAAGCGCTGCCCATTCCTCGCTTCTCCCACGGGTTCGAAGCGCGAGGTTCGCCTCCGGGCTGCCCATGGCTTCCAGCTGCTGCAGCCGTCCCTGGCGAGCTGGCTCCCCGAGGCCGGGGCGAGTCACTGGGTCCTCCAGATTTGAGAGCTTAGAATGAGTCGGTACCCGTGTTTTTTTTTTTTTTTGTAGTCTATTTTTAGTAGGGGAACCCAAAACCCCAAAAAAGAAACGGTAAAAGGGCACTACTAGGGGGCCTAGGTCATATAAAGGATGGGCCCTCGTTCCTAGTGACCCGGCAATGGGTGCTCAATGGATAGGGGGCAATCGCGGCTTGTGGTTGCAGTTGCGGCCAGTATCTTGTCTTGCGGGTCCCTGATGGAAACCGCCGCTAAACAGCCAAAGGAACAACTGCCTGCGGTTGCCACTAAATCACTGGGCAAAAGGTATGTGTCGTGACAGCAAACACATCCACCAGCCGGCAAAAGTGACAGCAGGTACTGCCAAAGCAACCTGCATCTAGGAAGAAACTCCGATATCATCCCCAAACTCAGATGCTCGCATGCCCTTGCAGGTGTGCTTTCACATCCTTTGTAGCATTTTCGCAGCACTCAGTGCTACTGCCATGCTCAGCATGTCCATTTCGCCAAAAAAACAAAAAAAAATGAGGTTCCTGAGATCCAAGGAAGGTGCCCTATGTCTCTTCTTTCAGCACCCTTGCCATCAGCTGCCTCCAAGGTGAGGCCCTTTCTGTTGGCCACCAGCTGGCTGATGCCTCAGGCGACACAGAACGCCCGGTCCTCACATTAGGTGGGTCAAAACCAAGGAAACCCCTGGTGAACATCAAAATAGGTGGCAAATGGATGTTCATCCACCCAAAAATGGAGCCATAGGTTATGGCCCATGTCCATTTGAGATGGCAAAAAACGACGGGAGCCTGGGTCGAGGCCCCCGCGCCGTTCCAGCCACTCCAGCTTGTTGGGGACAGCAGTCGCGTCCTGCCGTGCTGGGCTGCTTTTGAGAACCCGACCATACGCTAAGGGAAAGCCAAAGGTTGGGAAAAATGCGGGAGCCATAGTCAGTTAGCTTGCTGCTTCCTCATATGGAGCCTATGTCAAGGTTCCGCACAACTTCCCGTAAGGCGTGTGGCTTTCGGAGTGCATAAGACTGAGTTTCTTGTGAAAGGGCGACAGGGAACGGAAAGGTCCCGCAAGCCCTTGGCAATGTTGCTCAAAAGGGCTTGCACTCGGAAAACATGGGCCATGCTGACAACAATATGCAAGCGTCTGGGCTACCAGGAACACTACCAGTCATTGCGGCTTGTTCAGAAGCCATCCTAGCAATTTGCTTGGCTAGAAGCAATCAATTGCTTTGGGGCCTATGGCAGTGATTTAAATGCCACAGCTGCATCCGCCAGGTGAGATGACACATTGACACTTGGTTCTACTGAGGTTGCAAAGGTTATCCCCCAAGCGTGCAACCAGGCAGAACCACAAACCAAAATGACCAATGAGGGTGCTGGGCGCTCCCTTGGTCCTGTTCTTACTTTCCAGATGGACTTCATGATCAAAAAGCCAGCACACTGACCACACGTTCACATGCAGCGCTCTAGACTCCAACTTGCCGGCCCAGAACAAGCTCCACTGGCCTCCTTGACACATCAGCTTCAGCTTGGAGTCATGGGAACCCCCCTGAGACAGTCAACTAAAAAAGAGCCACACCTGGATCACTTCATTATGCAGCTGCGGATTGACTCCACTTCACAAGCAGAAAGCAGTCAACATACTGCATGGATCCTCAAGGTTCTGGGGACAAGTCAAACTTCTGCAGCACGACTTGGAAGAAGCCTCTACAGGAATTCTTGAACAGCCTCGCTTCTGCGAATCATTCACACACCTACGGTGTGGCGTCCATAGTCGCAAGAAGGCCAAGCAGTGGAACGTGAACTTGGCGCTCTCTGCACCTACAAGGATACAGTTGATCAAAGCAGGGGCTGTAGTCCCCATCAAACCCGGAAAGCTACAATGGTCCGGCAAACGCTCCAAGCTCCATCACATGGCTGTGGTTTTATACTACGTCCGGAGCAGATACGCCGGACCCGGCCAGCAGATAAACAAACGGAAGTTAAACTAACCCCAGCGGCTGGAGCCCAAACAGTCAAAGCCCAAACAGTTGGAACCCCAGCCGTTTGAGCCCAAACAGTTGAAGCCCAGCCGTTGGAACCCCACAGTGGGAACACCGACCCATGGGGACTGTTTGTTGTAGCCTCCACAATTGGAGCCCAAACAGTTGGAAGTGGGAACTCCAACTGTTTGTTGTAGCCCCCACAGTTGGAGCCCAGACAGTGGGAACTCCTCCAACTTGCCTTTCCGAGTGAACATACGGACACTTAAACAGATGTTTTGGACTATCTCCGACTACCGAGCCGCGGGCCCCGGCGCGCAGATTTCAAGTAGCCGGATTAAGCAGGTATTGCATGCTACCTTTGAGGCCACCGGCCCCCCGCCCTCCACAGATTTATTTCTGGACCCCGTACCAACCAAAATGGGTTCCCCATTGGTTTTGACGCACAGCCGCATGAGAACTCGTCCTCCTCTGGTTGCTCGCCGGAGATGTACCGGAGCAGAGTTGAAAGGCTGCTGCGCCTGAGGCAAGCCGCTCGCGGTTCATCTCAAAACCCGTAACAAATGAGCAGCCCAAGCACGCAGATGCCCAAGGAATGAAGGAATGTGCTGTGTGCGCATGAAGATGCCTCAGGATTTCCCATCCTTCTTCCAAACACAAAGTCACGCTTCAAAATACTGCCTATGTTATGCGAAAGGTTTAAGGTCGCAACGCACAACTTGGGGTGGTTCTGAGGTCTGTCGTTTCGCAGCATCCTCGTAGGACGATATCCCTGAAGCAGTTGATTCAACAAAATCGTGCTCATCTGCTTTGCTTCTGCTCTATGGTGTCATCTGCATGGTTGCGGAACATATTATCTACTAGTTCCCTTTTGGTGATACCAAACAATTGGGCCATCCCCATGGCCACAGAAGCCAGTTCAGCTGGCAGCCCTGGGTAGCTCGGCCGTCTGTTTGCACATCGCCAGAAGATTAAAACATATTCACCCGATGAGGACATTTTCTTGGGGATCACGGTTTTCGCATCTGGTGTGTTGGGAATCATAGCACTGTGGAGATGTGACGGTCTGCCTTGAAACCTGGTGAGGCAGTCTGCAGTCGGCAGAAAGAAAAAAACACACACACACACACCAACGGAGTCTGTAATCATGAACGCAAGCTTCGTTCTCTGCGAATCTGGCCATTTTTCAAAACATGGTTGCTTGTTTTTCCCGGTTTTAGCGCCACTTCCCGTTATGATGCAGTCGGAGGGTACGTCAGCCCCAAACTGAGGCCCTAGCAAGGTGGAGACTTGGGAGACTGAGGCTTGCAAATCCTGGCCGGCTTTTTCAGCGACTCCATGATCCGTGCATGGAGCACATGTGTTTTTTGGGGAGGGCCCCCCAAAAATGGGCTGTTGTCCTTTTGGTGTCGGCAAAAAAAGGCACAAAATAAGGTACCCAACAAAAAAGGGACATCTTGAATAAGGTACCCCAGAAAAAAGGGACATCTTGGAGGGCAAAAGAAGACAGCCATACTACTTATTGGTTGCTGCACAGGTGAAAATCCACCAGCGGATCGGTCGGGACCCGGGTCCCGATCCGTGTGAAACCGCTGGAAACGATCTGGCGAGTTGTGCCATTTGGCTGCGGGTCAAAAATCGGGTAACCCCAAAATGGGTTGCCCGATCGGTAAATGGAACCGTCTAAAACCTATGGCCCAGTGCTTTAATTTGACCCATTTTCATGTAGTGGCATGGGATGCGACTGATGGGCCATCTTGAAGACAAGCGGTGTGGAGACATCCATTGCAAAAGCTGCACAAAGCACTTTCCAAACGTCATAAGTTTCAGAACTCCTGCGAGAACTCGCAAGCACCCGGCAAAAAATGACAGACAGCGACGAAACGGCCGAAACAGGTGAAAAATCGACTCTCGTGTGATAAACGTGTCATGCCGTGTCAACTAATCTGTCCAAGCACGCATACGCCAATACGAAAAGGCTTCATGCGGGCCACGCGAATCTGCCAACCTCCCGCCCCATTCTTCAAGCGAGCCATGAAATCCATAGGACTGCGGATGCTGCAACGTTCTCCGCTTTGTGTCTTCAGTGTGGTCTTTCGGACACGTCCGAATAGTAAACATCAATGTCAGAGTCAATCATTGTTACTCTCTGTTGGGTGACAAGGCTTCAAACGAGTGCAAATCAAATGAATCCAATAAACTTCCCAAAAGGGGTGCCTGGGAAGAGTCCAAAAAGACTAGCCTGGATCTGGTGAGGGTCGCTTCTTCACTCGACTGAAAACGCTCGCGTCAGTCGAAGCCTCCGCAAGAGAAGCATGGCTCGTCTGCAGCTGGTTCACGGGCGCCTGGCCATCGGTTTGGCGCTTGGCCATTGCTTTGAGGTGGGCTGGGACTTCCCTTACTCACCTTCACTTACCCGGGTTTAGATTATGCCACATCTGGTCTCCGAATCCAGTGGTCGCCACAAGTTCCAAACACGACTTGAGACTTCCGCGGCCTACCCCACGCATTCCAAGGGGGGCCACAGGAAACGTTTTGCACGCGCCTCCCAGGCAGAAGTCTGGACCTGGCATCGGCATCGGCAACTTTACAGCTGCACAAGGACAGTGAATTGCACATGAATTCCATCTTTACATGGGATGACCACGGGGGAAACGACTAAAACTGTGATATTTTCCACTAAATGGAAAAAGTTATCCATGGTCATTTGGGGGCCAGGAATATTGATCAACCCCCACATCTCGAATCTTCGCTCAACTTGCAGCTTAGGGTTTTGGAATACTTTGATTCCTACCGGGGGCAGATAGAAATTTAGGAATCTGCAAGCCCAGCTGACGCGGCCAAGCCCGACACGGCGCCGCGGTCGAGATCAAGCCCTGGCATCCTCCGACCGCAATGCACGGGCCTGCTTTTGTGGCCGCACGGTAGGTATGCCTCGGACATCTCAGTTTGGAGCTGCAGCGCACAGGAGCAATGATGGGCTTCGTGCGCTGTTCGGCGCATGTGCTTCGCTGATCCCAATACTGGGTTACCCCGCCCACTCCACCCCACCCCAGCCAACACAGCCCCACACAGCCCCACACCGCCCCACACCTCCCCGTCCCCCTCCAACCCACATGAAACATGAACTGCATGGTTTTAACATCACCCACAGGCGGGACCGGCGTCAAAACACAGGTTGCCTGACTTGTCTGCCTAATTTGACTGAAGAAAAGTCTGAAGAGGTAGAGACTTAATATACATCGACTTCCAACAAATTGTGTCTTGTGTTTATGGGCACCAAACGGCACATCCGTTTTTTTTGGGTGGTCCCCTAAAAATAGATCACCCAAGTTTGAGTTCAAAACCTCAGCCCCGACCGGCCCGCTCTCTGGGGCGCCCGCTCACCTCCAGGCGCGCCATGCGGTTTTCAACCTGGGCCCCACAAGCTCCATAGATTCACACAGCCACATACCCGTCGCGCATGTGGACAGGTGTGTATGATGCACATATATTTCAACTTGTCAAGCACATGTGTATATATATATATATATTCAAAAAAAAAAGGAAAAAAAACAGTTGTATGTAACGCAAATATGACTCGTTGAATGGCAACATGAGAGAAAACCGGCCAAGCCATTTCACTCTACCTCTAGTCGCTAGCTGTCGGAGCTACCTGCATGGGCGATCCGGTACCAGCGACTAGCAGGACATCGCGTATCGGTCACCATGTACCAACAGGCATTCCCTGGCAGCGAGCCAGCCACTTAGTTGCACAAGATCTACTTATTGTTTAAGTGCCAGCCAATATATGAAGTGCTAACTTTAAATGACACTCCAGTGGTGGGATGCATTTTGTGTTTCTTGGACAAGACGTGTTGAATTGTAGTACCATTGTCATAGCAGGGCTGCCGTGATGCAGTCTTGCAACTGCCATTGAGCGGATGAATGCTAGTGACACGTCCACACATGCAACCAACAGCCAACAACCAAACTAAACGGATCAGACAATTCGGCGCCAGCACACGATCTCAATGCCCCTCATGCATGGCATGCCAGCGAGCGAGCTCATGTCAGCGGGAAACAAGTGCCCAAGAAAGCCAAGCGAGCGATGCCGAGCAAACACGCAACCCCCAAAAGGAAACAAGTCACAAGCCCCATGTCAGCGCAACGCATGTCGCAGCGAGCCCGGCCTCGCCGATCCGCTGCAGGGTCGATAGGTGCACCTCTTGCTCAGACCGAGCGGCCATCCCGAACTGAAGCCCAGAAAGCGGAAAACTGTGCTTAACACATGCCAAAAGTCAGTCGTATACGTCGAGCATTCACTTTGACTTGCGCTTTCGTGCGTGCCAACACGTGCCATGAATAACTTCGAAACTCGGCTTTCTCTTGGCTCAATACACAGAACCACGCGCACACACACACACACCCAAAAAAACTAGAGGACGATTGGCCCGAAAGCATTTTTCCCCAGGTGCTCATCCAGCCGCGGAGACACCTTTTACATCGCTGCGGCGAGCGTGTCTGCACGCGGCGATGCTCAATGTGTATGGTCACATGAGAGCTCCATCTCATTGTCCTACCAGAGGAAACATGGCAGTGCTCGATCCCACATATTTACATCCGTTAAAACAAGAATAGTAAGCTCGTAAAGCTCGAAACGAATTACAAGCAAAAGGAAAAGCAATCAATAGCAAAGCTTACACGACGGCCACAGTTTTCTGCAAAGCACGCTCGCGCATCTTAGCTCTGTGCAAGATGGCTCTGCGCAGCTTGGCTCTGTGAAAGTTGGCTCTACGCAAGCTACTTTTCGCGAGTGGCTCTGCGCAACTGGCTCTGTGCAAGTTGGCTCTGCGCGAGTCTGCTCGGCGCAATGTGCTTTGCACGAACTGCGCCGCGCGATTTCTCACGAAAGTGGTCTGCGCAAGCTACATTGTTCCAGGCTGCTGCGCGCAAGTTGCTCTCTGCAAGCTGCTGCCCGCAAGTGCTCTGTGCAAGTTGCTCTGCGCAAGTGCTCTGAGCAAGTTGCTCTGCGCAAGTGCTCTGCGCCAGTTGCGCATGTGCTCTGTGCAAGTTGGTCTGTGCAAGTTGCTCTGCGCAAGTGCTTTGTGCAAGTGCTCTGTGCAAGTTGCTCTGCGCAAGTTGCTCTGCGCAAGTGACTCTTTTTGTACTTAAAAGTTGCGATTTCCCAGCCGGAGCTGCGGGAGTGTGCTCCGCGTACTACGTTTGTACTTAAAAGTTGCGATTTTCCAGCCGGAGCTGAGGGCATACTACGTCTGTACTTAAAAGTTGCGATTTTCCAGCCGGAGCTGCAGGAGCACGCTCCGTGTATTACGTTTGTACTTAACAGCTGCGATTTTCAAGCCAAAGCTGCCGCGCACCAGGGGGGAATCGAACCCGCGACCGCGGGATTGCGGCAGGCGCGCAAACCACGAGACAACTTCCAAAGGCCATTTCGCGAGCAACAAAATCGCACGGCGCCACAGCGAAAGCGCTTCGACACGCACGATCTCTGCAGAGGGTTCGTTGACACGCACGATCTCCGCAGAGGGTTCATCCGGGAATGTCAAAAACGCAAAAAAAAACTTGAGTTTTTGCACGTCGACCACGCCGATCTCCGCAGAGGGTTGCGCGGGCACCGACAAAAACGCCAAAAAAAACTCGAGTTTTTGCACCTCGACCACGCCGATCTCCGCAGAGGGTCGCGTGGGCAAATCAAAAAACGCAAAAAACCTTGAGTTTTTGCACCTCGACCACGCCGATCTTCGCAGAGGGTCGCGCGGGAATATCAAAAAACGCAAAAAACCTTGAGTTTTTGCACCTCGACCACGCCGATCTCCGCAGAGGGTCGCGCGGGAATATCAAAAAACGCAAAAAAAACCTCGAGTTTTTGCACCTCGACCACGCCGATCCCCGCAGAGGGTCGCATTCCCGATCGTCGGCAACATCCCCACCCCCCGCCTTAAAAAAAGAGTCTTAATACCGAGCTCTTTCTCTTTCTTTCCCGCGCGTTAAGTACTTAACCTAGCTTACTTAACCTAGCTTACACAGCTGCCAACGCCGAGCCTCTACACCTAGCTTAGCTTATCTCTATGCACCTAGCTCTATGCACTTGGCTCTATGCACCTGGCTCGACGCACTTCGCTCTTTGCACTTGGCTCTGTGCACTTAGCTCTGTGCACTTGGCTCCTTGCACCTCGCTCTTTGCACTTCGCTCTGAGCACTTGGCCCTATGCGCTTGGCTCTTTGCACTTGGCTCTGCGCAAGTAACTCTATGCTGGTGACTCTATGCTGGTGCCTCTGTGCAAGTATCTCCATGCTGGTGACTCTGTGCAAGTATCTCCATGCTGGTAACTCTGTGCAAGCTACTCTGTGCTAGTAACTCTGCGCGAGTATCTCCATGCTGGTATCTCCATGCTGGTGACTCTGTGCAAGCTACTCCTGCGCAAGTTGACCAAGAGCTCCTGATATCTCCATGCTGGTGACTCTGTGCAAGCTACTCTGCGCAAGTTGACCAAGAGCTCCGCACGGAAGAACCCTTCGCAATGCTTTCGGGAAAAAACACGCACACAAAGACACAAAGGGCGCGCGAGAGAGAGAGAGACAGACAGATACAGAGAAGCCACGATTCAACATGCACATTGAGCGACCCCCTCCTGGATGGCAGCACTTGCTCAGGGTGGGGAGGGGCATCAGGCAACTGTTCCGATCAGGAGAGGCGAATGCTTCATTCAACCAAATGTGGCTCTGGCCGTTAACCAACCATGGGCATCCAAAGCCAGCCTTGTCCAGGTCCGTGAACCGCTGCATGATGCCATCCGTCTCCTGGCCTGGCGAATGCAAACACCACCCTCCCCGCTTCACCACATCCCCAAGCAGCCAGGTACTGCAACATTGGTGGTCTTGAGCTTTGTTACTCTCGGATGGACTAACTCTCTGCAGCAAGTCACATTCGATCTTTTCACGGGCCAGGGTACCTGCTGAGGTGGTCCCCCGTACAAAGGCCACTCTGGGCCACAGTGCTTTTGAGGCACGTGGCAGTGCTGATGCTTTGCAATGCGGAGATCAGGAGGTCGAGAAGCTGCCAGACTCGATGCGTTGACTCTGCGCAAGAGGAAGTGAATTGAATGCCTTTCAACCCCGTGTTCTCCATTTGGCTGTGGGTTGTGGTCCCCTGGTGGTTGAATTTTGACCCACACCCATTTGGACACAAGCGACACCAGCCAAACCGCTCAGCCAGCTCCGACTGCCTTTGGGAGATGGAGGCATAGGCATTGTTGGAGTCGTTGGAGTGGGGCTCAGACCTCAGCGAAGGTGTGCATGTTCAGAACCCGGCTGCCCATAGGTGTCCTTTTAGGGGAAATAGGTGGCCCTGGTAGATGATGAGGTAAACCAGGGCCATCTATTGTTCTAGCAAAACAACCAAAAAGGACACCTATGCGGCTGCCCTCATGATCGATCGCTTTTTTGTTTGCCAAAGAAGAACATGTCCATTCAAGCTTTGCCATGTCATCTATATGCTTGCGCCCCAAGAAAACAGCCAACGACTTTCAAAGTGACTGGCTCAGGTACATTCGGAAGACCTATAAAGGGATCACCTGTGTCATGATTTAATCTTCAATCTTCTTCAAGCTTCCATGGGCGTGTTTGTGACCCCTTCATCGATCACTTTTGTCCAATCGATTGAGTGTAAGTGCTGGTGAACTGATTTTTCCAAAAGTATCTGCCTGCAAAATTTGTCCAACAAAACTTGAAGGTGAGCCCGTTCTACGGTTTTCCCGTGTGAAAGCTATTCAACCTCACCCAAACTTGACATATCACCGCAAAATGCGCTCGCCCACTCAGCCGCGCGCAAAAAAACAGATCGGGCAAGTGGAAGCCCCTCCCATTCCAATCTACAGTGCTCCCCTCACGGAGCCCATCTGGACATCCTTCAGCATCCCCAGCATTTTGAGTTTCAACCCAGATGTATCCTTTACTAGGTCCTCCAGTAGCCAGGTCAGAATAAGGGTACCAGCCTTTTTCTGTAGTCTATTTTTGTAGGGGAACCCTGCCCCAAAAAAATGAAACGGGGAAAGGGCACCTAGCTGGGGGACCTACTGTGGATGGACGACATCCTGCACCACCTAAGCAACCATGAGACACAAGGGTTGGTATTTACAGGGGAATCAAAAAATGCAGGGTTTCTTAGGCGGTGCAGAATTCTGTCCATCCACAGTACTTCTCCCAAAACCCCATGGAATCCACTGGATGATTCGACACCCTGAAGCCAAAAAGGACACCCATACAACCCAAATGGGCAAGGAATTGGGCAACCATCCACAGTTAGGTCGAACTCGGGTATTTTGGTATTTACAGGGAAAACAAAAAAATCCAGGGCTTCTTAGGCGGTGCTTCTCCTAAAACCCCATGGAATCCACTGGATGATTCGACACCCTGAAGCCAGAAAAGACACCCATACAACCCAAATGGGCAAGGAATTGCGCAACCATCCACAGTTAGGTCGAACTCGGGTATTTCGCACCACCTAAGCAACCATGGTTGACCATGGTTGGTATTTACAGGGGAATCAACAAAAATCCAGGGTTTCTTAGGCGGTGCAGAATTCTGTCCATCCACAGTACTTCTCCCAAAACCCCATGGAATCCACTGGATGATTCGACACCCTGAAGCCAGAAAGGACACCCATACAACCCAAATGGGCAAGGAATTGCGCAACCAACAGTTAGGTCGAACTCGGGTATTTCACACCACCGAAGCAACCATGGTTGACACTATGGTTGGTATTTACAGGGGAATCAACAAAAATCCAGGGTTCTTAGGCGGTGCAGAATTATGTTGTATGGGTGTCCTTTCTGGCTTCAGGGTGTCGAATCATCCAGTGGATTCCATGGGGTTTTGGGAGAAGTACTGTGGATGGACAGAATTCTGCACCGCCTAAGAAACCCTGGATTTTGTTGATTCCCCTGTAAATACCAACCATGGTGTCAACCATGGTTGCTTAGGTGGTGCGAAATACCCGAGTTCGACCTAACTGTGGATGGTTGCGCAATTCCTTGCCCATTTGGGTTGTATGGGTGTCCTTTCTGGCTTCAGGGTGTCGAATCCTCCAGTGGATTCCATGGGGTTTTGGGAGAAGTACTGTGGATGGACCCAAATGGGCAAGGAAATGCGCAACCATCCACAGTTAGGTCGAACTCGGGTATTTCGCACCACCTAAGCAACCATGGTTGACACCATGGTTGGTATTTACAGGGGAATCAACAAAAATCCAGGGTTTCTTAGGCGGTGCAGAATTCTGTCCATCCACAGTACTTCTCCCAAAACCCCATGGAATCCACTGGATGATTCGACACTCTGAAGCCAGAAAGGACACCCATACAACCCAAATGGGCAAGGAATTGCGCAACCATCTACAGTTAGGTCAAACTCGGGTATTTTGGTATTTACAGGGGATGCAAAAAAATATAGGGTGTCTTAGGCGGTGCAGAATTCTGTCCATCCACAGTACTTCTCCCAAAACATCATGGAATCCACTGGATGATTCGACACCCTGAAGCCAGAAAGGACACCCATACAACCCAAATGGACAAGGAATTGCGCAACCATCCACAGTTAGGTTGAACTCGGGTATTTCGCACCACCTAAGCAACCATGGTTGGCACCATGGTTGGTATTTACAGGGGAATCAACAAAAATCCAGGGTTTCTTAGGCGGTGCAGATTTCTGTCCATCCACAGTACTTCTCCCAAAAACTCATGGAATCCACTGGATGATGCGACACCCTGAAGCCAGAAAGGACACCCATACAACCCAAATGGGTGTCCGGGATCTGCTTAGCATCCCCTTGAACTTGCTGGTGCGACAAGGGAATGTGGGAATCAACCGAGGGGTCCCCTTAAAAGGAAGCCACCAGTTGGACGGTTTAGGCTCGAGCTGTGCAACTTCTCCGGGCCCTCGGCTCGGCGCTCGGTTCTTCATGGACTGCTCCAGGATCTCTACCCTCGACCTCGGGGCGCCCAGAGGCCATGTGAGTCACTTGCTCAAGACCCGGTATTAAAATGGTCGAGCCCCAGAGCCATGCTCTAAGAATTGAGAAGCCGGAGATTCGCAACGATGTCTGGCTGGGACTGCCAACTACTAACCTTCATTTCGCCGGGTTTTGAGTGTATTGTGGCTCTTGAGGTCTGGCGCGCCTTTTGGGTGGTTGAGTTGCAAGGCAAACAGCAAAACGTGGAACTGAGCGAGCGACGCGGGGGATTGTGGGTTGCAAGGGATTTGAGTTTGCTTTTGCTGCAACGACCCCTCTGCCACAAGTGAATAACTTGTTTTCCGTTCAATGGCAAACCCCTTGATGCCCCCCAAAAAAGTTGATTTCTAAAGACCCAACCCAACAGCAACCAAGCAAAATCCGAAATCAAACAGAAAAAATGGGTACTAGGCCAAAAGAACCAACTAGAAAAGAGCCGGCATTTTAAGGACAGTGCCACTTGCCAAACGAAACTGAGATTTCTCCAAGCAGCGTCTTCTGGGGGGCGCTTTCGAAATTCAGGAGTGGCGGTCTGGTCTCACGCAAAAGATATAATGGTCCTCGGAGCCCGGCAACCATCAAAAAACGAATCCAGTTTGTACCATATCTAGGCCATTCAGCTGCAAGGCCTTGGTCAGAGCCACCAACACAAGCTGCACACCCCAGTGCATCACAGTTTGAAGCTTCTCACAAACAGAACACCGCAAGACAAAGTGAAAGTGCTGCAAGCTGAAGCTATGTGGGGGTGTATCACAGTAGAGGTACCCCAAAACTGGTGATGTTCCTTTCGTTTCCCTTTAAACCCAGACCAAAAAGGCTAAAGACAAACCCGGGTCCATGGCCTTAAACCGTGGATTGTCCAGTTGGTCTTCTGAGCCAGCAGCGCCAAGGCCAAGTGCATGTCCGCCAAACCGGAATGCCTCCAGAACCAGCATTCGCCAGCCAAGAAAACAAAAAGTACTGATGTGCCCAATGAGGAATCTGGAGAGCACACAGACAGATTCATATCGCACGAATCAACAACTATCCAAGAAATGTGTTGGTGCACTCAGCCCGCCAGGCTTCAACCGTGGCTGAGTCTCGCTGAAACCTGGCTCAATGACTCGACAAACTCAAAGAAAGGGCATGGAACTCGCGATATTAAAAGCTTCATCAATCCTATCCTATCCTATTTCAAATTGTCTGGAGCTTGCGGCTGGCGGTGTGAAATTCTGGACTTGTTTCTGGGCGCTGGTTCAAGGCGGGCCAACAAGAAAGGCTCCCGCAAAGGGCCCCGATCACGGAGTCCAGCCTCTCTGGCACCGGCTCCGTGACCTCTGGCTCTCTCTGCCTCAGAAGGCGCCGCTCTGTCCGCATGCGGATCGGTCACCTGGCCCAAGTGGGAAAGGCTGACTCACTCTGGCATCTGCTAGGTGTCAAGGAGTGGCATGATCTTGATTTCAAGAATTCAAGGCTTTGCACCAAGTGTCCCAGCCAAACCCAAACACTCTCGGAACATGGCGCAGGATTCTGGCCTCTTTACCTGTGGCCGGAAGCAATGAGCCATGCTTCTCCAATGGTCACAATTTTGTGGCTAAGCCCGGACTGTTGCGCGAGAGCTGGGCTCACCCACCGGGGCAGCTCCTGGACAAAAAGCAAAGGCCAGCGCGCTGCAGCCGAGGCGTTTCTTGTGAATAGCTGAGAGGTGATGTGTGACCTCCAGCTACAACCTGCGGATGATGGACAAAAACACGCCAAAAGGAGGCAGTGCGAGTTTGGGCTTGCCTGGCGTCCATCTTTGGTACCAGCTCGAGGCAAGACAGTAACGTTGAAAATGGTCGAATCAAGTGTTCTCACAAACAAACCAAAGCAAGCCCTTCATCCACCCATGATTGGCTAGGAGCACAGTCCTGGTAGCCAGCAGTGACGGTTGCCTGCCACGGATGGCATGCTGGTCATGTTCGGACCCGTCTGATTTCTTCATGGTTTGAGCATGCCCTGATCATGGCTCATCTTAAAGAGGGCTCCAAACTACCATGGTCGCATTGCGTGCTTTTTCTTTTTTCTTTTCGGACAAGCATCAGCATGTTAACATTCGGCACTTGGATGTTGCCCGATCAGCCGAATGCCGAAAGATCTGCACATGCCCAATGTTCCTAAAGCTTACTACCTCTCCCAGCTAGTGAGCTGCAATGTCACTCAACATGATGACAACTTGCATGACATATCAGACTCCTTGGTTGACGTTGAAAGGGAGCAACAAAAACTTAAATTCTAGCGGTTTAGTGGGGCTTTCCCACTAAACCACAATAAGCAAAAACTGTGAAATGGTTCCCAACAACCACCATGATTTGCACCATGAGATTCTTGCATCGGATTTTAGTTTCAACGTCACGACTCCCCTCTGGGTCGACTCCCTTCGAGTCATCTCAGGAGATGTTCGCAGACCCAGCCTCACCCGCCCGCCCCGTTTTGCGCCTGGGGGCGCTCAGGCTGCTCCGTCTGCGCCAGCTGGGCCACCTGGAGGGGTGGGTGGGGTGGGTGGGGTGGGGAGGTGTGGTCAAAACCGTTTTGGGATCTACTTTTGGTTGGGATTGGTGAATTCACCACCCATTTTAGAACCCTTTTAGTGCTTGGATTGAATCGGATATTCACTGCAGGTACGATTTGGCTTTTGACCCATGGCCAGATGGGTGAAGTACGTTTCCTGGTGAACTTTCTATCCAACCAATTGATTCACCAGCCTGAAAGAATGGACCAAAGCTCCAAGAGAGGCATCTTCATCATGCGTAGCGGCGTAGAACTTGCCACAGCACAGGTCATAGACCGGTTGTTTAACTGGATTGGGCGAGGCAGGTGCGCGCATGAGAAGCCTTCAGCAGGCAAAAGCTTGGATCGAGCGAACAATCGTGTGGCATCGACAGCAATCGTTGCACGCTTCCTCTGTCGCAAGGCTTTCTCTGCACGCCTCTCAAAGGCAGTGGTGCCCCTATGAACGTAGATAACCCTTCCCATCAAGCTGCGGAGGATTCAAAAGGCTCCAAGAGGTATGCCTATTGGCCTATTGCCAAGCAACCCTCTGGATGAACTTCCGGGGTGCATCTGTCCAAGTGGATGCAACAAAGCAGCGCCGACTCGGCCTGGCAGCGAAGCGCGTGCAAGTCCTCCTGGACGGCGCGAAAACAACAACTTTGAACGGCCTATCTGTCATAAGCCATAATCCCCTGCCCTGAAGGGGAATGGGATCCCCAATTCCATTCATTCCAAAACATTAAAGACAGACATGGGATCGTTGGGATACCCAGTAACATGTTGGATACCAAAATAACATTACCCAGTAACATTCTGCGACGATTCTCGGGAATGGGATACCCAGTTCTTTTGTAGTGTCCTGCCAAATCAATTAAAAGCAGAATTTCCGAGGTCCCCCTCCCCCAAGACTAATTTTGATGTGGGAATGCCCATCATAGCTCTACCCTTTCGCACCGCTCGCACGGACAAATCCTAACATCCGAAGAGCCTTTTGGTAATCTCTTTCAACATCAGTTTCTGTAGGTTTCAGGAAGCAGGAAGTCTGTCAGTGTGCCCCCCCTTTAACCCAACTGAGATGGTTCTCTTAGTTCCCAAATCTATGGTTTTCCACGCTTCATCAGCTGATTCTGCCAACCTGCTGAGGAACACACCGGCCATTTGCCGGCTCCTGCAGCTGCAGCTGCTGAGCAGACAAATCCGCCTGCAGCATCCGCCCCAAAGCCGCCAGCTCCTGGGAGAGTTTGGGGGGGTCCCCCCAACCCACCCCAGAGGGCGCATGGATGCAGAATGAGCTTGGGATTCTCGTATTAGTATTTTCGTTTTCCCCAAGGGAATATGTGGTATCATCGCTGGTTGCAAACCCCATTGCGGCCCTGTCGGCAGCGGCGTGTGGCAGCATCTTGAGTGGCGCTTTGGAGGGAACACCAAGCCTTATCTGCACAAATCCAAAGAAATATATGGGAGGCGACCAATATTCCTGGCCTGCAAATGCCCATGGGTATCATCTTGATCATGTAGAGGACCTTTTGATCTACCCCCCCATGTGCCTTTGGGGGGCAAGCTGATGGCAGACTTCCCATACCCATCACGGCATCCGAATTCCTGGCGGTGCCCGAAGACTCATGGCTTGGACTTGGATCCTGGGCATAGCAGGTGGCGTGCGCCTACATGTCCTCTTTGCCTCAAAAACCCATGGAGTCCACTGGATGATTGGACAAGCCAGAAAGGACACCCATACAACCCATAAGCATGGGCAAGGGATCTGCATGGCATACCCCTGAAAGACGCCCCATGTCTCCTTTGACTTCCCCTCCAAAACCGGGCCCCCTGGCGGCCTTCGGCCACCCGCCCATCCCGCGGTCTCGTCTCCTCTCGGCTGCTCTGCGCCGCTTCTTGCAGGCACCGGGCGCTCCGGTCCTGCGCCGCCTGGCCGAAACCGAAACCGAAACCCGCGGGAGAACGAAGGGCGCGGTGAGGGGAAACGCCAAGGTTCCGAAGGCTGAATGAAAAACAGTCCTTCGCTATGAACCGCCTGGTACGAACCGCCTAGTTTATGAGTTAGTTGACCCTTAGTTGGGAAATCAGCCCCCCAAGGGTCCAAAATGGCCATGGGCTTATACATGGACCTATACAATCAGCCTTCGAAAGGTTAGACATGGGTGTGGGTCAAAAATAGGGTAACCCCAAAACTGGTAAATGGAAACAAGGACTACAGCCTACAGCCTGCAGTCCATTTCTGATTCCTGGTGGTTTCCTTTTGGAACCCCGGAAAAATGGGGGGGGGGGGGCTTGAAGCAATGGCAAAAGATGTAGAGTTATTATGTGCCCCAATTGGAACGTCACCCGCAAAGGAAACTCAGATCCAATGGGCAACCAAAAGCAGTTCAAAATACGTGAAGGAAAAAACAACGAAACATGAGGAGGGGGTGTACAAAAAGAAAATCCCCCCCCCCAAAAAAAAAAAACACGTCGGGGATTTGAGTCGCCCAAAAATCAGTTGAACACAAACAGAAGGCGGATGGCACCCCCCTATCACTCGCCTGCATGTCCGCGGTGCTTGGCCTTGCATCCATCTGTCTGCGCAGCACCTCCAGCCCTCGGCTCCGGGCGCAGGGTAGGCCAGAGACATGCGTCCAGGTCCAGTGAATCCCAGGCAAGCCCTTATAGTGGATACCCAGCGATTCTCATTTGGCTGCGGGTCAAAACCCTGTAGCCCTGGTGAACATCAAAATAGGTGGTACAGGGGTGTTCATCCGCCCCAAAATGGAGGCATGACCCATGGCCATTTTAGTTAAAGGGTGGCTCCCTTGGTTGCCTGTACAGGTAAATAGGTCCACTGGGTAGGACTGCGGAAGCTCTGTTCCCAAGCAGAAACCACTGCCACCAGCATAAATTGGGGTATATAGATGAAATGCCCTGTAAACAATGGCTATATAGTGGGCTGTGGCTGTATCCCATTGAAGCCCTTGAAGTAGCGGCTTGGGGGTAGTGGAAACCATCTTAGAAGCTCTTTCGTCTTGGCTCAAGCTACCCCACAAATCCACTCTGGGCAGAAGGGCGTGTCTCCAGCAGGGCGTGGTCGCCCAAGCGGCGCTGCTCCATCTGTTGGAGACGCTGCTCTATGAGCTCCTGGTGGCCCGAAGCGGCGCATCCGATCCGACCAGCGAACAGCTTTACACAAACGAGCCAGCAACGTGCACCCGGAAAGTCGAACTGTTGGGCACTTTGATTTACAACTCCAGCAGATCCGAGTGCCCCAGTGCCCCGGGAACAATCTCCACATCAAACATATGTGGAGGCGCATGGAGGTGTGAAGCTGATACACCTCGCACACGGCACCAAGTCCCTGGATTTTGCAGGAAAATTAGTTCCCCCCATAGCCGGAATTGTTGACCCAATCTCGCATGTTCGTGCGGCCATGCACATTGCGCAGTAGGCAGTGAGCGCCATTTTGGATTGGAAGGCACATCCGAGAAAAGCACATCGAAAACACATCGCTGTTGCTGAATGGGTACTCTGAGGTCAGGATGTCCAAGACCAGTCTCAGCATTTCAAGCTCTCAACAGATGACAAGTGGTCCAAGCGTCGCTTGACAGCTTGGTTTGTGTCTGCAATAGTGCGGCCTGGCAGCGATCTGTCAAAGTCTGCCAGACGGTTCACTCGTCATTGCAGCCATGTAAGGCGCCCCCGAAATATCAAGAGGGCGATGTGATGGTGAGGCCTCGTTCATTCTCGGCCATCTTTGAACTGAAAATGATGTAGAACGGGTCTAGTGAAGGGACCTAACCAATCTGTCACGGCGTAGACCAAAGCAAGAACTCCACCATTGAAACATCACCAATATTCCATGCATGTTCGATCCATCGCCCATCGTAGCGGAAACAAACCAACAACGCTCTCTGTCTTCACCTCCCATTCGGAGAGCTGGCAAACCCTTGAGAGGTGGCGTACACAGGTCGCCGGTCATCCCTTCGGGCGAAGTCGTCTCCTGAGACCCGTCAGCGCCCGGCTTCACCTCGGAGAGCTGGCCATGGAGTCGCAGGTCACAGTGGGGCCGAGGCACGTGCGTTCGTTGATCGCTGTAAGAGGTGCTGACCCTTTGGCATCCCCAATTCCACGTTTGTGTCTTTCCGGCTTGTATTTCCAGCTTGCCTTCCTGCGTTGAAGGGAGTCTTCATAAATCGTTTCGAAACAGTCTAAACATGTCTAAACATCTCCAAACATGTCTAAACATGTTAGGCATGTCTAAACATGTCTAAACATCTTAAGCATGTCTAAATATGTCTACGCATTCTAAATAACATTCTAAGTTCTAAGCATGTCCAGTGCCTCAGGCCCAGCCGCTCAAACCCCAGGGCTCCCGCCGGGCTGGCCACGGCGCGCTCAGCGGCGCGCTCCGCGGACTCCAGCTGCTCCTGGCGATTTTGGGGCCATGGAACCTCCGAGGAAATCCACGGGGAGGGCGGCAATTTTGGGGGAACTCGGGGGAATCCACGTGGAAATTCAAGCAAATCCATGGGAGGGAGGGAGGGAGGGAGGGAGGGAGGGAGGGAGGGAGGGAGAGGGAGGGAGGGAGGGAGGGAGGGAGGGAGGGAAACAATGTGGGGTTTGAAATCAAAGAGGGTGTGGGCCACACGGCTGATTTACAGCAAGTCCTGACCAGGAAAAGAATGTTGGAATTGCAAGGCCCTCGCATTCTGCCGGGATGGGTTTCCGGGTGAAGCCCTTCTCTACACCTCTGGTTGGATCCCCTGAAAAATCCGAGCACATCAGCTAACATCTGTGAAACTCCTTGCGGAGCTGTCAGAATCCATGGGAATCATGGGGAGCTTTTGGACACCCATTGAGAAATGGATTCCGATGATACTTAATACCCTTGCACTTCTTTCACCAAACGTTGCTGGTGCCTCCCCATTGGGACCAGCAAACGACACCAAGCACCTCCTTGCGCGAAACGCAAATAGCAGTCGAAGCTCCAGTCCCAGGCTTCCGTGCAGCTCATCAACCAAAGATGGCGTGCCCTGTCATGTGGACCCGTCTATGCCTAGAGTGGCTACTAGTTAGTAGTGAGCTCCTAAAATCTGGATGTCTTCCCCAACCGTCGCTTTGGGTTGCTATTTGTTCTTTGAGCAAGCGAGGCGAAGAAAATCGGCTCCAGCGCTCATTGCCAACGGGTTGACTGATACCCTGCAGTGTTTTTTCAGCTTCAGGCCGTGCCTGCTAACAGGCAACAGTGCCTCAAAATACCCAGGTGAGACTGCCATATGGCTGTTACGTGGCCTTGCCATGGCAAAAACAGCGCTTTGTTGGTTGGTACTCCCCGTGGAGAGAAAGTCAAACAAAGGCGTCCACACTGAATTGGCATATTTGGAGAGGCCCAATTTGGAGAAGTATTGTCATCGCCAAGCTGAACGAAGGAACACCAGGCAACAATTTCTGAAATCCATCGCACGCCAGATCGAATTGTGAGCTCGCTACAATTTGCCCGCAACCCCATGAGAGGCCTTGACATATGGGCATGTTTTTTGTTGAGACGGAAAAAGCATTTTGAGGTGACGGCCTCACAGAGTGGAGGCTTCTCAAGATGTCTCGCATGTCAACACTGGGTCCATTTGAGTGAGATCCGCACCATCCAAATGGTGGCACCCCCTTCAAAAGAAACACCTATTTTGAGAGCCCTACTTGCGCATTGGGCCAAGTAAGTTGTCAGGAACCTAGGTCACCCCCGTATAATTCCCTCGTGTGGGGTTAACCCAGTCAGTGGATAACCCAGTTGGCTAACCACTTAACTTGCCCGCGTCCAAGTGGGCGTGTCTTTTCATCCGGGGACCCCAAAAACATTCTGGTTTTCCTCTTGGCTTCCCTTTCAAACTCCAACAAAACAGGTGAGCCCTCAAAAACGATTTCCCTTTAAAACTACTACCAAAAAAGGTGAGCCCGCAGACAAACCACAAGGGATTGTCCATCCTGGAGGCGCTTCACCGAGCCGTCGGTCTCCGCGCTCTGCCTGGGAGCTGGGCCGAGGGGCGAAGTCGCGAGGGAAGCAAAGACATCGCCACCCAAGAACTGAACCCTGACGCTGGTGAGGGGTTGATTGGGGAACCCTTGTGAGATGGGCAAAATGAGGAACTTGATTGGGGGTTGGGGGGGGGTCCGAAAATCCGCCTTGGGAGAGATGGATAGAGATGCGATGATAGGACATGATGATATTGCAGCAACTGACAGCATCTGACGTCCTCTTCTTAGGCAGCCGAGTCATGCCCATCCCAACCCTCGCAGATCGGAAAGGCCCCGGCTGCTGCAACTTCTGCACGGTCTTGTAGAGCCACGACCTGGGCTCGGGAGGCACCGAACAAGTGGGAGTGGTTTGTACATAGCCTGCTGACACCCACAGGCCCCTGGAAGAAGGAAAACAAACTCGCGCCTATCCAGATCCACCGCGCCTATTCAGATTTGGGAACCGAAACATACACGGCAGAATGGACCTCGCGGTCGTTCCCGTGGGAACTCAGGTGCCGGCACGGCCGCATGGAGCCGATCAGCCTGACACAAAAATATGCGGGGATCCGGGTGACATATGTCAGTCTCTTCTTAAGGGTGCCCTTCTTGGCTGGTGTCAACAAAAGGAAACCAAAAGGAAAAAGACATGCTGGAGGGTCCAGTGAAGCGGTGAAGTGGATTGGCTTTAGGCCAGGGCCGTCCTCCCTGCACCATTGTTCATGCAATGGTGCGCATGCGAGTGCAGGATGATCTCCCCCTCTGGCCCAAATTTAGTGTCTGGTCTTGGATAATAGATCAGCCAAAATGAAAGACGCAGCGACGTAGCGACGCCGTTTGGCAATGATGCTTCGGAGGTGATGCCACACAGGACCAATTTCCCTTCCCCCCCTTTGGCTCAACCGGCCACAACAAAGAGAAAATAACACATCGATTCATGTGTCAAGTACGTGTTCTCCGTACAAATATATATATATATACCGATCCAATGCGTCATAACTATAGACAATATGTTGGAAACCCCGGCCACTGAGACACTTCACAGCCTTCCCCCCGCTGCGGTCGCCGAGTTCGCTTTGCGAAGCCTCCAGCTCCACCACTGGCAGGCGCAGGTCCAGCAGGGTGGACAAGGACGGCACCGCGACCTCCGCGGTACTTTCCCGTTGCCATCAGAAGGAAAAGCGCGCTGGGTACGCTGCGGATGAACCAAACCCGGAACACCATCTGTGCTGAAGGGATCTTTTCGGAGGACCCGATGGGGAAAGAAAAGAATATGGGAATTTGCAAAAAGTGGCTGGCTTTGATTCTATCATGTTAGGTCTTGGGACAGTGCAGTTTCATTCTGCAAAGCCTGGCGCAGAGGCAAGGCTGAATGGGGTTTTCTGGAAGTGTAAGAAGGGAATGTCTGAAAGGTCTCAGCCAGTTGAACATGGGGGGTTGGTTGGATTGGGGTTGGTTGGTTGGGTTGGTTGGCTTGGTTGGTTGGATTGGTTGGGTTGGTTGGTTAGTTTGGTTCGGTTAGTTCGGTTGGTTGGGTTGGTTGGTTGGCCGGGGGCGGTTTGGAACCCAACTGCAACCCATAGCTTTTGTGCAGCCCTTTGAGCAGTTCACCCTCCCCAGCCTTGCCGCCGCCCACCTGGCAACTGGGGCGTGGAAGACCACAGGAGTTCCTTCCCCAATAAGGGCTGCTAGTCTTCTTTCTATTGCTTTCTGCTCCCCTGCTAAAAGTTTAACTTTTAGTGGTTTAATGGAAAACCCATTTAGTTGGCAAAAAGTTAAAGTCCTAACATCCATCCAAGCAGAATGCACCAAAAGGGTCCCATAGATGTGGCTGCGGGTCAAAACCAATGGTACCATTTCGGGGCAGGTGCACCACCCATTTTAGAACCTATTCTGGTGGGGATTGGGATGTTCTCGGGGGGTACGGGATTTTGATCCAGGGCCATGTGGAAAACGCAACCAGAACCAAAGAGGGCCCAGACAGTTTGGAAGGTGTCAAACATCAAGAAACCGCAAGCAAACGCCTATGGTAGAGAGCAGTAGGTGCGTAAAGAATCGCAAAAAGCTGACCGATCGGGGAAAGCCCAGGAATCAGCGCGGCAAATCTTAAACCCAATCGGAGATGTCGTAGATTTGCGCAGGCGAAACCCCTACCATGGATGTTCCCACGCAGCCGGAAAAGCTGTAGCAACTGCAACTGGAGTTCGAGCAAGCACAATAACTTCTAACATACAAGAAGAGGTTGGTTGGAATCCACAATTTCCGACATTACACTTGTAGACTATAACCATCGCCGGTCAGCAAACAGCATTGTGTATGCAACCGAAAATCCACCAGATTCCCGTTGCTTACCAGGAATGGGCACAAGCATGCACCTGCGGTTCCTCTTTGGGTTGCTGCCGTCGCGTTCTCTGCTCAGGCTGCAGGCATGAGCAAACATGCTTGTCCAAACACCACTCAGCACAACATGTTTTGACATGCATATCGCCAAAGGAGTTCGTTCTGTTGGCCAACTTTCGCCGCCAAACAAACCCTCAAACGCACGCCCTGGCAGCTCAAGTTGCCTTCAATCCCTATTTCAGTCGGGTTGCTTTGCTCAGTCTCACCCCTCCCGCACCTCCGGCGGTGGCATCGCCATGAGCCGACTGGGCGCGGTCTCGCGTCCACGGGGGTTTCCGTTGATCTGCCAAGGGGCGCTGCAGGTGCCTCTGCGTGTGTGTGTGTGTGTGTGCTTGCCTTATTGTTGTTTTTTCGGCGGTACAGGCTCACGCTCGCCTGCCATTTGCCGGAAGAAGTGAGATCGACGTCTGTCAGATCTGTAGCTCAATCCTAGTGCTGGCAAACCTGTACATGGTTTGTCTGGGTCTGTCCGTCATTCTGGGCTCGAGCGCTCAACAGCCTCTGTACTGCATGTTTGCAAGGCCCCTCCGTCATCCTGCCCAGTGCGGACCTCTTTGCGCATTTCCCTCCAGAAAACCTTGTGCGCACCACCGCACACAAGCAAAATCCAAGACCGATCGAACCAATCAAACCTCTGATGCCCACCAATGCAAAAGTGAGACATGTCTTCCGTCTTCCAGCAGTCACGCCATGGGAAGACCTGCAAGGCCTTGTTGTCAAGGATCCACTGATCAAGGAATCTCACGCCGCTAAGTGTCCTTTTGCAAACAGTACGACACTGGTAAATAATTAGACCAAAGTGAAACCAGTGCCATCTATTCTCACCAATCTAACCCGACAAGGATACCTGTTCTCATGCCGCAAAGCCACGCGCTTTGTCCAAAGGTTCATTGGCGGTCCATGCAATACATCCACAGCGATAGCCGGGATTGGCGATCCGAAGCCCGATGAGGTCGTGAGAGTCATGGGGCCTACTGAAAAGAAGTAGGCCCAATCGCCGCATCCAGGGCACATGACAACCACAAGGCACTCACCGGAGATCATATTTCAATAGAGGCGGCAGATAGCACATGTGTGTTTGCCTTCGTCTGCCATGAGTTTCTTGAATCCTTCGTCGGGCTTAATCCTCCATTCCCTGACATCACTCACCACTCGCTGACAGAGCCGGCCGCCGGCCGCTCGCCGCCGCCTCAGGCGCCCCGGGAATTCCCGGCGCTCGCGGCGACTTCCACCAGCTGCCACATCCTCGGCGGTTCAAGGCGCAAGGAAGCAGCGGGAGATGACATCAACCAGTCGGAGGGCGCAAAACGACACCAAGCGAAAAAGGAAATGAGCCCGAAAGCACAAGCGACCCAAGCGACCGGCTGCTGGGAAGGGGCTCTGATATACACCCCCAAGCATATGAAAATTGCGCCTCAAAACAAACCGAAAACATAAAAACTTGTTCCCTGGACCCCTGACAGCTTGACCGTCCAATCAAGGTTGCTGACACCATCCAATGCCGATCTACGCTCAGCATCGTCTTTCTCGGCTGGAGCCAACTTGGCAGACTGGCAGACCTTGCAGAAAAAGTGGGCACCGAGAGAAAAGCAAACATCACCGACCCAGTTGAACGTCCCCAATACAGCAATATAATTACACCGGAGGAAGCGGCACAAGACAAAGACAAGGGATTAAGGCTGATGCTTGATCAGATCGGTTCACAACTTTGACTTTGGCATATTGGCTGACTAAACAGCTTTGCAACAGCTGGACAACGGCTTGATACTCCACGGTTTTGTTCCGAACATCTTCTCACCAACCACCAACTGTTCTGCCAGTGTTTGCTTCACAAACTCAGGACAGTCACAATCAAACCAAGGACTCCTAGCTAACCTTCAATTGCCAAGGCTTTGAGTATGGCACAACTGAGCCCAATGCTCAAAAACCAAACAAACAAACCAACCAACCAAACAAACAAACCAACCCAAACCAAACCAACCCGAACCCAACCCGCCAGACACGTGCCACGTGCCGTGCCGGGCGTCTGCGCACACTCCGACTGCTCCCGGCCCACCAGCTGCTCCAGCGCATCGAAACGGGCCTCGTTGGGGTAGGTTTGGTTGGGCTTGGTGGTTGGGGGGTTTGGACGGTTGAGTCTTTGGGACGGTTGGGGGGTTGGGACGGTTGGGGGTTTGGGGGGTTGGGGGTTTGGGGGTGGCATGTTGGTTTCAGATCTGTACACTTTCGAACAAGGATGGTTCACAAAATCCCAAACCATGGAAGAAACACTCGCTCTGAGAATTTATGGGGGAAACAGAAGAGGAAGCTGAGATGTACCAAACCCTAAAAGACCAAAAAAGAGGTGGGCGGCTTAGCTCTCGGAAATCAGATCTGCATGTCGCCTCTTGTTTTGTGCCAAGACGGTCGCAAAATTCAACGGGGAAGGTTCGCAGCTCAGCATAACCTTGGAAGCCACCCGCGCACCCGCGCACCCGCGCCCCCAGCCAGCCTCCAGCAGGTCCAGGCGGGGCTCCTCGAGCTCGGCGGAGCTCTGACCCCAGGAGTCCAGCTGCGTCCTCAGCTTCTCCAGCTCCGACATCAGCTTCCTGCGCTCCGGCCGGTCCCTTCGAAAACACGCGCGCGCGCGCGCGCGCGCGTCGCGGGCGTGGATGTGCGGTTGCGGTTGCGGGCTGCGGGTTGTGGTTGAAGCGCTCTGAACGGATTGCACCTGCCCAGAAAAAGTGCGGTGAGCGAGGAGGGCGAAGTGAAGTACGAAGGGCTCAGGTGGAGGAGGAAAATATTCAAAAGGCGCCTGACCAAAGGAGCCCCGTGGCACTAGGCGTCCTTTCCTTTCTGGGACAAGGTACCAGGTTGTGGCGGTGACACCTGCAATGGCATGGAATCAGCGGGAGCAGAAGAACCCATCACGGCGTCGAAGCAGAGAAACGTGGAACCATCGCGAAGTGTTTCTTGAAGCAACAAGCAACCACGGAACACTTAGGGAACGTTGAACATGGCGCATGAAACACTGCGACGCTGACATGCTTTCCAGAAGGGCTCCTTGAAACGCTATTGAAGCTACATCAAGCCTCAGGCAGACCCAACTATGCGCCGAGACACACAGCCACCAGTGGGGCTGGTTTGATGGCTCATGTTCATAAACCTCCAAGTCGAAATTGTTTGATTGCTCATGTTCACAATCCCATAAGCCCTGCGTCTGATTTTGTTGTGGCTTTTGTGGACCCTGCTTGTCCAGCAGCAGGGTACCTGTAAAACCCACAAAAAAGTGGTTTCACCCGAATCCACCTGCGCTGCCGCCTTCCCTTTTTCAGCGGGAGGGTCCGGTGTTGGCCATCCAGGCGCGCCGTGCTGGAGCCTCATCGCCAGGCCCACAAAAGCACCAACTCCCCCGATGTGAGTCGAAATAAGATGAGGGGGGCCTTCAAAAGGTCCGACCTTGTTCTTGGATTTCTCCGCCTTTTGGCTTTCCCTGACTTGGGCCTTTCTGATTTGGGCCTTGGCTCCATCCGCCTATGAAGGCCTTTCCCTTGATCCGCCTATGGCTCCATCCTTTGGGCCTTGCCAGACCCCTTCCCATGTCAGGGGCCCCGGGCTGAGGAGCCACTTCATCTCCCGCAGCTCCCGCTCCGTGCCAGCCATCCAGGACGCCAGGTGACCGCTGCTCCGCCTGCGCGCATGGGCGCGGTCGGGGTGGCCAGGTGGCCAGGTGGCCGGGTGGCCGGGTGGCCGCGCCGGGAACGGGTTGATAGGTCTTGCTTTGACCCTCCGCCATGTCCTTTCTCGAGATCAGAAGGGGCCTTCTGTCAGGTTCCAGTTTACTTGGATTGGCGCAAGACTCAATGAATCGAACTAGCGGGGATGTGGAGGAAGCAGGGACGTGGAGGATTCCCCAGAAACCAATTGCCTTCAAACACAGCCTAGGTGCTTCCAATACCATATCCCGGCGTCCTTCATTTGCTTCCTCATTGGCGTCTCTGATCCGTGCAGTGCGTGGCCGCCTCTGACTTCCGAAAGCCGCTGTCCGTCCCACCCCTTGTGAGGATCCACAAAAGAAGGGATATACAAATAATACCCGCTACCTTCAAGTGGAAGGGACTGGAACAGATTGACCCAGCTCCCTCTTCTTGTCATTTTTGGAAGGTACCCTTTTTGGGAATGTTTCAAAGGCAAAACAAAGCAAACATGTCTTTGGGGGGGGGGGGGAGGGCAAATCCTATTTTTGGACACCTTACATGCCAAGCGGCACGTCTGGCACCTGCTTCCGCGCACGTGACGGAGTGCCGGGCGTACCCGGTGCAGATGGCACCGCCAGAGCAGTGGGTGCAGTAGGCCGAGCAGCCTCAGAGTGAATTAGATGTTGGATGCCACAAACAGAAAGGAAATATGGCAACAAGTTGGAGACACGTAGGTATCGTGCACAGACCGAACTTACAACCTCATAAGAGTTGATTGATTGGCTTTGAGTCATCACTAAACCAAAAAGTTGGATGCCAACCTCCGAACAAACATCCTTTGAGATTCAAGCCTCAAGCAGAAAGCGCCTTGCACGTGCAGAGGTCTGCTCGAAGGTGAGCAGTTTTCGACACCCATTAACGAAGTTGAGTCATTGGCATCCTTGGCGGCTTCGCCGCCTGGCTGCAGGTTCTGCGGATGACATTAGCAAGCCGCGCACTCTGGAATCGTGTGAGTGTGGCAAAGCGAGGCTCATGTAGCCCCCCTTGTAGAGCCCGGGGCAAATGGAACCCCAAGCCAAAATGAACAGCAAAGGTGTCAAGCGCGACACGCTCGCATAACTTTCTGCAAGGCTGTGGTGCCCCTGATCTGACAGCAGTGGTGAAGCTAGCAAGCGGCCTTTACAGGGCAGGGCTTTTCTTCACACGTGCACAGGACCAATCAAGAATGACATCTTGCCACTCCTCTCCGGGGAGCTTCTGGTTGACCGCATACTTAAACTGCCAGTGGTTGGCACACTTCCTCTCTCCACGGCAGATCTGCGCAATCTTGCTGCCCCGAACGCGTGTGTGCGCAGTGGCGGCTGATAACGACTCAAAATGGATCCAGGTGGACAGCCCGCCAACTTCACGCGCGCAAACGGGGTTCCCTCGCTTGGGCAGTCTGCCTTCTCTTCCAGCCAACAGTGCATATGCATGTTGAACATTTTGAGCTGGCGTCGCGTACTCCAAATTATTCAATTGGTTGTTTGAGCGATTAGCATCCAGGTGGTTGACAAAGATATCTGGTGTGCTCGGCTGCCCGAGGAAAGTTGCTGCTACCAATCTATGCACCCGAAACTTGCTGTAAGGCCCAGCTGGCTCCATCCGACGTCGAATGACGAGATACCCTGCCTCGTTAAGAGATCCGAATGTGATGCGCCCGTTTTTGGTCTTGACTCGGCCAAAGCTGCTCACCTGCCACTTGGAGATGGCTTGAGTCATGCCTGGATACCTGGCTGCTTGCCACAGCTCCCCAGCGATTGATGCAGGTTTGGCTAGCCTAAACTCGTAGCCATTCACATGCTGCTGCAGTCCACGGCAACACTTGCTCACAGAAGGCTGATGCAGCCCGAGACTGCGGGCTGCTGCTCCTTGAGAAGAAAAATATGACCATTGCTCTGTACCGATGAGCCGACAATGAATCGGTTTTCCTGCGCCACGGTTTCTTGTCCAGCTGCCTGCTGCGCGTGCATGTCTGGTGTTTTCAGATGGCGTGACATATTCCAAGTTGTCAGCCCTATTGTTTAACCGGTTGCTGTCCAGGTGATTCACTTGTATGTGGTCAGGGGTAGGAGGTGGTCCATGAAAGACTCTTGCTACTACGCGGTGCACCAAATAGGACTTGCCCTGGATGTTTGCTACTTTGTAGCCATTATCGCCCGTGCTCCCATGATGAATCACACCTCCAAGGGTCTTGACCCGACCAAGGGAACTCACCTGCCAGGTGGCACAGGCTTCGAGCTGAAACCTGATCTGGCTGCAAAAGATGGCAAGGAGGGCGACATGTGAGCTACGACGCAAACACATTCCTAGCACGAGCGATCTTTGGGCCAGCACCTGCCCTCAGGAGAAGCTGAGATCCTGCCTTCATCGTAAACCATCGCAAGTGCATGGAATTTGTAGGGACAGAGGCTAACAAACGACTTCATCATTGGCGAATGTGAAAAGGGCCATGAGACGAAGCAGCATTTCGCAGCCAAGAAGGGCGTAGATAGTGCAGCCTTTAGTGAGTTTTGAATAGTTGTTTTTCTTCAGATTTTTTGTCAAAGTCAAAGGCTTTCAATTCCCACATTTGGGCTCAAACTCTGGGAGTCGCCCAAAACCAGCAGTTGTTCGATATGTTGTGCATTTCGAGTTGGCCTGCAGGGGGCTTTGCCCCAGCAAGGTGCTTGCATCCCTTGCATCACGCCTAACTCAGGGCCGTGTTTGCTCGTTTAGAGCTATGGCGCGCTCTGGGACATCCTCAAATAGGGTTCTGAATCTACAAATGCACACGTAGCATGGATTCCCCAGAAGTACATGTTCAAAAACATCGTTGTTTGTTTTGAATTTACTTCTGAAGGACGTAACTGAACCTGCTCGAAACATGTGCGTCGTGTGTTTTTGGGGAAAATGTGCCAAACCACCCGGTGCTGATTGCAGCGTGATGCGCTCTTCTGCATCCCCAGCTTTTGGGTCTGTGGTGATGCTACTGGGTGATGATGGATGTGTGCTTCCTCTTTGTCCAAAAATGTCTCCTCATTCTCTCAGAAAGATCTTAAGACAATTCTCGCGTTCATGGAATTTGATGGGTCCCAGACAGTTTGCTCCGAAACATTCAACACTGTTGCTGCCTTTTGTCTGGTCCCGCATCCCCGGCCCACCCCAGAACCACAACCCCATCCCATCCCAAATTCCACTGAGAGGCCATCAAACTTTGCTGGTCCAACCGCCGCTGCGGCTGGCCACATCGGCTGGCCAAGGTCTCCAGGCTCATGACCTGTGACGCATTCGTTGGCCTGTCCACCATACATCCCTCATCCCCTCATCCTCTCATCCCCTCATCCCCTCATCCCATCCCGGGCCAAAAATCAATTTCAAAGGCAAAGAACCAACTGGGCCCACATGTAACAACCACCATTGCCTGGACAAAAATGGGCTGACACCTCTGACTGTTTGGGTGGATTGAGTAGGGGCATAAGCAGCTCAACCAACTTGCCCGCACCTGCCTCTGGCATTCTACCTCGCGCCAAACATCTACTGCAAAACCAGACATAAAAGGATTGGCATACCTCCGAAAGGAACCCAAGTTTCGGGCACCCTTGGCGTTGCAACAACGCCATTTTGTCGCAAGAACCTCCGAAAGAACAACCCACAGCAGCCCCATGCTCAAGGGCCCAAGGCCCCCAGACCCCGGGCTGGCCTGGCCCTTGCGCTCTAGCTGCACCCCTGCCAGCTCGCAAGCCACCTGCAGCGCTGCCTCCACCTCCTGGACTCGGCGGTGTCATGTTGGTTGCGGGGCGGCTAAAGAGCCTCGTACTTTAAAGGCCTCCGGATATTATATGACTATGTACTAGAAGGCGCTTAACCCATATCAAGCCGTGATTGGAGGAGTATACTATTAGTTCGTGTTTAGCCCCTCATACTGCAACTCGGGGACGCGGCTTTTTCAATCCCCCAACCTGTTTTTTTGTTGCGCCCATTAACCCAATGGTAAATGTTGAGAGCCAGAACGGGGGTCCCGGATTGAAATCAACAGCTGATGGGGTCATACCAGGGGTTCGTATATGGACAAATGTATTCAGCTTTCCTACAGTGGCTGTGGAGACATTGGTTTTGAAATTAAAGCTCAAGAGGTGCCTTCACTTCTGATCTGCTGATTCCAAACGGAGACCCACTCGCAAAAGAGAGAAAATTGGCCGGGTCGGCGATCCGGTCTTGCACTGGTGGTGCTTTATGCGATGTGCCAGGAAACGGTGTGCCTCTTGCTGCTCTCCTGTGGATATGTACGCCAGCATGAGTCCGCTCCACTCCACTCTGCACGAGTTCAGCAAAAGGTTGCCTCCAAGGCGCCACGTACGAAAACGACATCATTGTGCGTTTGTGTGTGTGTTCAGCGCCACGGGTTGATACGTGAGCTACCGCTTGGAAACTGCAAGTGAACGAGACCCCAAATAGAGACAGTTGAGGTTCAGCGCACAGGGAAGCCAAACCGACTGAAGGTGGCAAAACATCTTTTCAGCAAAGAGAACTGGCGGTTCCAGGCTTTGCGCATGTATGGATCAAAGCGCGCGGACTGCTGTCGCCCATGACCTTGCTGTCGCCGTCCATGATTTCTTGCGCCCCAAACCAAAAGGCTTTGCAGAGTCGCGGAAAGATGGATCTACATGGACGGCCGTGTGTACACGTGGTTAGGAACAACCCCGTTACCCTCCATTTACCCAAAACGATATCTATCTTGGCCCGTGGTGTTCTCAACATCAGGAACCCTTCCAGGTGGTTGGTTCCCCTTTGGTTCGGCTTTCAAAGCATCCAAGAAAAGGGCTCCTATTGGGTGTGAATGTTGCTTCGGGATCCTCTTTGGCCGACCTCATTGTCATGGGGATTTGTATGCAACCACCACGCTCGAATGTCTTCCAACCAGGCTTGGGTCGAGGCCTGTTTAAGCATGTTCCATTAAACACCCCTTGCCTAAAATATGAGTGATACTTCCTAGGGGACCCCCAAAAAATGGTGGATGTCCTTTTGGTTTTCAAAAAAAAAGAATGTAGATCCAATTGAAGACACACCATATTTGTCTCCTACCAGGCTCTGGTGGTTGAAACCAATTTCGCACCCAACTCTTTCCCCAGCAGTCTCGGCTCCTGTGATAGAAATCTGGGGGGCGCTGGATGCACCGAGACGCAAGAGATCGCCGAGGCGCCTCCTTCCTGGGAAGCTGCCGCCGGCACAGGTTGACTTCTCCCTGTGAAACTATGGCCGGCAACCCTGGGCGGTTTTAACAGGGAGTACCAAAAGGAAGCCATCCATTTTGTTGGGTCCCCATAAGTGAAGACCATTCCGGCAGCTGGATGATGTGAGCTTTGGATGGGTCCAGTGGTTTGGATTGCCGATTGGGGTTGCTGGCGCTGAGTTCAAAGCACCGGGTTGTTGTCTACTGCTCTAAACCGCCGCGGCTCGCATAACATCATAGTTTCCAAACCCACCCACCCCTGAACCCCCCCCAACAAAGAAAAATAAGGGCCAATTTGGGCTTAATAGGGCTTAATTTTGCAGGCAACACGCCTGGAAAGAGATCGGCGCTCGGTAGCCGTGAGTCAGTCGTGATTCTAACAAGGGATCGGCGAGTCGCACGTGCATCGTAGAGACAAGGAGTAAAAATAGAACGATTGGACAATTTTCAGGTAGAATGTCCTCCCAAATCGCTGGTTTCTTGGACCCGCCCACCCCCTGACACCCCCCCCCCCTTTTACCCCCCGCACTGAAGCACAGCTTCTATGAAGGAGATGACCTCAATGGCCCCCTCGTCACTGGTGGCGTTCCCATCCAGCAGCAGCGAGGCCAGCCGGGGCGGCGCCCCGTGCACCTTTGGACCTGCAATGCGCGCGGCTCGACTTCTTTCTTGCGGGGAATCAACTCATTGCAAGGGGCCCAAAGTCCTGCAATGAATATCTTGCAACTAACATGGATCACAGCAAAGGCGTCCCCCTCTGCAAGTGGAGATGAATTCGAGGTTCTTGGAAATTCAGAGACTCATCTGCAATGAATCCGAAGTTGCTCTTGGCAACTAAGACGGAACCTTGCAAAGGCGTCCACCCTCTACGAGTGAGCTGTTGAGGAGGGCGGACTCCATGTCAATTTCGGCTAGAGTCGGGACGAATTTGGGAATGGCTCGTCAGGAAAAAAGCCAACAGTGTGCATCGTGGGTTCCGATGAGTTTTGACTGGCATAGCCGAATGTTCAAGCAGCAACCCTTTCTGAACAGGATTGTGCTCACTCAAACAATCCTAGAAGCTGACAGGAGGGTTTCGGAAGGCGACTGTCATCTCAAGAAAGCCACCCAGCCAGCGCCCATGTCAATTTTCCTTCTGGATGTTTGGTTCCCCGAATGATTAAATGCGCGACCAACTGGAGATCGCCAAGCCAGAATTGACAGGTGACAGTCTTCATCGGCGACCTCCTCTTGCCACAAGCCGACAACGCCTCGCCGCGCCTCTGACCAAATATCTCAAGCCGGCATCACTGACGGCGCACCTCAGTTCAAACTGGGCGATGGGCAACCGCTGTGGCCCAGATTGCCAACGGCTAGGCTTTCCTGGTGAAGTTGAGTAGCCCCCACGTCCTGCCCCGAATCAACCATAGGGTAGCAGCAATGATTTGTTCACATGCCCGTGTCCGGTACATCCTTGGAAACCTCAAAGAAGTGCAGCAATAGTCAGCATTGCATGATCTCGAGCATGCATATGGGACATTAAACTGGGCCGGTGAGATTTGCTACTAGTATCCAACAGTAAGCCAGCACGGATAAGCCGGGAGCATGGCGAATGAACATGGCACTGTCACTGCAGCTGTGTTGCAGCTGATGTTCAAACTGTTTATTGTCAAGACATCCATTCCGCATTTCGCATGCAAACGGTGTTGCTGAATCCTAAAGCTACATGTCACTCTAGGACTCGATAACTGTCCAGGTGTCCGGTAACGATCCCCTCACATCATCTCACTCTAAGAAAGGTAACTGCACCTGGTGTGAGACAAGGCCACCAAGACTTCAGATCGCTGGGCCTCACGCAGCTTCGGCTTCAGGGAGCAAGGCCCCTGTAAAGCGGCCGAAGCCAGTGTGTATGAAGATGTGTATACATGTACTACGTGTATACATTAGATAGATAGATTAGACTAGATTAGATTAGATTAGATTAGCTTTAGATTAGATTAGATGAGATGAGATTAGACTTAGATTAGATTGGATTAGATGAGATTAGATTCAGATTAGATTTAGATTGGATTAAATTGGATTGGATTAGATTAGATTAGATTAGATTTAGATTAGATTAGATGAGATGAGATTAGACTTAGATTAGATTAGATTAGATTAGATTCAGATTAGATTTAGATTGGATTAAATTGGATTGGATTAGATTAGATTAGATTAGATTTAGATTAGATTAGATGAGATGAGATGAGATTAGACTTAGATTAGATTAGATTAGATTATATTCAGATTAGATTTAGATTGGATTAAATTGGATTAGATTAGATTGGATGAGATTAGAATAGATTAGATTTAGATTAGATTAGATGAGATGAGATGAGAATAGACTTAGATTAGATCTGATGAGATTAGATTATATTCAGATTAGATTTAGATTGGATTAAATTGGATTAGATTAGATTGGATTAGATTAGATTTAGATTAGATTAGATGAGATGAGATGAGATTAGACTTAGATTAGATTAGATTAGATTGTATTCAGATTTTAGATTGGATTAAATTGGATTAGATTAGATTGGATTAGATTAGATTAGATTTAGATTAGATGAGATGAGATGAGATGAGATGAGATTAGACTAGATGAGATTAGATTAGATTTAGATTAGATTAGATTAGATATATAGATAGATAGATAGGTGGGTAGATAGATAGATAGATAGATAGACAGACAGATAGATAGACAGACAGACAAACAGACAAACAGATAGATAGAGAGGTAGATTGATACACATAGATTTTTTATATATCATGTATTCACTTCAGGAGCCCTGTAAAACCGGCGCCCCCCACCCCCTACCTTTGGCTCGCCGTCCGCGGCGCTCCCCGAGGTCCAGCTCCAGCAGCTGCGAGCTGCTGAGCGCCGCGGCGATGGCGGCGGCGCCGGCGTCCGCCACGTGGGTGCGGCGCAGCGCCAAAGACGCCAGCGCCGGGCTCACCTGGCGGAGGGCCGAAGGACGGGCGCCCGGAACACGGTGGAGTCCAAAGCGAAAACATAGGACCTAGGAGGGTCAAGATGGGGTCTTTCACGTGTTTTGAGCTGTTTTGTGTTGCTTTAGACACCAGAAGAGGAGTAAGAGCACCAAATCTCTTTTTGGCTTCCCATTTGGGCTCCTTTGCCTTCCCCTTCAAGCTCCCCAAATCTCTCTGCTAGGGTCACGATGGGGTTTGCCGGCTTTTTGGGTTCACGATGGGGTCCCTTTTCGCTTTTGTTGGCTTCCTTCGCAACTGATGTATTACCACAGGTTGAGATCTTCATATTTCAACCCAACGAATCAAAGGGCATCAGACTCCTTGTTCCTTTTAGATTGCCCTTCGATTCAGGGGGCTACGCAAGGACCAAGTCTGTTGAAGTGTCACTTTTCTCCAACCTGATATGGCCAGAGAGCACCTGAAGAAAGCACGCATTTCCTGCAAGAACAGGATAGCAGTCCTGGAAGTCCGGGGAGCCCATTTTCCTTTGGCAGGGGCCGATGCTTTTTGGGGGACAAGGGAACGCTGGGAAAAAGGGGGAATGAAGCAAAAAGCAACCACTGTGCTCTAAAAAGGGAGACCACCACATATGGGTCTGCCTGTTTTTTAACGGGGAAGGATGAACATGCTGCACCACCTAAGACACCCTGGTGTCTGAGGATTCCCCTGCAAATACCAACAAACGTGGTGCTTTCAACCATGGTTTCATTTCGTGGTGCGAAGTGGATTTCGCAACCATCCACAGTATGTCCCTCCCCAATGGGCAGTTTTCCTTCTGGTTTGAAAGCCACAAAGCAGCACAAACAAACCCACAGTATGTTGGTTTTACTTCTGGTTTCCTTTTAAAACCACACACAACAGGGGGTACGGGGGTACCCTCCAAAAAATGTCAGACCCAAATTGACCCCAGCTCGCCGGAAGCTTTCCTTCGCCCAGCTTTCTCAGGGCCCTCAAGCTTCCACCGAAGACACTCAGCCAGCATAGGGGCCTATCCTGTTTTTTGAAGGAACCCCCCTCAAAATGGTGGTAAAACCGTTTGGTTTCAAACACAAGATCTGGGTCTTGCTTGGACATCATGTCTTATTTTAAGCCCCACTGGGCCAAAAGCTAAAATAGATCGTGTTTTGTTGCGGCAACCGCGGAAACATCCCTCCTGCCCAGGGCTCTTGGGCCATTTAGGCGCTGTGGGGGGCAACTTGGACGAGCCGTCCCCGCCGCCTGCAGCACAGCCGCGATGGTGCGCGCGCCCTCGCAGGTGATGAGCTCCCCGCACAAATCCAGGCGCAGCAACGGCAGCGCGCCGGTGCGCTGAAGGCATCGGACTGTCAAGCAGAGCGCCACCTGAAGCCGGTGCCCAAGCTTCCATTTGCTTAAGCCCCTGGACAAAAATATGTCCCAAAGTGATGGATTCCCTTCAAAACCAATCGGGGAACATTAAAACATATCTCACATGAAAAAAGACAGATCACAAAACGGCGCCAAGAAACGAGATCCCCATGTTATGGGCTCATATGCGTGATGCTCAAAGCTTCTTGGCATGTGACCTCAAATGAGCCGCGGCGGCGTTCCCGTGGACTTTTGGCTCTACCATGGTAGCAATGCTTAGTCTAGGCCTTACTTACCATAAACCACCTGAAACAAGGCAGTGAACCGCCTACTACAATGACCTCGGCGCTGCTCAAATGTGTGATGGTCAAAACTTCGAATCTGTGAATTGACAGAATATTACAAGCCTTGGTTGGTGCAGCATCCATCAGAAGGCAAGCCACAACCAACCTCATATTCCCTGTAGAGTTGCAGGGGCTACAAAAGTTCATGACCAAAGGAAGAACAAAACATGTTTGTTTGTTTTCCGACAAGACATGCGCTGCATGCGAACAGATGTGAGCCATACAAGTTTCACAAAGAATCCCGAAGCCACTCAACCATACAAGCAACTTCTCCCCTCCAGTTAAGCTACAATGATACGGCAAGATGCGCCCAAAGCACATCTCTGGTGTCCAAACAGGAGAACCCTCAAAATGGCTTTCCTTTTTGGCTTCCCTTTAAAGCAACCTGCAAAGAGCGCCCTTGAAAACAGGCAGACAGCCATTGGTTGAGATGTGCCAAGACCCAACCGCCCCGAAGCCCCGCAAACGCGGCTTCAGGCGCCAGGTCCCCATCTCGGATCGGCCCGCCAGCGGCCCCCGCGGCTTTTGAGCCGCTCCCGAGCGCCAGCACCGGCGAGGGGCTGTGCTCGAAGTCCCTAAAGTGCCGCAGCAGCCTCGGGCGAAGGAAGGGTGCCAGCCATAGGTGTCCTTTTCGGGCCGACCGAGACTGGTCTCCATCGGGGAAATAGATGGGGTTCCCTGGTAGATGATGAAACCACCAGGTAAACCAGGAATCGCCTTCTAATTTTCGACCAAAAAAACCACCAAAAAGGGACACCTATGGTTCCGGCAGCACCCCCCATTTCCAAGGGTTCTTGTTTTTGGCAAGCGGAAAAAATCGGGTGGTTTCTCACCAGGATGAGGGGGGCTCGGGTCCGAGTGATCTGTAGCTCTGCGTCGTGATGTGCTCAAAGAGAACCTTCCAGGTATAGAAGCGCATGCAAGCAGGCGGACAGGCAAACAGAGAAACAGCACTGCCCTTCGGTTGTGAACGCGGAAAACACATACCCCACGGGCAGTCAAACAGATGGTTTTTCAAGGTCAAGAAGGCTCCCAAGAGATCGGAATGGCAGAGAGGGCAAAAGGACAGGCAGCTGTGATCAAGCACACGCCCCTTTGTGGCAAAAAAACACTCTATCCATTCTCATCAAAGCACCCTCCTCTTGACCGCCCCTGCAAACTGCGAAATAGCTCAACCGAAGAGTCCTGCGCCACACGACTCAGCTGTAGGCTGAGGAGCCTAAGAAGCTGACAGTATGTTTGGCCCAAGTTGAAAACTCCAATGCTCTCGGCCCAGGAAGGTTTGGAGGATCCTTTCTCCGAGAAAGCTGAAACTCGAGACTCGCTCCTTCGGCATTGGAAGATCCTTGGTCCTTTGGCAAGTTGCGTGGTGTCCGAAAAGATGCCTCTGGCACCCAAAGCCACCCCAAAGCCACCCCAAAGCCACCCCAAAGCCACCCCAAAGCCACCCCAAAGCCACCCCAAAGCCACCCCAAAGCCACCCCAAAGCCACCCCAAAGCCACCCCAAAGCCACCCCAAAGCCACCCCAAAGCCACCCCAAAGCCACCCCAAACGCCCCTTCGCCGCAGGCGCCGGGGATGCGGAGGCGACGAAAGCTGCTGACACTGCCAGCTGTAAGCAGAGTCCATGGCATCGGGCGCTTTGATTCTTTTAACCGAGAACGCCCCTCCAAAGTAGGCGTGATCCATATGGGTGCTGCTTTTATGTCCTCTGACATGGCTTCTGAAAAAGACAAATGTGGGCGTGGAAATGAGAGAGACAGAAGAACGGCTGTCTACTGGCCCTATGGCTTAGCTCTAGACAAATCCGCTGGTTTGGATGTGGCTGTCGTGCGGAGGTTTAGCTGTGACGCACCAGTTGGGGTACCCGGATTCGAGCTAAAAAAACGCCCTTTAGATGACACGTTATTGACCCATGCATGTCAACTGGCCATCATCTCATGCCACGCTGAAATATCTTATTTTGTCTGCACTGCAAGTACATGGCACAATCCCATTTATGTGTGCAAGTGAAGAGGATGACTCAACCAAAATAGGGAACTGTGCCATCCACCTGGGACAATGGGCATTTCTGGGCACTTTTTTTCATTAGCCTCACTCTTGCAACGGCTGAGCCATTCCGGGCAGGCAAAAGCGGATTTCTTGCGCCAGGATGTCCATGCTCAACCCTGAAAGTTGACAAAAAGGAAGCTTCTGTGAAGATGCTTGGAGTCTGGTAAAGCCTTCCTTGCAGTTTCGGTGTTACGTTTGCTGCAGGGAGCGCAGCGTGAAACTGGCAAGCGCAGCATGAAACTGGCTTTCTTGCGTTCGATTGAAGTGAGGCTACATGTGCTTGGAAGCTGCAGAAAGTCCAGGGTCCTCTGCAAGGGCCTGGAATTTCAAGGTTCATACTGCATGGATTTGCGGCGTGAGTTGGATATTCTCCCTGCAAGCACGACAAGCGTCGCTCTGGTTCTTTTTGGAAGTGACACCATGTTCAAAAGCCATCCTGTCCACGTTGATGGTTGTAGACAATCTGAAAGGCTTGACCCCTGGTTGATCAATCGCTCGATTCGTAGTGAGATAAGGGGGCTCCTTGGGCAAAGTTCGATCCCTTCCTAGATGGTGCGGTAACAAGCCTCAGGGAATCGCAAAGAAAACGGTACTTCTCTGGGTACAGAGAAACACACAAGGCAGCCAGCGCCGCTGACTCTGCGGTCATTGGTGGGGTGCCAAGGCCAAAAAGCCCCCGCAGAAGATACTATTATGGCAACTGACTGATTCTTGTCGTTCGTCTAAAACGCGCTGATGGAAACGAACTCCCAAGTTTCTCGCCCAGTAGAACTATTGTCCAGAGTTCATATGTTGTACTTCGCTATCACCGGAGATCGCTTGCCGCGCCTTTTTGTGGAGCTTTGGTTGCTGTCTGCCTTTGGCAGAAAACTGCGAGCAATGGGCAATGACTCGTCCCCCTTGAGGGGGCGGCGTGCACCAGAGCCAACCCGACAAGTGATGAACGCTTGACCCTGATTTCGGAGTGGTGCAACCAGCCTGTTTGATCCCGCCAGAAAGCTGAGCACACACAAACAAACAACAACCAAAAAGAAAAACAACAAACAAACAAACAAACAAACAAACAAACAAACAAACAAACAACTCATTATTTTCGGGTGCGGGACATTCTTTCAAGGCCCCAACCTGCTATGAGTGGTCCTCCTCAGCAACTACCAAAACTCCTGTTTGCGGGCAAATGCTGTGTGATGCTTGGAAACTCATGCCCCCCCCTCCACCGGTCCAGTGAGCCCTCCGCCTTAACCCTGCTCTTACTTGGGGATAACAAAGGGGATGAGAACCCTTCGCAGTTGGTTCTTGCAAGTGTCTTACCTCTTGCTCCTCTTCCATGTTTGTGCCAGGAGCTCCGGGCTCGCAAAACCCTGCAAGAAAAACAACAGAAAAACATTGAAACATACATGGTTGTGTATCTCTAGCTTAGGGTATAACATGATACAATCCTGGTACGTGACAACGATGATTGAAACTTCGGCTAAAAAACTCCAAGTGTTGCGCTTCTGCACACTTGGGTTGGCTCCAGCGAGGTCCAGTGCTGCTCTAAAGCCGCCGCTTGCCGACACCTTTTGCCGTGGAAGTCCACATGCGAGAAGAAGCCTGCGGGAACCCTTTTTAGGGCCGGGGTTCGAGGTGAAGATGCCAGGTTGCAAATCGAGGAAAAAACAGATTACCCTATGAAGACATCCGATGAGAACAAGATTGCGTCAGCTGCTGGTCTCTCCTTGATAGCCCTGGACGTCAATAGGAACTGCCATTGTCCTGCCCTGGCATCACATTCAGGTAAGTCCGTGGCTGCCTGTTGAGTAGTTACACTCGCAACTATCGAATGTATGTATGTGTATACATATGTATATGTGTGCATACATATATATATATACACATCAGTACGTAACAACTGTAAAGGACTGAGAATCACTTGGGCCTGGATGACAAATTGGCATCACATGCCATCAACTTGGGGGGACCCTGCGCTTTGGTTGGGCTGTGTCAAAACAATCTTCAACAAGCCAACAGATCAAAGGCCGGATCCAACCAACATGTTCTTGGCACGTGTGCAGGCGGAGGTCGGGCAAAAACACAAAACAATCTCACTCTGGCATCTCTAACGCATTCAAAGCGTCCACGCTGGAAAGCATTGCAAACAGATCATCCTGACAAGCTTTTCAAGCATTGTGATCCAAGGAGGTCCCACACACTCAAAGTGGCCTATCATCGCCAGACACAGCTGCTGCGGCTTGCTGGGAGCTGGCAGACATGACCACATCCCTTGCAACCTGCGCTGTGACATATCCCTCCTCCGATGGACCTTGCTCAACTGTGCTTTTGGGTTGTGAGGCAGACCCAGAGTCAGCCAGGTGTGGTGCAATTGCTTTTCTGGCAGTCGACTGTGCCACTACTGACTCCTCGTTGTCACTCAGCTCCTGATGCCACTCATGGCCAGACGCAGCTGCGGGCAATTGCTGAGAACTTGCAGACATGACCACATCCCTTGCAACATGGGCTGTGCCATATCCCCCCTCCGATTGCACTTGCTCAACTGTGCTTCTGGGTTGTGAGGCAGACCCAGAGTCAGCCAAGTGTGGTGCAATTGCTTGTCGGGCAATTGACTGTGCCGCTCCTGACTCCGTGTTGTCACTCAGCTCCTGATGGCACTCAAGGCCAGACCCAGCTGCGGGCACTTGCTGAGAACTGGCAGACATGACCACATCCCTTGCAACCTGCGCTGTTCCATATCCCTCCTCCGAAGGGACTTGCTCAACTGTGCTTCTGGGTTGTGAGGCAGACCCAGAGTCAGCCAAGTGTGGTGCAATTGCGTTTCTGGCAGTCGACTGTGCCACTACTGACTCGGCGTTGTCACTCAGCTCCTGATGCCACTCATGGCCAGACACAGCTGCGGGCTTCTGCTGAGAACTGGCAGACATGACCACATCCCTTGCAACATGCGCTGTGCCATACCCCTCCTCCGAAGGGACTTGCTCAACTGTGCTTCTGGGTTGTGAGGCAGACCCAGAGTCAACCAAGTGTGGTGCAATTGCTTCTCGGGCAATTGACTGTGCCGCTCCTGACTCCGTGTTGTCACTCAGCTCCTGATGGCACTCAAGGCCAGACGCAGCTGCGGGTACTTGCTGAGAACTGGCAGACATGACCACATCCCTTGCAACATGCGCTGTGCCATATCCCTCCTCCGAAGGGCCTTGCTCAACTGTGCTTCTGGGTTGTGAGGCAGACCCGGAGTCAACCAGGTGTGGTGCAATTGCTTTTCTGGCAGTTGACTGTGCCACTACTGACTCCGCGTTGTCACTCAGCTCCTGATGCCACTCATGACCAGACGCAGCTGCGGGTACTTGCTGAGAACTGGCAGACATGACCACATCCCTTGCAACATGCGCTGTGCCATATCCCTCCTCCGAAGGGCCTTGCTCAACTGTGCTTCTGGGTTGTGAGGCAGACCCGGAGTCAACCAGGTGTGGTGCAATTGCTTTTCTGGCAGTCGACTGTGCCACTGCTGACTCCGCGTTGTCACTCAGCTCCTGATGCCACTCATGGCCAGAAGCAGCTGCGGGCACTTGCTGAGAACTTGCAGACATTACCACATCCCGTGCAACATGGGCTGTGCCATATCCCCCCTCCGATTGCACTTGCTCAACTGTGCTTCTGGGTTGTGAGGCAGACCCAGAGTCAACCAAGTGTGGTGCAATTGCTTGTCTGGCAATTGACTGTGCCACTACTGACTCCGTGTTGTCACTCAGCTCCTGATGGCACTCAAGGCCAGACGCAGCTGCAGGCACTTGCTGAGAACTGGCAGACATGACCACATCCCTTGCAACATGCGCTGTGCCATATCCCTCCTCCGAAGGGACTTGCTCAACGGTACTTCTGGGTTGTGAGGCAGACCCAGAGTCGACTGCATGTGGCTCAGTCGCTTGTAAAACAATCGACTGCGCCACTACTGACTCCGCGTTATCACTCAACTCCTGATGCCACTCATGGCCAGACACAGCTGCGGGCTTCTGCTGAGAACTGGCAGACAGTACCACATCCCTTGCAACATGGGCTGTGCCATATCCCTCCTCCGATGGCACTTGCTCGACTGTGCTTCTGGGTTCCGAGGCAGAACCAGAGTCGACCAAATGTGGGGCAATTGCTTTTCTGGCAATTGACTGCGCCGCTGCTGACTCCGAATTCTCGGAATGCAGTCGGTCCGAGTCTGGACTTAAGCGCTCTGCTGACGATGGTGCCTGCTGAGCACTTGCAGCCATGACCACATCTCGTGCAACCCTTTGTGCCGCAAACTGCCCGTGCACATCCGATGTTGCTTGCTCCACGTCGGTATCCCGCGGTTCTGAGGCGGAACTGGAACCAACAAATTTCGATGCCAATACTTGCCGGGTAAGCGACTGTGCCACAACAGAGCCAGTGTCTTCGGAATTCAGTCGGTCCGAATCTGGACTCAAGCGCTCTGCTGACGATGGTGCCTCCTGAGCACTTGCCGACATGACCACATCTCGTGCAACCCTTTGTGCTGCAAAGCCTCCGTACACATCCGATGTGGCTTGCTCCACTTCATTCTCCCGCGGTTCTGAGGCGGAACTGGAACCAACAAATTTCGATGCCAATACTTGCCGGGTAAGCGACTGTGCCACAACAGAGCCAGTGTGTTCTGAATTCAGTCGGTCCGAATCTGGACTCAAGCGCTCTGCTGACGATGGTGCCTCCTGAGCACTTGCCGACATGACCACATCTCGTGCAACCCTTTGTGCTGCAAAGCCTCCGTACACATCCGATGTGGCTTGCTCCACTTCATTCTCCCGCGGTTCTGAGGCGGAACTGGAACCAACAAATTTCGATTGCAATACTTGCCGGGTAATCGACTGTGCCACAACGGAGCCAGTGTGTTCAGAATGCAGTCGGTCCGAATCTGGACTTAAGCGCTCTGCTGACGATGGTGCCTCCTGAGCACTTGCCGACATGACCACATCTCGTGCAACCCTTTGTGCCGCAAACTGCCCGTGCACATCCGATGTTGCTTGCTCCACTTCATTCTCCCGCGGTTCTGAGGCGGAACTGGAACCAACAAATTTCGATGCCAATACTTGCCGGGTAAGCGACTGTGCCACAACAGAGCCAGTGTGTTCGGAATTCAGTCGGTCCGAATCTGGACTTAAGCGCTCTGCTGACGATGGTGCCTTCTGAGCACTCGCCGACATGACCACATCTCGTGCAACCTTTTGTGCTGCAAAGCCTCCGTACACATCCGATGTGGCTGGCTCCACTTCATTCTCCCGCGGTTCTGAGGCTGAACTGGAACCAACAAATTTCGATGCCAATACTTGCCGGGTAAGCGACTGTGCCACAACGGAGCCAGTGTGTTCAGAATGCAGTCGGTCCGAATCTGGACTCATGCGCTCTGCTGACGATGGTGCCTTCTGAGAACTTGCGGACATAACCACGTCTCGTGCAACCCTTTGTGCCGCAATCTGCCCGCCGTGAGCCTCTGAGAGTGCTTGCTCAACATCCTCATCAGAAGCATTCGAAGCACCGGACGTGAATTGTGTGGCCCTGATCGCCTTCGCAGCCAGGGATTGTGCAGCCATGGAACCGCGGTCCGACACCATGTGGCTGTCAGCCTCACTGCGAGTCTGCAAATGTGCAGCAATGGCCTCAGATGGGCAAAGGCCAAGAAAGCCGCATGCCACTCAATGCTGGATGAAACTAGATATAACTAGATGGCACACTTCCTCCATGTCAAAGTTTGATAATTCAAGCTATATCTGGCATGGCTTGGTATCCAGAATCAAGAGCGAAGCTGAAATGCTCTGATGGCTGGGTGTCAAACAGCATCTTTGGCGTGCAAGTCATTGCATCTTCACATGAACAAACTGAAAGCGGCGGGCATCCTCCAGATATGGTACCGGCCGCATTCTCCTTCAATTCCCAGGGCAACCAACCACAAAATGACACATGATTTCGAAAACCTGCACGGGCGCGTGCGCTGTTGTTCAGAGACTAGTTCCTCAACTGCCAGGGAACGACCAGAATGGGCCAAACGCCCTTTCAAACAAGCTACAAATATCTGGACCTTCAGGGCTGTCCAGGCAACTCGCGGAATACCTGGGAGCCTAGCCACGTGTTCGTCCAGAATTTGGTCCCTCAAAGAATCCGCCGAAAAAAAACATCGTGCACGCCAAGGGTCTCCTTGGGCGATGTGCCGCGCTGCCACAGATCCGCTGCATACGGAGACCCGCTCGGCCGCAGAGCTGGGGGCTCCTGTGCAAGGCTCCCCCTCAAAAGTTCGTCCCGGGTCGCACCGCGAGCATAGGATAATCAGGGAATTGCACATGTTGCAATCTTGCAGCCAACAAAGGTTGATCCTGATAGGCCTGGAAGCCAAGCGTGGTTCTTTTTTTAACATGTGAACAAAGCCTAGCTCACCTTGCATTGCCACGATCAGGTGAATGTACATGCACAGCACAGGCGTGTATAACCTCAACGCAGAACCTGTAGAAGCGCCATGGAATACACTACGCGCCTTGTGTCATACATCAGAAGTGGGATTGAAGAGCTCACACAAACGTGTAAAGCGGAACGCTGACAGTGAAACAAGATGCGTATATTATATAAAAAATATATACACACATATGCAGATGCATGGTTGTCACCTCTCTTCCCAAAGCCAACCATCTAGATGTCTTACTGGCGCTTACTACCCATGTGTAGCGCAAATGAAATTCGGAGCAAGTCCTAGACACTGAATCGCGCTTTGATTCTACACCCAGCCTGCACCATAGCTTTTCAACTGGACTCTCGTTGCAGCAGTGGCTAAACAGTGATGCTGACAATGCTGATGATGCTGACAATGCTGATGATGCTGATGATGCTGATGATGCTGATGATGCTGATGATGCTGATGATGCTGATGATGCTGATGATGCTGATGATGCTGATGATGCTGATGATGCTGATGATGCTGATGATGCTGATGATGATCATGCTCGTGCTGGTTCTGGTGCTGGTGCTGTTGGCACCAGCGTGGGTGGTGCTGGTGGTGCTGGTGCTGATGCCGATGCCGATGCCGATGCCTGGCGGTGTTGTTGTTGTTGTTGTTGTTGTTGTTGTTGGTGGTGGTGGTGGTGGTGGCGGCGGCGGCGGCGGCGGCGGCGGCGGTCGTGGTGGTGGTGGTGGTGGCGGCGGTCGTGGTGGTGGTGGTGGTGGCGGCGGTCGTGGTGGTGGTGGTGATGGTGGCGGATGGGGTGTCCATGTTGAGGACAAACAGTGAGTCTAACTTTCTCACTTCCCCCTGCCACTCACCGTTCCGTTTCCACCAACAGCTTGCGGGCGCTTCCCAACTAGGGACCTCAAAACCAAAAAAGACCCCAAACAAGAAGCTTGACAAGTGGAGTGTCCACCAAACCACAGCCGCTCCTTCCCGGCAAATCCGCCACGCCAAGGACTGGGCGCGGGAGGAGCTGACAGACCGCGAGCCCAGCGACACCTGCAGCCCGGCGCAGGGAGGATTAAAAAAACAAGAGCCTCGAGCAGGTTTGTTTTATTAAAACGATGCCACTTCCATTAGCATCCGCAACCAGCCCACTGGGCGCTTCTCGCCATTCAGGACTCTCCAAGTGGTTGGTGTCCTTTGCGTTTCCACCACCTTCAGAAGAAATGGGCCCCGTGTGAGAAAAGTCTCGTGCGACATCAAAAAGGTCCCTCCACCCCGGGCAGCCTCGGAGCCCGGTGTGCTGCTGCGCTCCACCTGCTGCAGCACCTGAAGAGGGCCGCGCCAAGAAAAGGCCATTTCGGTGTGTCGCCCCAAAATGAGGTGGGTGTGTGTGTGTGTGTCCCCAAAAATAAGGAACCATTGTTTTATTGATTTTTCATAATGGGGGGGGATCAAAAAAAAGAGGAGCCCAATAAAAAATCAGGTTCCTTTTCTGTTCCCTACAAACCAGCCAAAAGGGGTTCCCCCAAGAAGACACACCCATTTGCCTCCTCACGAATCTTTGCCATGGCTGAAGCGCCCTTTCATGCTCACTGGTTGAGATGAGCCAAGCAAAGTCTGAACATGTAGTTGCCAAAAAAACAAAGATCAAGAAACTCGAGGGGAACCTCGCATCGTGGACTGGGGTCAAAGACTTTATCAACGGGTGTTATAAATAGGCTGGCTCCCCTTGCTGAGGCTTTAAAATTGTACGGCAGTATATAAGTTCAGGGGTGTACCAATGGCCGGCAAGCTAGTAACGAAAAGCGGGTGACTGCTTCAAACACGGGGACTCCAGCCCATTGACATCTGCTTCAACGAATTCTGCTAGCATTCCTCTGTCCAATCTGTTTAGTCATCATGCAACATTGACATTTGGCACGAGCGCCTGACTACCGGACATGGTGTGATGAGCAACTCCAATCCACTATAGCAGATCCATAGTGGATGAAGTGATAAGGTGCTGTACCTTGCCCTCAAAAAAAGGTTGGGAAAGCCCCAATTTGCCGCCAACCCGGGCTGTCGGCACCTGGTACGCGAGGTCCTGCGCCATGGCCGAATGATGGTCCTGGCCACAAGCGCAAGCGCTCGGCTCGCTAGTGATAGAGCAGTGGGACTGTTTTGTTTTTGTGTGTTGGGGGCCTCACACACACCACAGGATTGCCTGCTGGGTGTCGCGTGCAACCCGGAGGTATGGTTCATGTGGCTCAAAGAAATCCTTCAAAAACTCTGCCAGAATCTGGAGAGCCGCTCAACAGGAACATCCCCAAATAAACACATGTCAGGACAAAAATGCATTGGAGTTTTGAGTTGGTTGGCATGTTCAGTTCCTGCCGAAGTGATTTTTTGGCTTGTCTGAAGATAGCGACACAAGCTTTGTGAGGTCTCTCTTTGTTGGATGAGCCAGAGGAGCTCATGGACATTCACGGAGTTAAACAAACTAGTGTTTCTCGGAAAGGCCAAATGAGAAAGTAGTATCATGTCATGAATAGGGGATTGGCCCTTTGAAACAAAAAATGCAAACAAACAGGGCTCCCTATACTTCCTCTTAAAACATCACCCCCACCAAGGGACACTCAGTTTGGGCCGAAAAGGTGATGCTTAAAACCACCAAAAAGGGAATGAAAGGAATCGACCACTGACAAATGCAAACCATGGCAAGAACTTCCAAGACACAGAAGAGGACTGGAAGTTGCCGGGTCCTGAAAGTCACATGGGTGTTAGGAGACCCCCCAAAGTGGCTTCGGTGTTCCTCCTGGTTGTTCTGAAAACCCACACCAAAAAAGGTCCCCCCCCCCAAAAAAAAGACGACACACCACGTTTGGCGTTTTCCGGAGGAAAAAACGCTCCCCACTTCCCCCCCCTCAGCCGCTCCTCCGGGCTGTTTTGATGCGTACGCACCGCGTCCAGGTCAGTCCAGGGCGACTCCGCCTCCTGCCATGCGACTCCGCTCAGCGCCCGGGGGGGTCCCCGCACTTCCCCCGGCGAAGGCGGGTTTGATCCAACTTGAATCCATCGCCGCTGTAGGTTCCCAAAGGGGAAACGGAGGAACGCCAGTAGCTGGGTATCCGAGGTGAAACAGAAGCAAAGAGACAGGGCCATCAATGTTCAACCAAAACTGAGCGGGGACTTGTCATGGCTCCCTTTTTTGGGGATCCGTTTCCCTGCTGTTGGAAGCGTGGTGATATATTTGTTGGATCTGGCATTTCCAGGTCCCAAACTAGACGGGGGAAGGTGCATATCTCCTGTTTGCTGTTTATAGATCAAGTGCATACTCAAGCCACGGGAACACAGATAGCCTGCGCTCTTCAGCCGTGGCGACTACATTGCAGTGGTTGCGTTGTCACACCACAAATCATCACACTGCCTGGATTGCCAGATATCCTCCTCTACTTGGTTGCCTTCCTTGAGTAGATCCTGCGGAAACCCGATATCCTGCGTTAGCCGCCTAGGGGGCAGGACTCGGAAACACCGCAGGGTTGGCGAGGCCAGGCGTGGCCGAGAATACGCGCATAGCTGTGTGGTGCGCAGCTAAATGAACCAGTACAGTATCAGCTTTTTGGTTGATCTGGTGCGCATTCTACGCATCGCATCGTGAATAAAAGACAGCCTTTTCGTTGGTGTCTGCCGAGAATCCTCTGTAAAAACCCATATGTCTGCAGCTTTGGGAGCACCCAACACCCAAGCAAGGCTTCCAGAGATGGCTGGGCCACAGATCCCACCAGAAGATTCTCCAAATGGAAGTAATCATGCAAATCCAGGTCAAAGTTGCCCCAAACTTGGACTTGTTGCAACCTGAGAGCGGTCAACAACAAGCGAAATGGTGTACGCCGCACATGAAGCCCCACAAACGTTCTGGTTTTCCACTGCGGTTTCCTTTCGTGGCGCCGTCGCTGCCTCTTCGGGTCCCCTCCAATCGGATCTATCCCCGCCTCCCGCTTCGGCAGGATCTCCCCCACCAGGCGCCGGGCCAAGTCCGCGGCCGACTCCTCGGCCGAGCCCAGCTCTGGAATTGCCAGGAGAGTACCTGGCCACCGGGCCGCGGCCGCATCCGCTGACGCGGACGGGAACGGGGGGGGCCAACGGGGGCGTGGCCAACGTTTTAGCATGGCCCTCACCTGCTTCTTGGAGGGTGTGGGAGGTCCGCCAGTTCCATTAGCCTTCTTCAGGGTATGCTTTTTGGAAGGGAAGCTAAAAGGAAGCCATTTGGGAGGTTCCCTTTGTGAAACCTGTCGGGTTGCCAAAAGTCAACCTGACCTAGGAAAGAAAGAAAAATATCTTTGCCGACATAGCCTCAACTCAACAAGCTGGCTCCTCTCCGTTGCATTCGCAAAGCAAAAACAACACAAATCACCCGACGGCCCGTTCCACTTCCGTGCACCAAGGGTGTCCGCACCTCGGGGCGTCCAGCCCGTTCCTCCCAGTAGGCCTAAGAGGCGCGTGTCAAAGTCGGGTCTGACCGCACGCCAATCCGCCGGAGCATTCTTGGATCGGCTATGAATCAAAGCAGCGGCCCCAATGCGAACACATGTCCAGAATGAACGTGAACCAGCATTTTGGCAGTTGCTCATGTGGGCCTCAGCGTGGCAACTTCTCCGGAGGCTTGGCATGCATCAGCAGACCGGGGCACTGAGCCCATCACGCCCATCTCAGTCCGCCCAGAAGGGAAAGACGGAAAGAAGGCCAGAGGAGCAAGCCACTGAACAGGTGGTCAAGTCGTTCGCACCAAGAAGAAGCGTGCCAATCGGATGCCAAGGGCAAAAGCACCTGAAGGCCAGGTGTATCGACCCAGGAACCCATGGCTATTTGGTGCCAAACCGTGGCTCTGTTCCAACAGTGAAGCCATGACTCCGGGGGCGCCAGGGGGCTGCATTCAGCCTCTAGAAACGGCACAGCCTGCCCCTCATGCCCAAAACTGCCCAGGTGCCCGAAAGAGAGGTGGGAGCTGGGAGGGGGGGGGGGGGGTGAAAACCCTAGGATTCTGGGGGTCCCCGGCGCTGGTTGCCCAGGGTGATTCGCATCTTGTTGAGCTGTGGCAGCTTCGGCGCCTGAAGATCATGTGCATCGTGGGAATCACGCTCGCCGGCCGCAACAACCTGAAGATCCAGACAAAACACCAGGCCTCTCACATCTTACAAATGGCTTCATACTTTGTATTTGCACCTGGAATTCAGTGGGATGGTTTCAAGCGTCTGCTGAAGTACATGGGCCACTGGAGCTATGCTCTAAGGGTTGAATCTCACCAAGCTGCTGAATCGCCAGGCGAATGGCCCATGGTATTTGGGTGGCGCGAGACAACACGCTCTTTTTTTGCTTGTCAAAAAGAATTGGCAAACAAAGTCCCCTTACCATGTGAACAACCTGTCTGGCGCCTGCTACCAAGCGCCAAGAGCCGCACTGCCCCCCCTGGTTGGGTCACAGGTTTCGATGAGTATCAGTTCGCATGAAAAACGATGCAATCCGGCATTCTCCCAGCAAAGCTTTATCGCAGCTCAGAAGAGCTGGCAACACGGCTTTCATGTACCATGGTCGAAACTCCTATCAAGAATGGTCCGGGAACGCTGGATCTGAATCCCAATGACAAACAAGATAGTGGAAGGGTTTATGACCATCTCAACTCAGACCCATGCACAATGGGAGGGTCCGTTCACTACATGTGTATTTAGAATTTCAGACATCACCTTTGATTGGTGTCTGAATCGAAACAACATGTGTTCGGTCCACATGTTCTGCCAGTTCAGCTAACATGCAGCTGCCTGGTGCACAGGGGCAAGTTGTTGTGTCGTCACAAAGAAAACGACACCACACATTTTGGACGCAGCGTCACATGAGTGGGAAGCAAGCCATGACTATGATCCCGCTTAAACCATGAGTAGAGCTAAACTTACTCAACTCCGCAACAAGTGTTTCCAATTGAACGTGGGAGCAGCGCCCCCAACAAAGGTCAACGGCGCGCCCTGGATTGTCATGACCAGGGTAAGGCAAGATCTGTATCAAAGAATCCCTCCTCACCTTTGAAGGGAAATCAAGATGAGGCCGTTGAACTGGGAGAATCCCCCTGCAACAGCTCCAAACTTGTCGGTCACGCCCTCCTAAAAAGCACGCGTGAGAGCACCCTGAGCAAGAGTCCTCTAAAAACCATTCTCAGTCAGGCACCTTTGGTGACCGAGCAGCGTCGGCTTGCCGGGCGCTCTAGCGCGTTCCAACACGTGGCCAACCCCGAAGCCCGCCCTCGGAAGGCACCGGCAACTGGCAACGCGCCTTGCGCGTCTGCCGCTTCCAGGTCAGCGGCACCTTCCGGGGCCCATGGCCAAAGCCAGTGAGGGTTGGCTGCATTTGTTGGTTGGGAAAAACCCGTCCATGTTTGGCTCACCAAAATGGATGGAAGACACTCCACAAAAAAGAAGTGTGGAACGTTGAACCAAAAGGGCCACCATGAAGATCCCAAAGAAAAAAAGGAAAAAAGGGGTGCCACTGGGCAACTGGGGAAGGTTGGCTGATTCATCCGCCGATTCCTCTGGCAGAAGGCAAAAGGGCAGAGTGCGCAACCAGAACTTGGCCCGGATTGAACCTCTCTTGCGGCGGTGCGTGGCAATCCAAATCTGCGCCGCTACCAACGGGCCGCTTCGAAAGATGGGATTTAGATCCTTCCCATGCAGCAGATACATGCTGCAAACGCCAGGGTCCCTTCTTGCACCCACCAGTGGCCATGCCACTGGAAACGCCATGGGGTCGTCTAAGGACGGCGTGTGACCCCTGGGTGCCGGCCAGGCGATCTAGCCTTGCGAAAAAGGCGCGGGAAGAAATCGAAAGCCGGAAGCCAAGTCGCAGAAAAAGCGGTGGGCTGGTGGGGCCCTCACATTTTGAAGTGGAAAAGTCTTGATACCTCCAAAAAGCGTCCCCAAAAGTTCAAAGTTCAGCAACCCCAAGGAGGCCCTCCCCCAAGAGGACGCCTCTGGGCTGAACTCATCCTGCACCACCGGCGCCGTGGGTCGCCGGAAGTGCCGCTTCGGCGGGGCCGCCATGCGAGGCCGCCCGGCGCCCCCCGGCGGGCGAGAAATTTCGGGCGCTGCGAGGAGTCCATAGAGATTTTCCCCAGTGGAAAGTTGCAGCTTGGAGTCCATGAAATATGCCCACAGCTCCAAAAAAAACTGAGAAATCATCTCAGAAAACTGCGAGGTCATGGGGCCATTGTTCGGGGCAATGACATACCTCGGCTGGGTCCATGTCACTGCTTCTGCCCGATGCTTGAGACCCTGCGGCAAGGCAGCTTCCTGTGGTCTGAACATGCCGGGGCTGTGGTGCCATTTTAGCTGAGATGCTTTGCTTGTTTCAATTGTCTGAAGTAGACACCCCCCATAAGCCTTGCTACACATTAGCCTTGCTACATGTAAGCCTTGCTACATGCAAGCCTTGCTACACAGTAGCCTTGCTACACAGTAGCCTTGCTACACATAAGCCTTGCCACACATAAGCCTTGCTACACAGTAGCCTTGCTACACGTAAGCCTTCCTACACGTAAGCCTTACAAGAACCGCAGGATACCTCTGGGCTGATCGTAAAGAAAACCTCGCAGAAAAGGCCAAATCGACGCACTTCTCTGAACCGGGGGTTTCTGACTTCGGAGGCGACTAACACAGAAGGACCTGCCCCAACCATGCCCTCGCCCCCCTCACTTCTCTTCACGCCAGCCACCAAGAGCGGCCACTCCCCCTTTCAGGGAGGGCCTTGCATCACAGCCGGGAACCTGACCGCAAGGGCTGGATAGCTGGCGTGGTGGCGTGGCAGTTGCTCACGTAATCTGAATCTATCTCAGTCTCAATTCAAAAGGAATCCGGAATCTAGAAGTGGGATTGCCAATCCAAACCCTTCAAGGTCAGTTTAATCTATCAGTCGTCGGTATGTCCCCCTCTCGTTGCAGGCCCACTAGCGGACTTCGAGAAAGCCCAAGTCTGGTTCGTGGGCATTGCCCACAGCGTGATCCAGCCAGACTGCAAAAAAGGCTCCTTTAAGACTGGCTATCCGGTCACCCCGCGCTGACTTCAGCGTTGTGGCATATTGTCACCACAAAGGCACTGTCCAGGTCAGCCACCTGCGATCACCGCCACTGGCAAGACACACACAAGAAAAGTTCGGGGAAGATCCAGTGAATAAAAGTCTCTATTTAAAGTCGTTGCATATAGTTCCTTTCAAAGTGTGCTTCATCAAAAGTATGGTAGCCCTTGTCCAATCTGGACTAAGTATTCAACGGAAGATGCGGTTGAGGCCAACTTGTTGCTTAATCTACCGAATATAAAAATGCCCAACATCCAAAGCAAAGTTTGATTGTCCGCAAATGAATGATCTTGCCTCTTCAACTTGGTTCCTCATGCGTCTTGTGCTTGAGCAAAGCCGTTCTGAGACCATAACAATGCTCGCCCACCTCGGTTTGTGACCAACCTTGTCTTTCCGTCGCCAGTGTTGTTGGACCGACCTCATGTTGACCCATCCGATCTTTCAGCCATCCCTGTTCGAACAAGTCTGCTGTTTGAGCAAGTCATTGGCAAGGGAGCAAGTAGTAGTAGGTTGCGAGGGGTTTGCCGCTCTGGTTGGGTGCAAGCTTCCAATATTGACCGCTTTTATGAACTATGTTGCACCTTCAGTCAGGGCGGTCTGTATGGGACGCAGTTGCTTGCCATGGAAAGCATCACTCCAGCCAAACATGTTTAAGAAACTGTTTGAGTCAGCCTTAACTTTCAGTGGCAAAATGCGATTGCCCGTCGGTGGCCATGGGAAATGTCAAATGTGACTCTGGTTTGGCCTGTCTTGTGGGAAACCCTGGTCAAACAAGTATCATGGATGACACTCTTCCAACAAAGCAAAGCGGGCAGGGGACCATGGATTGTCTTGCGCCCTTCTTTCAGCTGCCATAATTTCCAAACTTGCATCTCCCCTCAAAGCGACCTTCTCCTTTACACATCCACATGGAGCCCCGAAGAATCCAAGGGTATCCAAAAAAAAGAATCCTCAAAAACCAGTGATCAAACCAGGGTGGCAGTAGATGGCACAGATTCCTTTACGTGGAAAAGGGTTCCATATCAATCTGCCGGGCATTTCAGCTTGGAAATTTCCGCGCCTGAGGCATCATAGTAGTGGGACATGTCCACCGCCGGCGCCGACCTACGCTAAGCTAGCCATCCCATTCAGGAAATTGGGGCGCACTCGTGTGCTCGCAAAGCACATTTGTCATGTATGTCAGGTGTATAGATGTATACATGTACATATGTAGCGCTATATGTATGCTTGCAATATGTTACTTCTGCGTCTACATCTATATATATATATGTGTGTGTGTGTGCTTGTATGTATCTCGGCGTATCTATGTATCTACTGCATGTATCTGGCCTCTATGTGTCTATATATCTACATGTCCGCATCTCGGTGTATCAACGTATATGTATCTACGTACCTACGTAGCTTGATGTATCTATGACTATGCATCTACATATCTATCTCTATGCATCTATGTCTTTAACGTATCTATGTATCTACGTGTCTATGCATCTACGCATCTATGAATCTATGTATTTATGAATGAATATGTGTTTAAATATATATATATATATATGTATGTGTGTGTCTATGTGTCTATGTATCTATGTATCGCTGAATCTATCTGTTAGTCTATGTATCTATCTATCCGCGTATGTATGACATGAGCATGCATGTGTATGTGTGTAGTGTGTACACATCACAGTATACCTGCGTATAATATAAGCATGTACATGCGAAGCGCACTGGCGGCTCCTTTTGCGATACGCGCATGCAAAGTAAGAAACGTGTTGAAATGTTGCTGCTGCTGATGTGCGTGTATGGTCTTAAACACCTGAACACCTCGGGCCGGCTGGCCACGGCGATCACGATGCTGATGTCAGCACTCATTATTTTTCTTTGTCGTCGTGGACCTGGCTGCTGTCGGAGCCTTCCGCTGCCACCTCCTGCGCCAGCTGCTCCCGCCTTGCAGCACACCGTTGCCCTCGAAGTGCTTCCTTCGGGGGTCTGCTCGGCAACGTTGAGCTCTCTTCAGCTCCTCGCTCTGCTTGTTGGCCTCCGTCTGGACCAGGCAAAGATGGCCTTCACGAAGAAATGTCTTCAGGCCAGTCTTGTCGCGATTCGCCTCGGTCAAGACGTCAGCCATATTCTGCTCCCGATCAATCCACCTCACATGCGCGTTGGGTTTCCTGACAGGCTCCCTGAGCAAAGCCCCAGAGTCTGCTAAGTGGATTAGAACGATCCACATCTGGCCAGTAGCGCATCCGAAAGTTGGCCGCCCGCTTGACCTGTGTGAGCACTGCCTGAGTCTCACAAGGTTTGCCACGCAGGGGTCAGCATCAAGCATTCTCGTAAGCCAGATCGCACCACAGCTGCCGCACAATCCAGTTCAGCTCTCCAGCCAAACTCTCGAGCTGCTTCTTCTCATCCGTGAGCTTCGCCTCCAACTCCACTTGGAGCAACCTCGTGGTGGACTACCAGGCCTTTTTCCTGAATTTCTTTGCCATCTACGGCTTCTCCAAGTGCCCTGTTCTACCTGCGGGTTAAACAGGAGCTGAAGGGCATCCTCGTCACACATGTGGACGACCTCGAGGGTGGCGTCGCTGGCGATTACTTCGACAAGGCCTTCGCACGTTCGTCCAAAGCACTGGAGTTCGCCACCAACCATGTGAAGAATTCCATCTTCGAGGTGAAGCAGAACGTGGCCAACTACGCCCTGAATATGAAGAAGTTGCAAGAACTTCCCTTCCAACATCCTTTCCAAAGAAGTAGGCATTCTTGATGTCCTTCTTGGACTGCAGGATGAACTGCATGATCCCTTCTGTACTGCCCAAGGGGCCTGTCTTGAACCCTTGAACCACCAGTCGGGACTTGTCGGCGTTGTGGATGTTCTCGTTCTTGTTAGTTCTCACCCATCTTGTCGGGATGATGAGCTCGCGCTTGTTCTGGCGGATGTCCTGGCTCTCATCTGGACGCAGGCCTTCCACTCCTTCTCGTCGGAACCACCTGGACCATTGAAAAGCTGTTGCTGTTCTGCTGGTAGATCATGAAGCGTCAGCTCCTTCCTGCCGATGTTGTCGCGAGAGCGTGCTCGCCTTCCGTCAAGGCCACATACCTGTCCCAGAAGTCATTGCGCTTGACACCAAACAAGAAGTCCTCCTGCTCGACGCCCACCTCCTGAGAGGCTGTCTGGTTCCGCGCGCAGTTGGCACTCGCCTGGCCCTCGAAGAAGTAGGGCTCCTCGAAAACCTCATGGCGAAGGACGCACTCCCTTGTCCAGGATCTGGCCGCTCCTCAACGCGTAACCGCTTGGCGGCTCGCTCCATCGCCTTCTGCTCCGCGTTCATCTCCTCGTCATCAATCTCCGGATCAAACATCAAACTGGGGATGGAACGGCATCCCCACCGGCCATGGCGCGGGCCGCCGAGCAAGCTCCGCTACCAGTGCGAAAGCGCACTGGCGGCCCCTTTTGCGATATGCGAATGCAAAGTAAGAAACATGTTAAAATGCATGCAGGCCATGTGACCATGGTCTTAAAGACCTGAACACCTCGGGCCGGCTGGCCACGTCGATCACGATGCAAAAAAGGCAAACGTGGGCTTTCAGCCCCATGATTCCCACATGTGTATATATATATATATACACATATATACACGTATAATATATATATATATCATATATCATATATCTATATATCTATATACATATATATATACATATATATATATATTATAGACACACAGAGTGCCTGACATCAGTTCATGAGCCCCATCCGTCAGCATCTCCCGCCTCCCCGGGCGAACGGCACCTCAGAATGCAAAAGGGCTGTGCTGCTGTGGATGGACGAAACACGTTCGCACCACCTAAGAAACCATGGTTGACACCATCCCGTTGTGTGGTATTCCGTTGGAGAGGGCTTCTTAGGTGCAGGAGTTGGTTCATCCGCAGCGTGGCTCAAGTATGAAGAATGGCTTGCTCCAGTAGTGGCCCTGTTTTCTGGGGACATATGTGCCGGTAAGAGCTGCATATGCAATGCCAATCAGACCTCTGTGTTGTCTGCCGATGGCTTGGCCCAGAAGGAAATCCCAGGCTGGAAATCAGCAGCTTCTTTTCAACAGACGGAAGGAAAACTCTGACACCCTGAAACTCAGGCACCGGGTGCTGGTGGGCGACGAGCAGGGAAGCCTGGACAGAAATCAAGATGGCGGTGAGTGGCGAAACGGGGGAAGGGGGGTGGGAGGGGGTGGGGGGGGGGGGAGTAGGCAGGGCAGGGAGGGTTGGGGGGGTGAGGGGCGGGTGGGGAAGGGCGGGTGGGGAAGGGGGTGGGGGGGTGGGGGGGTGGGGGGGTGGAGGGGTGGGGGTGGGGGGGGGCGGGTGGAGGGGGCAATTTGAGAGGGGATCCCGAAAAATGCGCGGTGAAGTGATAAAGAAATAGGCTCCCTCGTTGGCAGTGCCAGCCAATTCGATCCTCTGTGCCCCAGCTTCAGCCTGAACTGTCATACCCTGCCAGTACCATTCCGCGCCCCCAAAAGGAACCCCAAGAAAGACAAGGATCACAACAGGTGGATGTCCTCGGCTTCCCTTTAAAGCCATCGACAACCGGGCACCCCTTCAAAACAAACACCAGAAGGCTTGAAGGTCAGGTCCCTGCAGCCGCGCCTTCCATCAAATAAGTCGCGGCAGTCTCAACGTCGTTGTGCGCGAAATCCAGTGCCCGTGTCACCTGCCGGAAAAAGCAAGGGGACTCTTCGAGTGCGAACTATCGGCACTGACCAGAACCTTGCCGGCGCGAGAAAAGTGAAATGCACGTGGCCATGGGTGATTTTCTCACAGCCACATTCCCGATGCATCGAGGGATTCGGGCAAGCGAATCCAGATGGGTGTGGCTCAACATCTATTAGCCGGGGGACAGCAGGCCCCGTTCTCTTGAGCACCCAAATTGCGAGGACTCAACAAACCTTGGCCGACCTGCCAACACCTTCTCAAGGCCTTGCCAATGGTCTCGCCTTCGCCTAAGGGATGCAGTGTCCGATCAAAAAGCGAAGAATTGATAGCCTGACACTAGCAGCATTGCGACATGCTCAGCACGGCCTGAGCTCTTGTACTGCAGGGATCAGTTCAATATTGTGCCAATGTGCAATTGTTTGTCATACAGATCCACAACATCTAGCAACGGCCACGGGTATCGCCGCATGATTGGTGTTGTTGAAGATGTCGACTTGTCTAAAAGTGATGAGTCAGAAATGAGCAGCATCACCATCAACGGTATCGCTTCCGGTCATCTGTCCGCACGGATGGATCGAAGAAGCAAATACCGGCTAAGCTGAAAAGCCCCAGCGAAGAAACAAAGTGTCTGCCAAACTTCCAGCAGACCTCGAGTTTCTGCTTAAAGTCGCAGGAAGGAAGCAAGTGAGCCAACCCTCGGCAACAAAAGAATCTACCCAAATCCAAAGGATCCAACAGACAGCGCCAGGATGTCCCCCCTCCAACTACATCCATCAAAGTGACATCCTGTACCCTTCAAAGGGTTTAGAGGACCACAGAATTACCCCAAAAGTGATCTTTTGAGAACCCCTCCAAACCTTTCTGTTTCCCTCTAACCCTGAGAGCAAAAACCCGAAAAAAAAAAAAGAGGCAACCCTCCTCCAGAACCAAAAGCCCCGCGCCGCCCACGTCACACGCGCGCCCCCCGCGCCTCAACTTCCGGGAAGCCCATGGCCATCAACATCTCCATCTGAGCGCTTCGTTGGATCAAAGGCGGTGAAGGGAAGCCAAGGGAAGGAAACGAAACCGGGGGGCTCTCAGAACTGGTGGGCCCAGCAAGTCGGATGGTTTTGAAGGGAAACCACCTACCCCAATTTTGATGGTTTTGAAGGGAAACCGAAAGGACACCACCTTTACCCAATTTGAGAAAGACACCAACTGGAAGACCAACAAAAACCGACAGAATAGGGAACCCAACAAGCTGGATGGTTTCAAGGGAAACCAAAAGGAAACCAAAATTATCCCAATGTTTGAGAAAGACGGAAGACCAACATAAACCACGTGAGACCAAATCCAAGTGAGACCAGATCGTCCAACACTTGCTGGGGAACGAACATCTGTTGTCCGGAGTTTCTGGCTGGCTCACTTGCATGATGAGGTTTCTCAACTTCACCCTGGTTTGGCTGGTGATGCCCGATAGCAAGTGCCAACACGGAAAACTGCACTCCAAGGTTTGACCCCCGTTCTCTTCACCCATGGTTCTCAGAAGCAACCCATGTTGCCTGCAGGTTTGCCCATTTTCTGCAGAGAAATGTACATGAGCACGGGAAGGGTACAGCCATAAAAGCAGCACGCCGTCTGAGACACTGGGCACTAAGTCAAATCCGGGGGAATTGCAGTGAACTGAGAGCACCTCTAGAGTCACTCCCGTGGACACCTTGTCTGGATTGTTTCAAAAGAAAACCAAAAGCAAACACGAAAACAAGCCAGGGTCCCGTATTTTGAGAAGCAAACAATCGGAATCTGTCTACCTAACCCCCGCCCCTTAATTACCCCCGCCCCTGCTGTCTTGCAGAAAGCGTTGAGAAGCCCCTCCGACAGTAGCCAAAAGCCGCAAAGATCCGCAACTGCGTGTGACACATAGCACTGCTGTTCTGACTTGTTGGATCAACTCCATGGCTTCGATTGCGTTCCGAGAAAGGATGTGGGTCAGCCTGCACAGCAACTGGATTGAAGGGATCTTCTTGCCAACTAGGAGGATCCCCCAAGCTGATTTTCATGGTGTCCCTTTAACACTACCAGGGTGCCCTGCACAAAGACACACCCATTTCACAAGAAACCGGCAAGGCCACCGGAATGCATTGCGGGGTTTCCCCGTTGACATATACATATATATATATATATGTATCTATATATATATGTCACTAGTTGTATATATATATATATGTATACATTAATATTATATACACTCTATCCACATAAGCCAACAAAAACAAACTCGGCAACGGATGCCACCTCCGGCGCCACTCAGATTCCCCCGGATTCACCGGCTCTGGGGCTTCGGGCGCCGCTGCGCACCGCCGGGTTGGGCGGCGGAAGCTTTAGGAAGATCTCGTCCGCCACGTCCCGGACCTCACGCGCCGTCCCACGACGTCCTCGTCTCCAAGGGAACAAGGGCATGGGAAAAAGGGGGGGGTGACCGGAAAAAAAAGGGGGGGGTGGTGGTGTAGGAAAAAATAGGCACCAGGACCAGGACGCGCAGAAGAGTCCAAAGAAAAGAGGAGCTTGTCCGGGCTTTTTGTCTGGGAGAGAAACGTGTTTCAAGAGTCCACATCAAGAATCTGGCGGCCTTTTGTGCAACACAATCTCCATCGAATGGCAGAGTCAAATCCCGTCTCTTCCAAAATATGCCAAACTTGGAAAATGGAAAACAAGTTCAGAAAATATTTGGTTCAGATTGTCCAAGTCTCCTCTTGTTCAGAAACTCCTGGAAACAAGTGGGCCTTCCCACTGTGACCGGGACAACTGAGCCCATCCAAGGCCCGTGCATCCTGAAAGAGCTCACCCCCGTATCCCTGCACACCAGGGTCCTGGTGTGAAGGAACGAAACGGAGACTCCCTGAAGGAAGCACGAACAACCGCGAGAGATTCGGATGTGTCCTTCTCACAGCTTTGTGGCGCTTTCTAGGATTCCTAAAGGAACATCTTGATGCACTTATCTAATACCCATCACAAATATCGGTTGCAAGATTGGAGTGAGAACTCTCCAAACTCCCTTCACACACGAAGGCCTGCCACGTGCCGATTCCGGCACGTGCCCTTTGGAAGCCGCGCGCACAACTTGCGCCGACGCGTCCCCCGCGCCTTGAAGTTGTTGCACACTTGCGACAGGTGGGCGCGGGACAGCGAGCGCAGGTAGTGCGCGCCCCAAGACCTGAGACGAAATGCAGCGGTCAGCGTGTGGCCGGCGCCTTCTATGGCCACTTCACGTCTTCACGGCGTACCGAAGTTAGGTGCTGCAACAGACCGTGTCAATGATACATGAAGAAGGGGAAGAAAGGACCATAAACAGCAAAGAAGGAACACTCGCGTTTTGTTAAGACTATGGATTTCCTTGCAGGGATGATAATCCAGCTCTTCTGAGGGTCCAGCGTATACCAGTCCTGCGCGGCCGCCGAGGGATCCCTACGTTCCATCTGCACGCCATCCCTTGGTTGAAAAATGTCAAAACCAGCCAGGCTTCACACACTGCACACACCATGTGCGCTGTCTCTAACTCTGAATGGGTCGACAAGCAGGCAACAGGACAACATAGCCCCGGCAAGTCAATAATCGCCCGTTTGATGATCACTGGTCCCTCGCAGACAAAATATTGACGTAGTAAAAACCCACCAGTTCAGGCGTCATGTAACGCCATCTTGTAGCTATGCAACGCAAATACGCCCCGCGACTCGCCGCGCCTCTCAAAACCAATGAGTCATCTCCTGTTCGACAAACAACAACATTGGGTTTATTATTTATGCATACACATATATATATATATACATGTATATAGATATGGTTTTCATGTTGGATTCAATAAAACCCAATACACGTAAATTGCAGTACGGCCCTTCTTTGCTCTGTACCCCTGGCCTTTCTGGTCGAGAACCGCTGAACCCCAAATCGTCAAACCCAACTCTTCGATCGCTGTCCTGCCGGGAGACCGCCTCCGCAACCTGGCCCTGCACCTGGGAAATCGCGGGGGCGGTGGCTTTGGAGCCCTTCGTTTGGGTGTCCCATGGATGGCTTCTGGCCAGTGGTGTTGGATTTTGGGATTTTGGAACACCACCACCGAACTTAGCTCGTGAAAACACGTCCAACCCCCGAACACCCGGAATCCTCACCTCGCCGGGCACAATCTCTGTGAACATGCTCCACCATGGTCCCTGTCATCCCCCCGGTCACATGAACCGTACATAGGAGCCCCAGACCACAAGCAGGTCGACTGTGAGGTCTGCCTAATTCTGAAAGGGATCTCACTGCACCTCTCGATGTCTAAGTGTCAGCCTTGCGCGGATAGCCGCAAGCTGCGTGCATGGTGGGCATTCACAACTTTGACATATCGCTGTTTCACAGGGCAAGTGTTGCAACCCACTCTAAGACGTATCCCAAACCCGCAGCCTCCACCCTGACGTCAGAGGCATCTCGAGCTTCAATGCGGTGCCTGAGCTGCCAGCATCCTCCAGCAGGCCCTCCAGCAGCGGGACTGAGCGGACAGGCCGATGTGGCTTCTGCAGCTGTCCATGCTGCCTTAAGGTCGAGAAAAACAGAAACACCTGGCGAAAATCAACACACGTGACCTTTTTGCTACCAAAAGCCAAGCTATCTAGTAAGGTTCCGGGATTCACATGAAGCCTATTCAAACAGAGACACCGATTTTTATCACAATGGAATGGCCAATATCTGCCGTGAAACCAGTCCCAAACAGGGACCGTGTGAGGCACGCGAAAGGGCCAATTGGTGGTCGCTGGTTAAGGTGGCCAATTGACCCTTTCTCGCTTGGGTGTCTTCAAATAATGGGACCCCTAAAGACGCGTCCTTGCATGTTCGCTTTTCCCTTAAACTCCCAGATTGGAACAACCCAAATGGGATGCCTGCCAGAATCCCCTGCCTTCTTGCCGAGCTAGCCTCAGCTCCTTCAGAAACTCCTGCACCTCAGCGTGAAGATTGAGAAACTTGGCTTGGGCGTTTCTTGTGGACAGCTTCCGAAATGCGCATAGGCTGGACGTTGGCCATGGAGAAACACATGGTTGAAATCCGTGCTCACGCAAGCAGCGCCAAGGCACAAGAAAGTCTTTGTTGATCAAAAGGTCTCTTGAACATGGGATGGCCTTGGGGAAAACCACAAAAAGATGAAATGGGAAAAGTTTCCCATGGTGATTTGCGGGCCAGGAATATAGACCAACCCCCACATTTCTCCAGCATATCTCAGCCGCATGGCTCGTCCTCAGGTGCGGATGGGAGTGTGCCAAACCTTCTGAACCCTCCAAACGCTTGGTTCCTGCGGATCTTCTTCTTGGACGGACCAGAACAAGGCTTTGGTTTTGACTGATGTGCCACGATACACATCTCCGGTGCCCCTACTATTGACCCATGTCCCTCCCAAACGGACCATAGATGGATTCTGGACGGAAACCACTCGCACGGCTCAGCGATCAGCCCGCGGCGAGATCCTGAGCCTCCTTCAGTCGAGCCTGGCAGGAGAGTCCATCAGGCTCGTCGGTTAGCAGACGTTACCCTTCTGGTGGGTGTTTCAAACAGAGAAACCCCCCATTTGAGTGGTGCTTCCAAGGAAAACTCGCAGGGCATCGTTGATGTTTTAGCTCCCCTACTTTTCAAAGTCTGCCTGGGAACTCGCAGCCAAGTCAAGCTCATCACCAAGTCCTTCAAATCTTTAGGGCACGGGACTCGATGTGTTTCCTTTTCTTTTTCTGGGGAACCCGCTGGAGGTTGGCTTCAAAGGTAAGCCGCAAGGAAAACAAACAACTGAGCCAAGAGCAGCCCAGAAAACCAGTGACCACCTTGATATCGCGCATTTGGTGCCGATGTGATACTCTGCGGGAATGTATCATAGTGCCACCCCATCACATTGAACCAGAACCTTCACCGCAACCAAACCTTAGCCACAACCAGCTCCACAACCACAATCAACCACCAACCGGTCACCAACCCGTCACCAACCGGTCACCAACCGGTCACCAACTAGCAAAGCCATGCGAACCCGAGCCACGTGCCACATGCCACGTGCCCCCACGGGGCGAGCGAGTCATCGAGCGCGCGCCTCGCCCCGGCGCAGCAGCTCTCGCAGCAGCTCCGCGAGGCGCAGCCGCCAGCGCCTGGGGCCACGAGAAACGCGGCGCGCTCGGTGACCCCGAAAGGGACGTCTGGGGGAGGAATGGTCAGAAGGGCTTTTTGGGGTTGATTCATACGACGCACCCAGATTGTCTTATAAGACGCACCCATGCATTATTCTAGGGGTTGATTCCTTTTCCATTCTTTTCAGCCATGGTTCTTTTCAGCCACCGATCGCCATTTCCCCAATATGTTTGGTGATTTTCTAGAAAGAAGGATCCATGGAAAGAATGGGGAAGTTACTCCAAGAAGGGCCAGGGCCGAGGTGGACCAAGGGGAAACCAAAAGGTCCAAAGGTCGATTCGCTTTGGGCAAGTGAGACATCTGTCTACCCTTTTCACCTTGGCTAGAGAAACCAAAAGGAAACCCATCGGTGGAGAGGCTCATTCATTCAAAGAGAAACCAAAGGGAAACCCATCATAATCAATTTTGGGGCTCCCTAATTTTCAAGACAAACCCACACCATCCCTTTGCTGGCTGAGCAGTGCCATCAACATGCTACCACCATCACTTCCATTACTTTACCACACCTAAAGCACAAGCGTGACTCATGTGCTCAACGAAAGGTCATGCGGTCCTTCCACATACATCTCAACTTCGCAGCTTGACCAAAAAATCGACCCCTGCAACAAGTACCAATGACTTGTGGGCAGAAGCCCTAAACTAAGGAAACCCCAAAAGGCCAAGGCGAAAGAACTTCCTCTGGGCTGCCCTCAGATCCCCTGCTAAAAGTTTAACTTTTAGTGGGTTACGCAGAAACTACCACTAAACCCTAAAAAGCTGAAAGGCCAAGGGGGTGGCTGGGAGCCACCAAGTCCTGTAAAGTCCGGCAAACCCCCCATTCACCCAGCCCCCGTTTTGTTTGAGGCGCACGCTGGAAGACGCACTCCGCGGAAGGGGCGGCCTCCTGCAGCAAGGCCTCCGCCTACCGGGGACGGCCGCAGCTCCATGGCTAAGTCAAACTCTGGGAGTCTGGAGCAGATGGGGCTGTAACGGTGCGAAAACAAGATTCTGCATACTGACACGCAAAGTCACACATCCCCAAATCGCTGTCATTTCTTTCTAGTGAGACTTTTGCTGTAAAATTGATACGTTCATGTAAATCTGCACCATGATAATGTTGACCCTGTCTGACATGTGGGTAAGACATATGACTGGGATGTCTTGGTGAACATCATCCACATGATTGGATTCATTTACCCACCAACCATGTTTGAGGGTACAACAAAGAATCCTCGTGACCTGTGCTTTCATCCAAAGTCAACAGCAATCACAAGCAGGGCCCGTCCTTTGTTTCGATTTTTCCCGTCCCAAAACCCCGCCCAGCCTTTTTGACGCGCGTCAAACCCACTGTTGTTCCTGGGGTGTCCCGCTTGTCCCCAGGCGCAGCCGGGGAGGTCGGGGGGGGGGGGGGGGCCGTGCCTGCAGGGTTTGGAGGCCCAGCGGCCCGGTGAAGGTCGCGGAAAGGTCCAGCCTGCGGCGCGTCCCGGCGCTTCCACCGCGTTTTTTTGGGGTTCTGGGCCATGGGATCCGGTCGCAGGCCATGGGAGGAGAATCCAAGGGAAGCGCAGCCGCGCGGGAGAAAGGGGGCGTCTTGTTGCCTGGGAAATCCACTCAAGCTGGGGAAGAATAAGAAAAGGTGCTGGGGCGGGGCCTTCTGGCCGCAAGTTCCGGGCTCGATGCCAGCCGCTAGGGATGGTCCAACCGGGAACGAGGTGGCAACGCATCAGTAGTGTTGAGAAATAAGCTGTTCAGGACTCAACAGGGGCATGATCCTGCAAGCCGAGTGTGTACACGCTGCTCATGAGGAACATTGGAAGAAAGTTCCACAAGCGAATGAATTGGAAGTGAGTTTGGCATGTTCAGCGATGACCCGGGAGCACTCCCATCCAAATTCATAGCCAAATGAAGTGGTTGATGACTCAGATTCCTTGCTCCGCTACAATATTGCCTGTGTCAACGTTGGCGTTTTGTTCCCCGGTTCGTGACCCAGGCTTCGGCAAGACGCTCATCAGTCCAGCTCAGGTTCTCAGGTCCTTCTCTCTGCTGCATTGCCAGCAGAGAGAAACTCCGCCAAGGGCTTCTAAGGAGCCCAAGAAGTTCAATAGACGCAAAGCAAATTCCGAATCCGAATCGGACAAACCGAATGGCTCGGTCAGTGGCCATGAATGAAAGAAACAGTTGACATACTGGTTTGGTTGCTTGAAGGTGCAGAAAGGGCCCGCCCAAATCGATGCACACAGGAAACCAGCCCAAAGTCAGTTGCAGTTCCCTACGCCAGTCATGCCAAGCACCGGCAGCTTTGGTGCCTAGAAGACCTGTAGATTGATTTCACTTCAAGCACCACTCAACAGCCATCAAAGTGCGGTTCGCTATTTTCGAGACACCCTTCACATGGGTCCCTAGAGGCGCTCCACCAGCCCCCACTGAGCCAAGCGCAGCTTGCTGCCGACTGGGAGGTCGCACTCCAGGTCGATGACCACATCCTGCCAAGGGGGGCCGCTTTGACCTCCAGCCGCTGGGTGACTCTGCCATGGTTTCTTATAGCGTTCGACCGATCAAAAAAGGGACATTGGAAACAAAATCGGGGAGGGGGCTTGCGGCCAGTGCAAAAATACGCTCCGTGGCGCAGCACAAGAAAAGGATGGCGGACAAGACGTTGCTCCCTCTTGTACATGGCTGTCAAGAATCCCCCCTCCCACCGAAGCAAACAAAATGCCGCAATCGCTAAACGACGGCCTGGCCTGACAAGGATCAGACTTGGCAGATTCCTTGCTAGCGGTGGTGAACGGCGGTGGTGTACTTGGGGAGCCTCTCTTTAGCCGTTGTTGATCTGTTCTCCTATGTCCAATCGAAATCATGACATGCTCCAGACCCACAGGTGATCTTCTGCAGATTCAGCTGTAGGATTTCCCAACCGGTCATGTCAACTTGAAAGACGACAATGCCCGTGGCAACAGAATACATACACAAGAGCAATGGTCTGATTCATAGCAACCTTCTCTTGTTGTAACCGCGGCCCTTCCCCATCTACAAAGCCTGTCTCGCTGCTCACTTTTTCATCTTGTCCCAGCGCAAAACAATACACATGGTTGTCGCGGCACCCCACGGCAACACGCAAAACGAGCGCGCTGCACCAGGCCACAGGTGAAGAAAAGACCTCGCCTTCCAGCTGGGCGGAGGTTGAAATGGCACTGCCGTCACGGGCATCTAAGAAGAAGAGCTTCCCCCTTCGAGTCGCTATGCACAGGGCCGGATTCCGTGAGGACTCGACCAGAAACGGCGAGCCATACACCACGTCGCCGATGGAAACTTGCCACCTGATGGCACCATCAGCAAGGTCGATGCATAGCCTTCGCTGCGCCGCACACCGTGCCGGAAACTCACTGAAATCTGTAGGGTTGGTTCAGCCGACACAAACCACTCACAAACTTTGCCACACGGCATTGCCCAGATGGCCATGATGATTGAACATCTCAACTAGAAAGCGCTAAAGATCATCCAGATAGTTGGGCCCGACATGGCGCGACTTGCGATCCCAAGCAGCACTTGCTCTCCGTGCGTGCCCACGAACGCCAAGTTCTCAGCATGGCAAAGACCTCAAGTATTGAAGGTCGGCCCCGCTGCAATTTCTATGATCCAGACCCCTTCCATCCCAAGACCGCTGGTGCCCCACAACACCCCTCACACCAGCCCATCCCACCCCCATCCCTCCCCCCCCCCATCCCTCCCCCCCCCCATCCCGCCCCACCCACCCCATCCCACCTCACTCCCCCCCCCCCACCTCTCAATCCCAGTTGCAGGGCGTGCCGAAGCAGTGCCCCGGCAGCTGCCGCACCCACAAGTCCGTCAGCTCCTGCGTCAGGCGCAGGGGAGAGTGGCGGGTTAGGAGCCCATGTCAAAGCTCGGTGGCCGAGCTTGATTTGTCCTCTCACAAATTGTGGTCCCCGAGGCAGTGCGTATGAGTGTACTATGAGTTCACGAAAGAAACGTTTGACCTGCTGAGGGCCCAGTTTCAGTTTGCGTCTGTTGTGTTGCTTGCCCAAACATGCGAACCACAGCACCTCAAAATCTCACGTGACCAAACCCCGTCTCTGCTCCGCTCAAGTTGCTCAATTAGATGGCTCTCTGACTCAAAGTTGGTGAACCCAGCACTAACCTCAGGATCGCCCCCCCCACGCCTCTAGCTCCACCCGCCGCAGCAGGCCCTCCACCGACAGCACCAGCGCGGCCGCCTGGGCCGCCTCGGACGCCGAAAGCGGCAGCGGCGCCGCGAAGATGGGCGCGGCGAGGCGCCGGGAGCGCTGGTGCCGGGGGCGCTCTGCGAAGTCCTCGTGCCGAATGGATCGGCTGGGAACAGTCAAGGCATGCGAAAACCATCTGGATGAGCTATAATTCAACCTAAGATCAGGGTGGCCTGTGGCAGAAACCTTCATGAGTGAGGACGCATACCACCTTGAGGTCTCTGGTTGTCTCTTTGTATGCGGCCTTGTGAGGTCGCTATTATTGCCCCCAAACAATGTGATCGATTCCCCTGGAGTGCTCGAGTCGGGTCAAAGAAATGGACCACTTGGGAACGTCTGAATCAAGTGGAAGCGCCTGCCCTGGAGCCTCAAATTTCACCTGTCACCTGCAATCCTGCCTCGCCGCGAGGCAGAGACCTCTCCTACTTACAAAATTCCTGTTGGTGTTGTCGTTCGCAGCTTCAAGTGGCATTGAATTACGATACCCTTGCTCGAACCTGAATTCAATTTTAGTAGGTGGCCCAAATCCAGACGTGTGCTGTAGGTGGGCCCAACAGAGATGGCAAAACTCGGCAGTGGCACAGGACGAGAATCGCTCACCGCTCTCAAGTGGTGTGTGGATGCGCAAAACATAACATGAGGTACACTGCCAACATCCGGGCTAAAATGTCAGGACCTTGGCACTGGTCTCGTGGGTGGAACAACATGCCCAGGGCTCTGGGCTGCCAAGTGACACCGCCGGCGAAGTGGAACTTGCTCAACGACTGCCCGGTAGTTGTGCAGACATACCTGGGCATCCACATAATATGCTTGTTGCAACTGCCCAACATAATAAACTTGCACAAGAGAATAACGGCAGGGCGAGGAAGTTTAGCTCCATCTGTGAGAATGGTAGCGGGCACCGAATCGTACCAACCACGCCCGCATTTCCTCTTCTTTGGTGCATTTGCCTATTGTGGGGAGATTTGTTTGTGTGTTTCCCTGAATTGCGGACCATTCCAGGAGGATGGTTTCCTTCTTGGGTTTCCTTTTTGGAGCATCCCAAGAAATCCATATTTTGAGACCTACTCCTTCCTTTCGCTTTGGGTGAAGATTCTCGAGACATAATGTTGACCCCGTTTGAAAAATCCCCAGCTTGTCAAGACGGGGGTGTCCCTGGGTTTGGTGGGCACTGTTGGAGGGGCCAAAACCACCCCCCCTATGAATAGACTGGGGTTGAAAATCATATGAGGTCAACATCAGGGGTCACAACATGTTCGCCATTGCCACCATTGGACTGATTCTTGAGACAACATTAGCCATATATGGGTGTGGCTCGGAATTAACTACGCAGGTTTTGGTCTTAGTTTCCATATAACAAGGTACCATTTTGGGTACATTGAGCCACAGCCATACTGCGGATGAACGAAATCCTGCACCACCTAAGAAACCCGGAAATGTTGATTCTCCTGTGGTGGTGCAGGATTTCGTCCATCCACAGTACGGCTCCCCCGCATTGCAACACCGCGGCGCATGTGCTCCGCCGCCACCAGCACCGGGGCGAAGACGGCCCCGGACGCCGGCACCCGCCAGAGCCGCCGCCCGCTGCGGCAGCACAGGCCCGCCACGCTGCCCCCGTGCGTGCCTGCGACAGGCGGCATTCTGGGGGTCGCACATGGAAAAACACCACAGACGACATCCATGTCGCACCACCTAACCACGGAAAGTAGTTTGAGAAGAAGCGATGTTGAGTGAAACTGTTCCTTCTTGCAACTGCGAACCCTGCTCTCACAAATCAGTCTAGCGCCTGCCCGGTTCCTCACTGTGGTTGCTCAATCATAAGTATCTCTCGCTGCCCGGCAAAAGGGCAAGTGTTACAACCGAGAAGTGGGCTGAACGATTTGGCCCTTGGGTTGAGGAGGCATCGCAAGGACAGCCCTACCTGTCTTGCAGCGGCCTTTGATCAGTGGCACACCTAGGCCCTGCGTCAAGCAGGAAAAAGAGCCGGAAGGTGGAAAAAGAGCTGCATCAGCAGCAAGGAAGAGTGACATATTCAAAATGACCCTCACCCCAAAAGTCCTCTTGGGAACCCCAGCACTTCCGAAGATTTCCCACCAGCGCCTGTGAGCACCACTCGCCCTGCCACCACCGGCGCACTCTTCACCTCCGTGTCCCGGTCCTGGTCCTCTGGCGCCACCAGCTGCGACCAGCGAAGCGCCCCACTCGCCACCGAGACGCAGTGCATCTTCCCGTCGTAGCCTCAAAGAGAGGCGGCCAACGTGCGGCTCGGGCAGGCCAATCCCAAGCCGCAGTTGATTCATGCTTGAATAGATAGGGTTCACCAAGTAACCTGAACGTCCCACAGCCTGTCAAAGACTCTATATGTTTGGATGAAACTGATAGATGTGCCATCATCTCAGAAATGGCTTGAAGGTAAGAAGGGCATCCAGCAAACTCCGACACGAATCCGCCGCAAAACCAGGGTGATCCTTTTGCCACCCTTGCCGCGGAGCGAGTCCGACATATCCCGAACTTCCAGGTAGGGAATCCCGCACTCTTCCAGTAACGTCAACCGATGCGTCCGTTTGCAGGCTGCATCCTCCGGGCCACTCAGCGGTCCCTCTCACGCCGAGGCACCGGCCGCAAAGGCGCACGCCTCCTCCTCCGGCCCCAAACCCCATGCGCAGGCGCCCTCCAGGCGGTCCGTGAGGGTCACACGCCACAGCTCCGTCCCGGTGTCCTCAGTCGGCGCAGAAGCGGAGCTAGGACAAAGGGTGGGCTGATTCGGCAGTTGGGCGGCTGTTGGTTGGGGATGTGAGAATGTGGTTGTTGTGTACAGGTATGGGTTGGACAAAATGCAAGATGCGAATGTGGGTGTGTTCTTTGTGTGTGTGATTCTTGAATTCTGTCTCCAAAAGTAGGCAAGTACGAGAGGGTTGCTCACAAAAAGAGGTGCCTGGATGGGGAGGGAATGCATCAAAAACAAAACAACAAGGACCTGCAAACCACCTCCCGCCAGGCTACCGCATCAAAGCAGGCCAGCTCGTGTGAGTGGGATCCGATCAGCCTCAGGCAACCCACTCGGCCATGGCGAATCAGCACCGGGTGGACCAGACTCCTCTAACTGCTTTGCTTTTTTGTTGGCTGTCCCTCCAAAAATGGACCCCCGACAAAGTGGCGCCCCGGTGCTGACAACCAAATAGGAATCGGAGCAGGCGATGGTCAGTTTGCCATTGATGGTCCCTTCAAACCCATCCAAGAAGGATACCCAATCAAAGGAAGCACCAAAAGCCCATCCAAACTCCTTGAAACACTTGTTTCTGCACGTTTGTATTTAACTGCACTATATAGAAACTAGCATGCCTGCGTATGCCCACCCACCGGGGGACACTCGGAAGCAACGAAAAAGCGTCTTCCTGGTGGTGGTGCCTCTTTTTTGCGAGGGGAACCAGCAAGTTCCGCTTGTCTCGAGTTTTTTCCGGGACTTGCGCAGCCGAAGAGCAGGCGCCAGCGCTCGCCAGGGACCAGCAAAGGAGAGGCGTCCACGCACTGGTGCAGGTCCTGATTCCAGGCCGGGCACCTGCTGAAACATGGCAAGCGAGCCCTCCACATCCAGCGAATCCAAAGCATCCATTCGGCTGCTCCTCATGCGTTTCATTCCTTGTCAACAGCCGTAAATCGTCGTGCTTCCAAAAACGGGGGACCCTAAAAATGATTGCTTGGTGCAACCCTTGTGCTGCTTTAAGGACATCCAAGACAGGTCGCCATTGCTTGGCTTGCAAACACCGCAGCCAGGCGTCTGCACGCCAGCTGAGGCTGACCTCGCTCACTGGCCCCGCAGCCCGGCAGGTGCCGCCCCGGGCAAGCCAGGCGGGCGCCGCGCGCACGTCTGGGCCCGGGCGTGGGCTGGGGCCCCGGCGTGCAGCCTGCGGGAGCGAGCGAAGGGGACGCCGGAAAGAAATTCAGAGCTCCTCTCGTTTGGCCGCTTCCACAACATCGTGGACATTTTGACGGTTTCTTACGTGGCAACCCACATGTCCCTCCAGGGCTGGCAAGTTGGTTGAAAGCTGCGTGCGCTAAAAATCCAACGTTTGCAAGGGGTTCTACCTTTCTGTATGTACGACTTGATGTGTTTACAAAAGTGGTCGCCGACCAGACGGCATGATCAATCAAATCCGAGCAGCCCCTGCTAATCTGACATTCGTCTTCGCAAACAGTAGAGCAAATCGTGTGTTTGATGCGTGGTGATCTTATAGACATGTTTCCGAGGCGGCTCACGATGCTCCTCCCACCATGTCTACTGCCTGGCCAACTCAGCACCGTTGCGCCGGCAAAAGCCAAAGGAGCTGATCGTATTGTCCTAACGATATGTATGTATGTGTGTATATATATATATATATGTGGCCACCCCCCTAGATCCACATTTTATCGCATACATATATACTGTGTCCGCCAACTATGTTGGATAGTGTTTGGAGTGTACGTTCTTTGGGCACCCTTCTTCCGGGTGTTGCAAACAGAAACAAGGGGGAAACCATCCACTCCAAGGTTTCTCACACTTGGAGACAAGACCAAAAACTGTGTCCCCCTAAAACGGGTGGTTCCAAGGGTCAAACTTTACATGCCTATGAGTTCTAGTTGGGAACAGCCGCAACAATGGTGGGTGGACCCCATCACGGATGTCCTCAGCTCCCCAGCTAAAGTTTAACTTTTAGCGGGTTAAATGGAAACTCCCACCAAAACCTAAAAACCCGAAACCTAAGGGGACGGCTGGAAACCACCAGCCATGTGAATTAAGTCCACTAAAGGGCTCCCAACTAAGATTCATACCCTTCTTTCAGGTTTGCCCCATTTTCAAGTTGAAGCCTTGGTGCAGTGCCTTGCCTTCCGGGCCGGAGCTTCAGCTGCCTGAAGTTCGTGGGGTGCCTGAGGCGGGTGCCCCAACGGAAACAGTCTCAATGACAAACAAAATTGCCACTTATGACCACCCCGGTCCAAATGACCACCAGGAAAAACAAAGCAAACAACTCAATATCTCAAAGTTCCCCAAATTTACCACTTATGACAACCGCCCTCTACAAAGCCAACAGGGAAAAGCAAGAAAACGTATTCAATAACGGAAAGCTTCCATGTTTCCTCGCCCGAACCCCCCCCCCCCCGCACCCGCAGCCTCGCCTTGGCGGCAGCCTCGCACAGACGCGCCAGCGCGGCAAAGGACTCTGCAGCGGCCGCCATCACGGCGTCGTAGTCCACGCCCATCTTCTGCCGCAGCCTGGCTCTCGCAAACCCACAGACCCCCCAAAACCGACAAAACCAAACCAGTCAACCAACAAAGCCACTAAGCAACCCAGCGACCGTCCAACCACCCAACCAACCAATCAACCAACCAAGCCAGCGATCGACCGACTGACGGGACGGACCAACTGACAGACCGACCAAACCCATCCCTGTTGCCACTGCCGAGCAGCAAGGCCCAATGCAACAAAATGAATGTGCTACCAAAATGGTTCGCACGCAATAGAGCCGATTCAAGCAAGCAGAATACGTAGGTATCACCGCACCAGCCCATAGTCCTTGCAAGCAGGCATGCCTTACCTGGGCGCATGTAAATGTTGTCTGCACCAAATTTCCCGTCAAGACCAGCGCCACCGTCAAGACGTGTCCGAGAAGTTTGCCACAGGTGTCCCAAGCCCAGTGACGCTGCCCCAAAGCCCAACGCCCCGAAGCCGAGCGGCAGCGACGCGAGCTTCATCACGCCCGCCGAGTCGCCCCCAGCATCCGCGAAGGAGCAGTTCCAGTCCTGGGGAGATAAACAAAACCGAATGGTTCTCGCGCCGCCCAAAAGGAAACTTGCAACTGGGATGGGCGACCAAAATCCGAAACCTCCAAAATGCAAAAAGAAACGACCCTGGCACTCTGGGAATGGCACTTTGAAGTGTTGGCAGAAGATGCTGAAGCAAAGATATATACCTCACTTGAATGGAAAACTGTGCATTTTGGCGGATTGGATACAATAGAACAACAACTTCTTCAAGCAGCGCCTGATTTGACGAAGAACGACAAAGACGGATCTTGGCCACAGGCAAGCGCACACAACACATGGAGAAGCATGTTGAATCCGGCAAGACATCTGGGTCCCAGTGAATGGGTGGATATCTAAGAATTGCATGTACAGCCCTCAAAAAGAACATACAGCAACAGGAGACTGGAATCAAAAATGAATCCAAGCGGCATCCCCCTGCTTCTGGGGGGGGAAACGAAAAACCGACCACAACAGAAACCATCATTCTCCAAGAGGTCAAAAGTTTCTAGGTCCAGGCAAGAACCAACCCAGTACATTTACCCTATGCAACCACTCAACTTTGGCCCTGCGGCATTTCCCAGTTGCCTGCGACCAATGCAAACTCGCGCCTCCACCTTCAGCGGCAGGCAGGCCTGCCAGAGCTCGCGCAGATCCTCCGGGCCAGCTGCCAACGGCAGGTCCGACAGGGTCGCCCCAGGCTCCTCACAAAACGAGGCGCCACGGGGGTGCTCCATTTTTGGGCTTGGTGTGGCACTCTGTTGAGGCGAGAATGCAGCACCTCCAGTGCGGCATGAAAAGTCGTCCAAGGTGATCCAACAGAGGTGCGGAACACAAAGGCTTTAATTCCCTCTTTAATTCCCTTTCACAGTGACCTCTGAGCACCAAGCCCGTTTTGCCGCAGTTGGTGTCTAAGTCGGACCCTGGCTACCTGTTGGTGTGCCTTTGAAAGCCCATTCCCAATCGCTCACGGTCTCAGTTTGGTCAAGTATGGAGAACCATCCACAACCACAATTGATGTACAGTATCCATCCTCTGCACTCCGAATCGTCCAAAAAGCCGATGCTCACCCTGACTTGAAAGAGGAAGTCCAGGGACGAGTGCACATCACTACAGTGGCAGTCAATTCAAACTCACATGGACGGCCTCCACCAACGACCCGCAAAACTGAAGACCAACTCCAAAAAAGAAATCTTGCCCATCAAAACCAAGGCCGATCCACCTGACCCTGCCTGACCCCGCCTGACCCACCTACCCCCCACCCAGGCCTCGGCCAAGTCTCGCGCCGCCCGGCGGTCCACCTTCCCCGCGCCCAGCCGCGGCAGCGCCGCCACGGCGCGCAGCGCCGGCACCGCCGCGCCCGGCAGCTGCTGCCCCAGGCAGCGCCTGCGGTCGTCGTGCGGATGGGTGAGAGGTGGATGAGACATGTGAAGCCGGGGGGGAATTTGGGTGGCCTTGAACGTGGGCAACATCCCGAGTTTTGACAATTTTGTTTGACCGAATTCGAAGTTTTGACGAGTTCCCGATGGTATTCTCTGGCCCCATGGGTTTCCCATTAGCAGTTTGTGCCACCCGCAAATAGGAACTCTGACTGTGATAAGACCAGTCAAAACAAGGGCCCCAAAGCGGCTGGGAAGATTTCCAAGCATATGCACCCATGTGTCACGTGTGTTTGCTTGGCCCTGGCCAAGTCAAAGGCTAAACAGTGGGTACAATCCATTTGCCAACAAAAAGATTGCCACTTCTGAAAGGAATGAATAGCTTCTCACTGGCAGCGTGTGGTTGGTCCGTGCCAGGTGTTTAGGGCTTCTCTCCATTGTCCCTACAAACGCAAAACAACGCTGTCCAACGCTTCCTCTAAGTTCGGTCTAGCTGCTAAACATGATTCCGGTCCGCACCTGGCTGAAACACGTGCACCCCACCAAAAAGTGACTGAAGAACCTATCACAACTTGCTCCACCGGGCCCCCCCCCACGCGCCTCACATCTGCCAGGGCAACCTCCCGCCAGGCCGGCGCCAAAATGACTGCCGCCACCAGCGCGCCCTCGCGGGTAACGACGCACACGGCCTCCGAGAAGACGGGGCCTCGCCGGCGGGGCCGAGGTGTCGTGGGTGGAGTCCCGGAATAAACTTTCGCAGACCATCAATGAAAACACGAAGCGCAAGGAGTGAACAGGAAGAAACCAATCCTTGGTTACATTATACATAGACCAAGGACAATTCCACTGACATCTTTGCTTTCTACATCTTGCAGCAAAGCCATCAATCCGCACCTAGCCAAAGCCGGCCCCACACGACCAGCGGGGGTCTTCCCACACGCCCCCCCGCCTGCGCTTTGGCGCCCCAAGGCCGCCGCCAGCTGCTCCGAGCACAGCGACTCCTCGACGAAGGACAGGGCCACCCGCTGGCCCCGCACCTCGTCGTGCAAACAAATCGCAGGTTACAGCAACCCCCCCCCACCCCCGCTAGAAAGACCTGGAATCGTGGGGTACGGTTGATTCCTGAGTGGTTGCAAGTCAGGAATGAAGAAACTCCACGTAATGTGCATGGTTCTAACGGTTGGTTTAGTGATTTCAGCTACTCAATGGGGGATCCATAGTTGAGCAAGCCCTGGTTGATGAGCGCGGAGGATGTCCTTTTCTTGTGGAGTTCCCCTTTTGCGAAGGGCTCCATTTTTGGACAGTCGCTGGAAAGGACTTGACCTTAGGCACTTCTTTTTACTGGGCTCAAACCCTTCTTTGCCCAGGAGGAACCGAACGTTTGTGATTTGAGCCTCTCATGTCATGACCCTTACAAACAGGCCTGCAAGCCGACCAACACACAAATGCATAGAACCAAAGCCGGCCTCATACCAGCGGACAGAACAAACACACGGCACACACATGCCTTCACCAGCTGGTTGCACCGGCCCAGGATCACCAGGCTCTTTCCGCCCTTCGTCGCCTGCGCGGGGCGGGCAGCGCGGCCCATCCAGAAAGATGCACTTGCGTCTTCTGTGCCCCTACCAGCATGGACAAGAATATGTTCAATAAAACACTAAGCAACTTAAGAGTGCTCTTGGTACCACCATGAAGCCGCGAGTGTTGACCAGGTATAAGGACATCTTGAGTGGAGGAGCTTGGAGAAGTATACCCTAGCGTTCCGCAATCCATGCACGAATTTGAGCTCACCAGAAAGGCATGCAATGTGTTGGGCTCGTGGAGCTCGCAGAACTGGCCCAAAGTCACTGCTGGTTCAAGAAGTCTGGAAACGGGGCGTAAGCCCTAAATAGTATATAAAGAGGAGCTCACAAACCAGACTGCAGGTGCCAAATGCATGAGATGATACGGGATTAAAAATACTTACCTCTAACATGATTGCGCAAAGCCTTGACAATTTCGCACTTTCTTGCAACGGATCATCCCATCATTTAGTTCGTGTCATTAGCATCTTCAACAGTCTCGCCGTGCATTAAACAGCCGAGCCTGGTGCAGCATGCGCGAATGCAGCGACAGAACTTTGGCCTGCAACATTCGACAATGGAGAAGCGCTGGCATCGTGCTCAGAATGGTCGCACGACCAGTCTAGGATCACTTTTAGCCATTTCTCACCAGGAAGATCCTCATTGACCACATGCTTGAACTCCCATTTGTTGGCATGCTTACGTCTTCCATTGCGCACTGCTGCAACTGCGCTGCGGGTTGCTCCAGTATGCACAGCCGCTGCCGATACTGAGTCAAAACACATCCAGCCCGAAAGACCGTCAACCTTGCGGGCAAGCACGGGCTTCCGAGAATTCGGCCGGCTGATTATGGAGTCAGCCCTTTTGTATGCATGCAGAACGTTTTGTGCTGCCGTTGCATACTCCAAGTTTTTAATATGATTGTTTTCTGGATTGCCATCCAGGTGATTCACCTGCAACTCTGCAGTGTATGGTTGTCCTAGGAAGGTGGCTGCAACCAAGCGATGCACCTGAAATGCTTTCAGCTTGGCATCTGCGCGTGCAGGGCAACTCAACCTGAAGTACCCTGCTGGATGAAGACATCCATAAGTGATGCGCCCGGAGGTAGTCATGACTCGGCCATGGCTGCTTACCTGCCAGTTCAATATGGTGCTATCCATGCCAGGGTACCGGGCTGCTTGCCATACCTCTCCGCTCAATGACATTGACCCAGCATACTCAAACTCATAGCCGCCCACATGCGACATTCTTTTGCGACAGCAGTTGCTTATGCTGGACCGAGGCAACCCCAGCACTCGTGCAGCAGCAGTTTGAGAAGCAAACGTCGACCATGGCCCCCCTCTGACAGGCCGGCAACGAACCTGCAGTGCTGATCCTTCATCTCTGCGCCCTCTTGTCACCCAGGCGTGCCTTTGATTTTCAGATGGCGTGACGTACTCCAAGTTGTTGACAGCATTGTTTGCCTTGTCACCGTCAAAGTGGTTGACATGTGTATGAGAGGTGGACGGCGGTGGGCCAAGAAAGGCCCTTGCCACCAAGCGGTGCACCAGGTATTCCTTCCCTTGAATCTTGGCTCTCTTGTATCCGTGGGAATTTGTGCTTCCATGGTGAATGATCCCACGGAGTGTCTTTACCCGACCCAAAGAGCTCACCTCCCAACTTCCAGCATGAACATCAAACAAAAGTCGGACCTGGCCGGCCAAGTGAAGCGAGGAAACCTGTGGCGGGACAAAGGGCCAAAGTCGCAGAAATGGCCCGCAGCGATGCCAGCATCGCATAGCTCTACTTTCCACGCAAATAGAGGCTACATAAAGCAAGATGATCCTCGTCAGGCTAGAATTGAATCAGTCAAAGTTGCTTAGTTGGTTGCTGGTGCTGTGCGAACAGTGTGCGTCAGCGGTTGCAGTCAGCACTTTGGCGGCAACAAACATGGCAAGAACCTGCCTCCCAATGTCCACTTCACTGTCAAAAGCTGCCGACAATGGCAACACTGAGAAAGCCCTGAAAACAAATGACTGAGAAAAAAACACGCCTTCCGTGCTGCATCAACACCCTGATTCATCAGCCAGGACAGGCACTTCAGTGCTGAGGACAGTATCATACACTCTGGACATTATTCCACAAGCCATTCAGCGAGTTAGCAGCGGTGCCGCTCAGGCTATTACAGTAAAGACTTAGATTACGCGTATGCCCCTACCTCCACATATTGACTGATGGCAAGGCATCCGACCTCCGTTCGCTTCACACGTCACCGACATGCAAGCACAAAAAAACTAAGAACATAAAACGCTGAAGGCGAGGCCGCACTAAAAACTCACTGACCTGCTAGTCATGCTGTTGTTACGGTTTCGGCAATGTGAACGACCCATCGTTTCACCTTGAGGCAAACAAAGAAGACTGTCCAAACAAAAAAATAATCTCCACTCATCCCCCAGATCCCCCTACAAGTACAAACCAAAAGCGCAACGGTCAAGGCACATTGACAGATCGACAGATCTCCGAAAAATGCGCATGCAGTCGCTAAGTAGCACATGTCGACCGCTCTCGCTGCTCAAACCCCTATCTTTCATCATGTTCCACATGCGTCACAATTTGACGCCCCCAAACCTCCCGCCACCTGCGACCGCCGCCAAACCTCTGCCTCCACACCACCCCCGCCTCCCGCCTCCCGCCTGCCACCGGCCCAGGTCGAAGCTCCGGAAGGCGCGCTTCGCGCCGCTTCCGCCGCCGAAGGCGGCGGAGGTGGCCTCCAGGTCGCGGAAGTAGCCGCGGCAGAGGCAGGCGCCGGAGATGTAGACCTCCCCCTGGGCGCGCACCGCGAAACGAGTCACCGTACTTTGGATGGGTGGTGGTTTGTAGGAATCTTTGGATATGTGCTGCTGCAGGATTGTTTTAGAGACTTGGGTTAGTGGCACGCAGAAGTGGCGTGCGTTGGTGTGTTGGCATTCAATTCAAGACACTACAATTAATCATCCGGCTGCCCAAACAGCTATGCATCTGTGTCAGCAAAAAACAATCTAGCTTTGGAAAACGGGGCCCGGTTGCTGCATCGCGAATCAACATCCCATTTTGAAACCCAAGAATACACCTGGGGCAAAGAATAGGAGCGCAGGGCTCTTGTCCCAACCTTCGGGCGCAGGTGGACTCGTGATTGGTCTGTGCATGAAGTGACCGATAGCAGCATTTCTCTGCCCAATGGCTCATGAGGCTGGACCACAGACATCGGAATAAACCTACCCACATCTGTCCGACAGTGGTTTTGCTTCTGGATGGAGAAGATGCCTGTGAAGCCTCAAATGTATCCTTTCAGGAGTTAGGAGGAGCTGCACTACCAACTCGACTGCCATTGCCACAATCCGGTGTTTCCGCTGTCGCTCCTGCAGTGTTGAAAGCGGTCAATGTAAAGGCATGTGTTCCCTAGCACGGATGTACAGAAGGCAAACATGCCAGATTCAACACCTCTTTTGAACCACACCAATTCTTGCACTTCCTGCATGTGTTTCTTCCCCCTCCCGCGCCGCCCCCTCCTTTCACCAACCCCATCCCAGGCCTCCTCGCTCTCCTCCGCCCTCACCTCCACCTCCGTGTTGTCGATGGCCCGCCCGCAGCACACCACCGGCAGCCCCGCCTCGTCGTCCCGCGGCAGCTCCGCGCAGGTGGCGTCACCCGCCACCTCCGTGGCGCCGTAGATGTTCAGGATCCTCGCTGCAAACGCCCCCCCTCTCCAACACATCAACCCAGCAATCCATCGGAGAGCAGCGTTGTTTTTTGTTTGATGGTTTAGATTGACTTCGCTTTGCGGATGTCCAAAATACGAGGGTCCATGTTGGGGGCCCGATGCAGCACCACTGTCGGAAGGTGACAAGCTTGTGCAAAACAGAGTGGTAAGCTGTCTTTGTTTTGCAGCTATTCACAATTTGGCCCGTGGATCTGTCTGCCTTGGCTGAGTGTGAGAAAGAGTCACAGAAGAGTTGGCTCTCAAGCCAGGCCACAACGAGTTTGCAAACAACCTATGCAGCTCTGTCCCTGACGCAACTGATGACCGGGCACCGAAAGCAATCGACATAAGTCTCATGGCTAGAAATCAGATGGATGTGCTCTGCCCCAACGCCTGTCTTGAACAATTATCCTCGAAGCGCAATGCCAGTGAAATGTCAGTTTGTCCTCAAGAGACTTGAACACGAGAACGCCTTTTGACAGGCTCTCTTTTGCATCATGAAGTGCAGGTCATTGGCATGCTCAGCAGCTTTGCCGCTTGGTTGCGGGGGTCGAGAGCAGGGATGGGCCAACAATATGTTTAAACATGCTAAACCACCATTGCTTCACAGCCTCTTGCAGGTTCCCTTTAAACCAGCATGCTTATTCAGGACGCAATTGTTGGGTTTCTCACCATCGCAACAGGTGGGCTTTTAGTTGAAGGCAAAATGGACCAATCAAGAACGACATCGCGCCACTGCTCGTGGGGCAGTTGCGTGGCGGCCTCATATTTGAACTCCCAGCGTTTGGGGAAGCTAACTTCACCACGACAAATCTTGGCAATCAGGCTGCCATCAATGCCGGTGTGCACACTTGCAGCTGATACAGACTCGAAGTAGGTCCAGGTGGGGCAACTGCCAAGTTCGCGCGCAAAGACAGCCTTCCATCCCTTAGGCCTGAAAATCTGCCTGTCCGATCGGGCATATGCATGCTGCATGTTTTGCGCTCGCGTGGCGTACTCCAAATTCTCCAAGCGGTTGTTTGATCGCTCGCCGTCCAAGTGGTTTACTTGCAAATCTGCGGTGCGAGGTTGACCCCAGAAAGTCGCAGCGACTAATCTGTGGACCTGAAAGCCGCAGTAAACTCCGTTTGGATTCCGATGTCGCACCACTCGATACCTGGCCCTGTTGAGTGACCCAAGCGTTATGTGCCCAACAGAAGTCTGGACTCGGCCAAAGCTGCTCACCTGCCAGTTTGAGATTGTCTGGGGAATGCCCGGATATCTGGCTGCTTGACACAGCTCGCCAGGCAGTGACGCTGGCTTGGCAAACCCAAACTCATAGCCGTTCACTTGCTGCTGGAGCCCGCGGCAGCATTTGCTCACAGAGCCTACGTGCAGCCCAAGCACACGAGCTGCCTCGGTTTGAGATGGGAAGGTTGACCACTGCACTGCGCCAATAAGCCGACACCGAACCGGTTTTGCCGGGCCTGATTTTCTCCATCTGATTGTTGCGTGAGCGTGCTTGCTATTTTCAGATGGGGTGACATACTCCAAATTATCAGCTCTGTTGTTTGCTGAATCGCCATCTAGGTGGTTCACTTGTGTGTGCTGCAAGGTGGGAGGACTTCCGTGAAAAGCCCTAGCCACCAAGCGGTGAACAAAATACAGCTTGCCCTGAATACGTGCCTTTCTGTAGCCATGAGAGCACATGCTCCCTTCGTGAATAAGACCTCGGAGAGTCTTTACCCGACCCATGGAACTCACTTGCCAAGCGCCGGAGCAGAGTTCTGACTGGAACCTTCTCTGCCACTGTGCCCAAGCTGGCCAGCTAAAGGATGCAGCAAGCGCATGAGGCCGAAGTCGCTCAGGTTGCAAGAAACGATGCCAGCACCCCCCTAGCATCATGATCTTGGGCCAGCGCCTGTGACGCTAACAGCTTGAGCCCTTCAATTCCAGCATGCGAATCCCAAACGGCAGACTCGAACCAAAGGATTGCAAGTTGCTGAGTCATGATGGCGTGCACTGGTGATGTGTTTCTTCAACTGGACAAGCGGACGATTCAGACAAATCAAATAGATGTACATCATCGCCGGGTAGATTCTGTGCTGATTCAACCACCCCGTGAACCCAGGATGTAGGCAAAGCAACAGAGCCCGGCGCGGAGTGCCCTGGCCTGCAAGTCTCTGGCAATTTGCGGCGTGCTTTCTCGAGAAGACTCCTGAGGCTTGGGGTCAAGAGGGATAACGCACACCCCACTTGGACAGCTTTCCCACAGGCATCATCGCAGCTGCTTCGAGCCTCCCGCAACCATTGCCTTTGACAAGAACTCTGCTAATGGTTTTTGCCACACCCTTGCAAAGAGCTTTATATATAATTCTTGCTTTCCAACCCAAGCAGCCGCTTCTTCCAACTCAAGCAAATACCGTTCCACCAGCAGCCCTTCGCTCCTGCTCAGCACCTCCCCGGAGCATGTGAGCAGCTGCACGGACTGCCAGACATCCTCTGCCCTGAGGCGAAGCGCTTTGCGATCCAAGATGCCCCGCAAAACGAGCGGTTGCTTAAAACTGCACATGGGAAGACCAAGTGCTGACAGATTCCTGCCACTGGGTGGAGTGGGTTGCGTGAAATTGCAGCAACCCAAAGGTACCCTTGTATCGACATTGAAATTACAGCACGGCTCAGCAACAAGCAGGCTTGCCTCTTAGCAACCGCAGGATGCGAGCAACTTTATGACCCTGGTTTTGGTATGGGCTTGCAATGTTGCAGCCAAACATCGTGAGCCCTGGGAACATCAGACACGGGCAAGGATATTACCAAGTGCTTGCTTTGTTGCAAAGGTGTGCGTCTTCCTTGAACTATTGGGATCTCAAAAACGGCTCTTGAACACCCCTTGATTGAAAAGTTGATGATTGATGACCTGTGTCCAGCTGGACCTCACGGTGAAAATATGCCGTTCCCTTGATTGGAACTCTACCCTCCTTCCAACAACCACGGAGGCAGACCTTTTGGGGTTTCCCAAAAGAAAAGCTTTCGTCTTCCAACACCCTCTTGTCAGCTTCCAGGATTGTTGGAGGGTCCAAGTGTCAACTTCCACCAAACTCCACTCAAGTTCAGCTTGCACAAGCACCTCCGCCGAGGCGCAACGCGGCGCTGAGCAGCGTGGGCGTCAGCACCAGCCGTGTGGACTCGAAGTCTTGGAGGCAGCGCAGGCCCTGGAGCCCCGCATCCGCCAGCGCCAAGGAAGGGCCTGGCGCACCACCGGCCCCGGGCAAAGCTCCGTGCCTATTTGGCTGTGGGTCAAAACCCAGGAAGCCCCTGGTGAACATCAAACTAGGTGGTACATGGGTGTTCACCCCCCCCAAAATGGAGGCATACGTTATGACCCATGTCCAAGTATCAAGCATCAGGCTGCACTTGGCTCGCATCAACGGGGTCAAAAATCTAGGGAACCGCCAAACTCAAAGCCGTAAATAGGAAATTCCGCCAAAACCATCCGATTCCTTGGGCCCTGGATGCCAGCTCTGCCTCCTTCCGCTAGAAGCGCCCCGAAGATCTCGGCCACGTGGTCCACAAACGTAAGAGGCGTCCGAGCAACGGCCACCTGACGTCAACGCACGCGACATGTCGGTGTTCGACCCAACACTTCGGAGTTAAGTCTTTCAGGGTTTGCTCTGAAGGCCCTGTTCGACGGGATGGATATCGGCTTGCTGGTGAAGGGGACCAAGTGAATCTAGGCTTAAAAAGCTTTCTTGCTCCGTCGGGCTTTCGTCAACTTCTACGATAGCTGAATGAAAAGCAAATATCTAACATGCTGACAACCGTTGGCCCAGGTCGTGGTCCAAGCGCGGCCCTTGTACCTTCCCCCGCGAGTCCATGAGCCAATCGCTCACGCTTATCCCGTTCCCTGTCCATGCGCTACCCCTGCTGGCATGGTGTTGCATTGTGCCGAAGACCTTGTGCCTAATGAAAGGTAAACCAAACGAAACCGTTCACCAACCCATCTACCCTGTGCACCCAACCAAACCACACCAACGTTCTCCCCACAATTTTCCAGATCCCAGGGTTTTGATCCTACGGCTCGGAGCGCCTGCCCCCACCCCCCGCCTCTCCAACGGCCCAGGGGAAGCGCCGCCACTGCCAGCGCAGGCGGTTCAAAGTGGCCGCCTCCGTGCCTTCCACGCCCTCCGGGCGAAGGGCGTAGAACCACCGCGCTTTGAACCACCCGTCTCACAAAACCTACAGGACATTCTACTGGAAATCCCTGATTTTGGTGGAAGTTGGCGAATTTCCTGTAGAAACTCCTGTTGTTGGCTTTTTTATGAACAGGGGATCGTTTGGGCGTGATGCGGTTGAAACAAAAGTGTTACAGAGGTTTCAACTGGTGGCTGGCCCAATGTTGCAGTGTAGAAGGGAGGGGAAGGCAAGAGAGTCGAGTCTGCATCACAGGCAAAACCGTGAATACTGCCGAAACGGGAAAGCATGCCTTGGAGTCCACAAAGCTTGAAGGTTGGAACTCGCAATTACTTGCTCTAAATCAGGGAAGCGGCGGGTTGGGGAAATAGTTGCCAGTATGGTCTCTATGCTCTTCACCATCTTTTGTTCAGCATGTAAATGTATTGTCGTTGATTCAAACATTAAAGTCCAGCTTCTTGCTTCCTCATCAGTCAGGTTACCCGCTTCTTTTCGGAAAGACGTCTTTGGGTCAACCTTTCACTCCACCTTCCAAACACCAAAGACCTCCCGCCCTCGCAACTGCGCCTTGGGTTGTCCAGTGGAGCCCGAGGTGAACAGCACATAGAGCACCCCCGAGCTCTCGGGCGGCGCCCCGCACCCGAGGCTCGGCGCCTCAGGGAAGTCGGCGTCGACGTTGAGGACTGCCTCCGGCCTGCAACATGTGGCGCCAATTTTCAGCTGTGAATCAATATGATGGGCGCTAGAAATCATGATGGGAATGCTGGGATGCTGGAGACTGGATGTTGTGTGCCGGGAATGCTGAACGTTGTGAGAGTGCTGGATGCTCGGCACCGGAGCAGGCACGCTTGCCGAAGTGCTCAGACACACTGGCTTTAACAGCAGCTGATGGCAGAACAACTGGTGTGCCGCTGGGCAGCAAGATTTGGACCGCACAAATCGTGCCAGCCTCCAAGCCGACTGCACTTGCGCGACCAGGTCCGCACTGCAAAGCACAGCCCAGACCTGCCATGAGAGAAGAGTTGAGCGCTTCCTCGATTTCTCTGATGACAAGGTTGCCTTCTGCTGAATCTCATGAACCATAGAATGCTACTCTGGATGGACGATTCCATGGGAAACTAGTGTTTGTTGGCATTAACCGGGGAATCATCAGAAACCAGAGTTTGTTAGCTGCACGTATTATATCTACATATACATATACATATACATAGACATATACAGACATATATATATATATATATGTATATATATATATATACATGTATCTACAGAAACATACTTGTATCTATATGTATAAATATATATATATATATATATATTTATATTATGTGTACATATACATGTGAAGATACACACACACACACACCCTGATTCTTCCTTGGGAGTCCCTGGCTCAGCTCCCCGCCTGCGCCAGGTCTATGAGCGCCGCCAGGCGCGCCTCTGGCGCCGCCAGGCGCCCGGAGGGCGCCTCTGCGCCCAGCGGCGTGTAGGGCACCGCCAGCTGAAGGCACGCCAGCAGAGCCGCCAGCGCCTTTTGCGGTGGGGAAGATGGAGAAGCTGAAGGCTTAGGCTAGGTGGATATGTTGTTTGTTGGTTGGTTGGTTGGTTGGTTGGTTGGTTGGTTGGTTGGTTGGTTGCTTGCTTGCTTGCTTGCTTGCTTGCTTGCTTGCTTGCTTGCTTGCTTGCTTGCTTGCTTGCTTGCTTGCTTGCTTGCTTGGTTGGTTGGTTGGTTGGTTGGTTGGTTGGTTGGTTGGTTGGTTGGTTGGTTAGTTGAGTGGCTGGTTGTTTGGGTATGTGGGTGGTTGGGTGGGTGGTTGGGTGGCTGATGCCTTAGTTAGTTCGTTGGGTAGTTGGTCAGGCGCTTGGTTGGTGTGTGGTGTGTTGGTTGGTTGTGAGGTGGGGAGGAGTAGTCGTGGCAAGCTTCGGAGATAGGCGATGCGGATTGGAGATGTCGGTTGTGATTGTTTGATTGTTTGCTTTGCAGTCATGTCTGGGCAGAATGACAAAGACGGGGCTTGATGATGTCTTTGTTTGTTGCCAGGCAAAGGCCAGCAAATGCAGGCGACGGAACGGCAAAGGCAACCAAACCTGTCCCCACAGATTTCATCAGTCTTCAGATCCCATGTGGCAGCTTCCACATGGCCTGTCTGGGTTCCAAATTTCCTTCCAAATTCGCTGCCGTATTGCTGTCTTGCAGCAAATGGGAGGCTGCATCCTTTCATCAACATCAATCCATGGGCTTGCCTCCTGAGTCGCAATCAAAAGCTACCAAAGAAGTCGACCCAACACCATGCCGCACCTCTGGTTGGGACTCGACTGTCCCAGTCCCTTCATCTAGCCGAAAACACGCTGGTGGGCCGGAAACAAAGTTTCCTGGAGGGCCTGGTGTTTTGATTGTATTCCCGCCTTCGCACCCTCCCCTGGTCCCCCTCCCACCCTGCCAAGGCGCCGAGTCGCCGCCCACCCCGCACAGACCCACAGTACCCTCCGGCTGCGCCGCCGGCGCCAGGGGCGCCAGGCGCCCGGCGAGGCGGGTGGAGCGCTGGAGCAGCTGCTGGAAGCTGGTCCGGCCTTGGTGGGTCATGGCTCTCAGGGCATGAACATAACTGCCAAAAGTGCCAAGCTTCTGAGTGGAACATAGGGTCCCTTTTTGCGGGTACCCTATATATTTGGGCTTGCTTTTAAAGGGTTCCCCCAGTTTGGAACACACACACACACAAAACAAAAACATAGTTTCCCAGAAATGGCAAAGCAACACTCCTTGAATCGGCAGCACGGCTCCCATCATTGAACTGAGCGGCGTGGTGGGGCAACCCGGTAGTCGATGATTTCTGCCACGCCGCCGATCCTGCAAGGTTGCAAGGCTATCCCCCCAAGGCAGCCCCTCATGGGGAGCAGCACACCTTGCCCTGAGATTTCTGCCAAGGATTTACAAATTCCTGTACTCAGCTTTTGTCAGAGTCTTGGTTGAATCTTGGCGGTAGTAGAGATAGAATGTAGACTTCGCCAAACCAGCTCTCTTTTGCAAACTTTAGCCAACCAGATTGGCGCAGCCCGGAAAGGGCCAGGTCACCGCCAATGATGGTGTTCAAAGGATTGCCGACTTGATCCCACCCTGGGTCAACTGAAAATATCCGCCGGCGACCAATTTGAACATCGTCTTGTGGGAACTTAAAGGACCCTCCCAAAGCGTAGAAACCTCCTTGAGGTCGCGGACAAGGACAATTTCCGCATAATTTGGTTGTTACCACCAGTGTGCTCGTTGCAACTGAAGAATCGTCGTGGAACCCCCCTCCCCCTCTCTGACCTTCTCTACTAAAAAGATCACAAGGGAACCCCCGCCCCCCCAAGTCCTCTCCCGCTCGCAGCGGTCCAGGAAGAGCTTCCACATCTCTTCGCCGCATCGCCGGTCGGGCGCGCCAGGCGCGCCAGGCGCGCGCTCCGGCCACACACGTGTAAAGCTTTGAATCCACTGAAAGCTGCCCGGGGGCCCCGCTTGACTTGTGAAAGGGGCTGAACCTCCTGGGATATCGAAGTAGGGAGTCTTTCAGTGGCTAAGTACCAAATCAAACTTGGGCAGCAGACCTGCAGGAACGAATTCCGCCGAAACGACCCACCAGAACATCCTTGCCTGTGGTAGCCATCTGTGATAGAATCCGGCAGTTTGGCTCTTACACCAACATGCTGCCAAAATGCAAATGAACCTGGCCCGTTCTGCTCGAGCCAAACTTCTGGAGACTGTGGCATGGGCCCCGGTGCTCCAGCAACTGCTTGGCCCTGCAAACCTTCTGATGAAACATATTTGGCAGCAAGGATCTGACTGAGACAGCGACTTCCCAACACATCGCCAAGCTTTCCCACCTCCGAAACGACCTCTCTGATATGGACAAATGCGACCAACGGAAATCCCCAAAGCCAAGCTTCTTTGTGGGAAGCTCTCTCATTTGCCTCGCGCTCCTTGATGCCCGCCCCCATGTTCCGTTCCCATCAAGGCACATCTGATTCATCCAGGTCATCCTCCCACGGATTTCTCTCCAGGCCCCTTTCCCAGGCCTTGCTTTGACCCAGCTGCACCGATCCCAGCTCCAAGCACGGCCCCAGCTCGTACCTGGCAGTGCGACCCAAGAAGCGGTGCTGTGGATGCCAACGGGGCGCTTTCTGCTAACATCCCAGCATCCAGCCCGGTCCCACGAGCACACAGACCGCAGCGCCCCAAAGCCGCCACAACGACTCAGCCACCCAAGACGTGTAAGCCCGACAACGAAGAACCGCCCCCCCCCCAAAAAAAAAAAAGAAGTCAGGTGGCCCGAAACCATGATTGACCGAGTCGTAATCAAAGGCAAGTTCTCCAAGCAAAGCCTCCGCGTCAGGTTTCTCTACGAATTTTCGTGAGCAAGCTTCTGCGTGCGAGTTCTCTCAGCAAGCTCCTTGAGCAAGTGATCTGATCCTTTTGCAGCTCGAATCTTCCGGAACCAACAGCAGCAAACAACCCTCCACAAAGGATAAGATTTCTTCTTTTGTGGCAAAATCCCCCGCTTGCACAAAGCCCCGCGGACCAACTAGAACGAAGCCCAACCAAACCAAACAAACCAACCAGCCAACCCACCCACCAAACCACAAACCAAACCAACGAACAAAGGCCGAAAAATCCCAACCACAAGACCAGCCCCACCCCCTCCCACCAAACCGCGCCGGGCGCGCCCCACGCAGCCCTTCAGCGCCACATTCGGCGCCGCGGCCACCGAGAGCCGCAGGTTCCGCCCCGCGGCCGTGACGGCCGCGGCGGTGCAGTTCACCAGCGCGGTGCCCACGAAGCCGGCGTCCGGGATGAAGACGTAGACCTCTGGGCCGGTGGCACCGCGAGGCGCAGGTCCGCGCGGGTGGCGCGGGTGGCGCGGAGTTGAGGTCCGATTGGATGGTTTGGAAGCTGGTGGGTAGGTAGCTGGGTAAGTGTTGCTTTCCACTCAGGAAGTGAGACTTTCAACTCAACTCACTTAGTAAGTAGGTCCCAATCAAGACTATGAAGATTATGACAGAACTAACTCCAAATGTGCCTCACATACACCCAAGGTTAGAACCTACATACTAACTAAGTGGCTTGAACAACCTAATACCCAAGGTTATGACCATAGGTGCCCTTTTTAGTTTAGTTTGATTAAACATAGATGGCACTCGCTTAGATGTGTTTTTCCCATTTACCCGGGTCATCTGTTTTTTCCCCCGAAAAGCTGGGCTAAATTGCTTGTATGCAACAATGGCCTTCCCAAAAAGTATGAAGTCCAGGAACTCAGGCAGTGAGAAGGAGACTAAGAGGGGGGCCCATATGGTTTCCGAAGATTGAGGGGGGAAAGGTCAGATGTTACAAAGGTGGTTTCCCCAAATTGGGGTCTGGAGAAAGACATGGTTGTGAGCGAAGTTTCTTTGGGTTCCTTTGGGTTTCCAGTTGGGATCGAATTGGGGGACCTTGTGGTGGGAAACCATTTACATGAGGATGTCCGTCCACCAACCAATAGTTGTTCATACCCATGTTTCCTACTGTTGAAAGCCAACTCTTAGTGCTTGAAGGGAAACCAAATGGTCAACCCAGGTCTTTGCAGTCCCTAGTTTTCAGAAGCGGGCCTTTTCTGGGGCTAACCTGACTGCCAATTGGTAGGGCACCCGGTGGGGATCAACGTGCATGGGGGTTAGCATCCGCTTGGCGAGAAGGCTATCTCTATTGAATGGCGAAGTTGTAGCCGTAGCCAGTTCATTACCAGTTGTGGGGAGCACATAAGAAGCTTGTTGGCCCAGCAATTTCTAGTTCTGGAGTGGAGTTGAAAGTACTACGTGTGATCCAACATTGACGGCAAGGGAATGGTAGGCGTTGGCTTGGACATCAGTTGCGCTTGTATGGCGTCAACACGTCACGTGCACACGGCACACTTGTAGCCAACCAATCAACCACAAGCAAGCTGGAAAACTGCAGGCCACTTCCACTGCTTCCTGCTTGCAACGGTGGAGCTTCCAAACGTAAGGAGCAGCAGGGTGCGTCGTTTTTTGGGGGCACCCCTTTCTGGGTGGTTTAAAGGGAACCCCAAAAGAAAACAAACCAGTTTGCGGGGCCCCTTAAAAAAGGCACACCCAGCAAGGGGAGACCAACAACCTGTTCCGCCCACCCTCCAAGGTCAGGCCACTCCCCCGGCAGCGGCCGCCAACTGGTCCAGCAGCTCAGAGTCCAGGTCGCTGCCGAAGCCGAAGGTATGCAGCGTGCAGGGCAACCCGTGCTGCTCCTCCCCACGGACGGGACGGGTGGGTTGGGCGACGATTGCATGGCGAATATGGGTGTCTTTTTTTGAGGGGATACCCAACATGGTGGCTTTCCTTTTGGTTTCCCTTCAAAAAACCAACCAAAGGTGTTGCGACCGCCTTGAGGGTCGGGGTGCCAAGTGTTCCTGGAATGTGTGTTTTCTTTTCCGCGGAAACGGCTCCCTGTGTTTGGAGACTTGTGGGTGGTTGGGGATACCCGGTGTCTTGGAGCAAGGCCTAGCCCAAACATCTCGCCACAGCAGCTTCTACCGAAACAAGTCTCCACACGGCAGCTCCCCTCTGCTCTGTGGCCCTTGTAATCGCCAGTGAGAGGCTGATCCGCTGCTAGAAATGCCTTTGTCGATTGGCCTGGGCTGTTAGGCCTGGGCCTTCCAAACCGCGGCTGCCTGAGAGCGACGCCCCAGAAAGAAGAAGCAAAAGCACAAAGCTTACATCCTACGTGCAAAGTGGCCGCTTGTGGCAAGCGCCAACGACGTAATTCCAAAGAAAAGCCAAAGCTATCTACAGCTTCCGCCCAATTCAGCTAAAGTCAAAGGCCCGCCTTATACCTTTGCAGGGCCGCCAAGTGTCCGCCGGTGGGCTCGACGTTGGGCTTTCCTACGCGCCGCGAACTGGGATTCGTGAAGCTTTAGATATAAAGTCTGGGAGGATCGTTACTCCAGGTCCGCAACGTGTCTAACCCTCAGATTCACACCTAAGATTTGGATCAGCACAGTCACACGTTCGATTCTTCGGAGTGACGATGTTCAAACTTCCCAGTTCAGGGGCACCGCAACATGCCGATGCGAGTTCAAAAATGGCAGGGAAAGCAGGCTCACAGAAATGATGATCAAATCAGCCCCATTCTGATGTTTGGTGAATCTTGGCGCTAGCTCCGTTGACCCCTTGTTTCACTCTCTTGCCGTGACAGGTCTTCCCAAACCCCTCTACAAAATGATATTCCACTGTCTCACCAGCTGCCTTTGGAAGTTGAAGGAATACCTTCACTTCCCCCAAAAAGCTTGGCAATCCTTTGGTTCCCGCCCGCCGGCATGGCGACCGCAAGCCCCAAAGCCCCTCGCAGCTCGCTCCATCGGTGAGAAGCAGCGCCGAGCCCAGCGCCCCCGGCCGCGGAGAGCGCCGCAGCAGGTCCAGCGCCGTCTCCAGGCCTTGCCTCGGTCGCGGTCTGTCGGCCGCCTTGAGAAGAAGCGCGGGACGAAGCTCGCCCGGACCAGGCAGGGGCCGTGGGCAAAAAGAAACACGGGTGTGCACCGTGGTTTTGTTGTTTTGGTAGTTGGATCTTAAGTATGGAAGCTTTCGTCCAAAAAATGAAGACCAGTGGAGATTTGGGGAATGCGACCTGGAAGCTATGGGCACACACTGGAGTGTCCACCAAAAAGTGGCGGTGAAATGATGGTACAGCGAGTAGCTGCGGGATTACATCCTAGCTTGCAAACAAACCAACCCATTTCGACAGCGAAATCACACCGCACCATCCTTGTAAGGTCCAGGGAGACAAGGCGCTCAGCCTCCGACTCTCTTTGGAACACGAATTCCCGTCTGGAGCCTGGGCACTTGATGTTGTGGGATACAAAACCCCTCTGAAAGAAGCCGAGCCTATCAGTTGGATCGGGGAAACCCTTCCTAGGGCGTCACTGCCCGGAAGGCCTCAACTCTTTTGACAAACGAGAAATCGAGAATGACCAAATTTGTGCCTTTTGTTGAGGGGAATGGTGGTTGTCCTTTTGGTGTCCCTTCAAAACCTACCAAAAAATGGGTACCCTCAAAAAACAGACACCCCCAAATAACACGAAGTGAAAAGCCGGGCCATTCCAAGACTAGCAGACCTGGCCGGATCGTCGGCTGGGCCTTGCTGTGCACCGAAAACCCCAACTTTAGACCAAACTTTGGGCCTCAGTCTTCTGAAGATGAGCCGCGCGCGCATAGGGCACCTTCCTCGTGTATGCGCTTCCACTCAGACAGAGAGGGAGAGAAAAAAACAACAATGCCTCTTCTAAACTCACATGTCCCCAAAGTCTGGAAACAAACCGTTATTATGTTTGTTCCTCGGACAACGGCACTCCGCCAAGCAACTCGCCTGCAGTGACTCAATGACCGAGCCGCCAAAGGTTGGTTTGGCCATCTGCCCGCAGCTTTTGCCTTGGCAAGTGCCACCCATCCGCATCTCAACTGCGACTGAGTCACTGTGCTTTCTGGATGGGAGCTTTCGGGGGTTTGACATTGGCACCAGTCATAATTAACAATTATTGGAAAAGGTAAACGAAGCCATCATCAAATTACATGGCCTTTCCCGGTGGATCAAAGAGCAACTCTCATGAACATTACTTAGCAGCGGTTTGACTCCGGCTTGCTTTAGTGTCCAGTCCCCTAGTATAGAAAAGCACATAAACATGTGCCTAGTCGTTTCACAAGCCCAAAACACTCTCACCGAGCCACCACCCAATTTCACGAGCATACGTTCTGGGATCGAGCAAAAGGAACCTTTTTCTGGGCCCGGTAGTCTTTGAAGAAACCACAGGCTTCAACCCCCCCCCCCCCCCGCACCCACCAAATGGCTGTGTCCGTCCAGTCTCCCCGAAGAACCTGTCAACTTCGCCGCCCCCCCCCCTCCCTCCTGTTTTCGAGGGACATGGATAAACCAAACACAAATCAACGAGCCGCCAGCGCACCTGCTTCCCTTCCTCTCCTGGGGCCAGCAAGGTTATATCCTCAAGATGACCCCTCGAAATGGTGGCTCAAAGCGAGACACCGCGAAAACGTATTTTGAGAACTCGCTGCTCGAGTAGATCGGCCAAAGCCCGAAACTCCTTGTCTAATCCCAGCCGAGATGGTCTTCCCAAAAAGTCAAACCAGGCCCCATTAACCCGCGACCATCGAAGCCGCTCTGCAAGTGGCAAAGGGACACCACCCACTCCACTTGACTTTACCCCCAGCCCCTCTTACAGTCCAAATCACCCGTCCAAGCCCAGGAACTCAGAGCCTCACCCCAAAAGCGCCCAGGAACTCCGGGCGCCTCCGCCCCTTTCTCCGGCAGGGCGCAGGGCCTCCTCCGCCCGCGCCTTGCCGGGCTCGCTCATGGCGGTGGGCTCCAGGACCACCGCCGCCTGGTCCGAGTAGGTCACGATGCCCAGGGTGTCCTGGCGGCGCCGCACCGCTTTTGAGCCGTTGGTCTCTAGTCTCTCTTCTCCATCGCTTCAGTGAGCCATTGGTCTCCAAGTGAGGTCCACCGGGGGGTGGCAGGAGGTCTCCTCATATGGGGTGGATCCTCCCCGACAAATCTACATTAGGGAGTCTATGCTCGAATCCAGGGAAGTCATCGAAAGTGAGATTGTAAAGACGTGAGGCATTCGGAATCAGATTCCCCAAACATCGGCGTCGGCTTCCTTGAGCTTTCCCCAAACCCGGAAGGACTTTGGAAGACGCACTCTGCGAAGGAGAGCAGAAAGCCGCGCATGCGAAACGGCAGTTGCTTGGAATCAGGGGCCGTGGGTGGCCAATTTGAAGATGGCAACATGCCCAGCACAGCGACAAGCAGGCACAAATACCGCACAGTGTAAGAAGGAGAATGTGGGTTGTTCCATAGACTCACGCCCAGTAAGAAATGACGACCGCCCTCCAGTGAGCAGTGCAGTCCGTCCTCGGCAGACAAGGTGTGGACCACCGAACGGCAGCTGTGCACAACAATGTCCAAGATACTCCTAAGTATTGCGCATCTGACAACCAGTCGCAGCTGAGGGCTCAACGCACAACAGTAAGATACTTGCGTTCAACCAGCGAGCTCACCGGTTTGGGCAAAGCATGCGCATCGTCGACGCTAAGTAAACGAATGACCCTCGTTCACAAACCATGGCCCTTGCAAAAGAGCCTCCGAAACATCTGGGTTTGTCTACGAAGGGAACCCAAAAAGTGGAAAGTCCTCCCTTTTGCTTTTGGCCTCCCAAGAAAAAACAAGCCCACAAAAGGCACGTCCAAGACCACCCCATCCTCACCCCACCCCCCCCCCCCACCCCAGCCTCACCCCATCCCTCCCCCGCCCCCACCCCAACTCCCCAACCCTCAGTCCGAGAGGCAGCTCCGCATTGGCCTCCCGGTCCTTCAAGATGGCGGGCAGCTGCATAGAGCCCGACACATCCTCAGCTGAGACACAGTCCTTAAGGGTACCTCAAACCCCCCCAGCAGATTGGTGTCCGTTTTGCTTCCCCTTTTGTGTTCCCCTTGTGAATATCCGGTTGGCATCGGTTTGAGCCTCTTGTAGTGCGGATCGCTTGGTCTAGAGAAAACCAGCACAGGTTTGATGGTTGAGTGCAGTTTATACATTCATTGAATCCTCTTTGATGTTGGGCATGCGATGCCAAGGCAAGCGGTTTAGTTGTCGGACAGCAGTCATGAAACCCTTTCTGCGGTCAGCCGGTCGGGAAGACGAGCGTGACGGTCCAGCTCGGCTCCTACGTTCTGCTTGCACTCGACGTGGAAATTAAAATGAAGAGCCCTGAACAAATCCTTTCTTGGAGGCCCCTTTCTGGGGTTCCACCTTAACCTTCAAAACAGTATCCAGGCTGTGACAGTGGACTGGGAGTGAGTTGGCTTGGAACCCCATTCAACGCGAGAAGACCCACCTGCAATCCTCCACCCGTGGTTCGAGATCAGGGGCAAAGGGCCCGAGGCGTGCTTTGAACAAGCAGGGAGACATCTTATGTTATCAAACCCTGGCGATGGCTGTGACTTGCGCAAACCCCGCCAGCCACCGGAGGAAGACTTTGGAATCCCGAACTGTACATCATGATGCCGCACCCCCCCCTCCTATACTTGGGGATTGCAGCAGAGCGTCGATGACCAAGCAGAGATCGCTCGGCGCCCGCCGCTCAGCCACCACTTGCAGCGAAACCGCAACCTCACGGAACATGCCATGGTCGAAACTCCGAATCTGTGGACAATGGGCGAAAACTCTTGCCATGATTGTCTAAAATCCGGATAAGGGGTTGCCACAACCGAGTGATTGATGCGCAGTTCTTTGCAAGTTTTGGCTCGCTTGTCCTTTCCGAAATTGTTTCCACATGAAGCATGGTGGGCGCACTGTAGGTGGATGAGCCACGTTCAAATGCGTTGCTTCCCTTATCGACATGGAGGACAGGGACCCCTTTTACCAGGAACCATGGCCACATCCAACACGAGGTCCAAACGCCTCTCTCGGCCCCAAACCTACAGACCAGAAAGGTTCAACCGGCCAAGCCAGGAGGGGTCCAGCCGCGTCTCTCGGCTCCCACCTCTGCGCCAGAGGCCGTGCGGTACGCAGACGCCCGCAGCGCCATCGCGGCGCGGGAGGTTGAAGGGATGGGGGTGGCTGGGTGGCTCAGCGTTGGGAGGGGCTTACCAAACATCCAGCGATTTGGAATGGTTCAGGAAGGGATGCGTGCTGCACATGAGGGCTATTGGAGTAGGGAGTACAGCAAAGGCTGAACATGGCAACTCACTTTCTGGTCTCAAAGCTGCAGCTGTTGGTTCTGCATCACCAGCCCAGCCCAACATATACCGATTGCCGCCGAAACCTCTGCCCCCCCCCCCCCCCTTGCTCATATCTGATCGGCTCCGACTCCTATGCTCGTACATTCCAGGCTCATCTCGAGTAAGCCCAGAGACGTCAAGTGCCAACATTGCAGAAGCCTCGCAGAACCTGTGCGCGTTGTCAGGGGGTTGGTCATTGGTGAGTTCTGTCCCTCGACAGCCACCTTTGTTATTCTGACACCACGTAAAGGTTGGCAAAAGACAACCTTTTTTGGGGGGACTCCTTTGCGCGCGGCACAAATGACACCAGACCCAAAGCCCCCCCCCTTCAAAGGACCATTGGACATGTGTCAAAGGGAACATGCATCCCCTTGCGGTGGCACATGCCCTCACCTGAACAGAGCTAACCATCTGCTCCAGCATTGTTTAACCTGCTACGGTTCAGCTTGACGTTGTGTACAACCCTTCTTCAACTCAGCCACTGGTTCAAGGGCCCTGGCTCTGCCAACAACCGCTTGCCAGTCGCTCCCAGTTTTGTCCAACTGCTACAAAGAGCTCAGCCGAAAGCGATTGGAGCTCCTAAGGGCATGAGGCAGATGCGAGACAAATCGATCCAATGCCAAATATGGCTGTGGCTCAAAAAACCAGTACCAAAATGGAACCCTGGCAAGTGGAAACATGGACTAAAACCTGCGTAACCCCTCCTGTTTAATTTTGAGCCACACCCATATCAATAATCAGCCTCATACTCGAACGGCCGAATTCCTGGTTGCCAAGTGTTCACTTCGCAACCGTTGGAAGCAACAGCGACACTTTCGCACACTTCAGGGGTTATCACACGTCTTGGGCCCCTTTGGCAGCCTGGTGGTGCTCGGGCACCAACTGGTTCAATCCAGATATCGTGAAGTCCAAGTCTGAAACAGGACTACAGGTCTGCGCTTCACGCCTACGATGCATCCGGAGACGCGCAGCAGAGTGGAAAGCTGCTAGAAAAAAAAGAAGAAAAAACAACTCCAGTTGCGGCCCAGCTTTCCTTCCACGGAAAATGAGCCTCACTGAAACATGTGTCCAGCCAAAGCCCACCCCGCTGCGACAGACCGACGGGCGCAGGGGAAAAAGGTTGCCTTGGGCAGCTTTCCCTAGGTGGCCGTCAGCCACACGAGGTTGGACTTGGCTTTGAAGCCGAAGGCCTCGGCGATTTGGGCCAAGGCCAGCGAGACGGAGGTGGAGGTGGAGGGGAGAGAGGGGGGCGGCGGGGTAGCGCCGTTGTTCAGGGGTTTCCGCCCTGTCCTTCTTGGTGGAACTTCCAAAAGTGGTGATCGTTTCAATGGAAACCAGTATATTGAGGAAACTTTGAAAGGGGAATTCCAGTGAGCCCTGGAGGACATGTGTTGCGCTGTTCAGGTTCTACAATCTTTCGGAGCCACGGAGTTGGACCTGAAGGAGAAGTCCTTGCATCAAGTCTTCCGCACGTCGCAAGGCCTCGTTTTTGACATCCCTCATCCTTCCCTTGCCCTCAGGAAGCGGTTCGCTGTCTTTCGAAGTATATCCAAAGAAGCTTCCTTTGAGTTCTCATCGCGTTTCCCAACAGGCACCATCCCAGCAGGTTTGTTTCAAGTGACTACCTGACGCGCAACATGATGGGAAACCCACACACTCTGGTGCCAGAAATGCTGCTCTGGCCGCCCCCAAAACCCCTTCGCGCTGGGAACCGGGCAGTGCCCCAGTGGGTGAGGCACCGGCAGCCTCGGCAAAACGGATCAATCACTGCTCTCGGGCATGCACCATGGGCCAGACAGGGTCCAGTGGTTCCCTTTAGAAGCGGTTGATCGATTTTTGACAAAGCTGAAAGCACAAAGAACCGATCTTCTCACCATGCCTCGAATCTGTCGAACTGGGAAGATGGGTGAGTCCCCTGGTTTGGTGGAAGATTTGGTGAGTTAGCTTTCTATGTCCCTCCCAAATGGACCATAGGCTGCATCTGTTGACTGCGCCTCGTGGTTCGCCCGGGCCCGGGCCAAGATTTTCGGGGTTCCTCTCGCACACCTTGTCCTCAAAGCGGATCCAGCGGCAGCCTCGGGTGGCAGCTGGTGCTCACCCAAAAGCACGGAGGGAGGTGCTGGTTGCCCCATCCAATCCTACTCCTCGGTTGCTTTCTGCTCCCCTGCCAAAAGTGACTAACTTCTAGCGGTTTAATGCGGAAAACCCACTAGTTGGCAAAAAACTAAAGTCCGAACATCCCTTGGCAAGATGCACCTCTGCACTACTGTCTAAGGGCAAAACACCTACCCGTCGTTCTCCCAGGCGGCAGATGTGCTAGGTGAATGTGCCACAGCTGGGTCCAATGCTTTATGTGCTCAGCCGAGCAAAGGCTTGCCACTTGCCTTCGTTTTTCCTGCAGAGCCGGCAAGCAGGCATCAAGCACTGGCAGCTTCAAGCACCACAAGGGCTCTCCACGACCCACCAAAGCAGCCTCACAACCCAACCCTTGAAGATTCACCAAAGCCAATTTTGAAACAAGCTGTCACCAGTCACTGTGTGTGTGTGTGTGTTCTTTTAGAGCAAACAACAAAATGCTCCCATCGTTCCAACGCCTATGCATATGTGTCTTCTTTGTATTTTATTGTGTGTGTGTGTGTTTTCGGGGGGACCTTTCTGTTTGTGGTTTCAAGGAGGTCCAAAAGGAAGACCGAAGCCCATTTTGGGGGTCCCCTAAAAAAGCACGAGCCATGTCACCACGTCCCCCCGGCTTGGCCACCCCACGCTTGGCCACCCGCTCGAAGATCCATGCCTGGCGTCGCTCAGGTTAGTAAACCAATCAAAACCAGTGGAACCCATCTATATTTCTTTCCAAACTAACCAAAAGAAGGACACCTATGACTGGATGTCTCCTTACTCTTGTAGATTTCGCAAGGAGCCTAAGTTTAACCCCAACAGTCAAAATCATGACAGCTCCAGGCCTTGCCAGTGGGGGCTACGGAAGGAGGTTCCCTGGTATCACAGAAGACAGGGGGTCACTGGATTTAGGTCGCAATTTACTGGTGGTGTCAGTTGAAACAGCCACTTTTGGAGGTTCCGGAAAGGGAAATGGAGGAAACCTTGGTTAACCCAACTGATCCTGACCTCGTCAGGTTGGAGCAGCCAGACATAACAAAGGCTCACCCAGGGATCCCTGCCCCCCGTGAGTGGGGGCACCTGGCACTCGGCGATCCCGTCGCAGCCGCCACAGCAGTCCTGCCATCGCCAGGACGTCTCAACCCGAAAAACAACAAACAAACAAACAAACAAACAAACAAACAAACAAACAAACATCTGCAGATTCAATCAACAGTTCCCCTTTTAGGGATGAAACTCTTGAATCAAGTGAGAAAGAAATGGACCGTTTTCTGCGCCTCTGCGGGCACCTCTTACACCCGATCGATGACGCGGGGCCGCGATCCTCCAGGGTGTTGGCTAAGTCCATCTCCAGCTCCCCTGGCGAGCGATCATAGGATACACAGTGGGTGAGCTCGTTGATTTGAAATGGGGAGTTGGGGTGGGCCCTGTACCCTCCCCGAACTAACAACGGACTTGCAGCAAAAAGGCACAGTGCACATGGCACACAAGCTTGCCGTGAAGAGGCGTGCAACGCGCTTTGTTTTGAAGCCAAGTATCGCTCAGGCTTCGTCCCCAAAGAGCGTTGGGCTGAAGATCCCCCGAGGCACACCAGGACTACAGCCACCTCCATTTGAGCTACCATTTGAGTATGTCTGGGGGGTTGCCCTTTCTCTTGCCATGGGTCGCGCCTGTCTTGTCAAAGAGGTGGGTGCCTGCTAGTTGCCAGGGCACACCTCAGTGTCCCAACCAGTGGCTCGTCATGGTGCCCGGCGAGGGAAAAGAGGCGCAAAGGCAAGTCGGACCAGTGGCAAAACCTACAAACCGACGCCCAGCATGGAAAGAACTGGGCTCTCGCGGCATGTGCCTTTTGAATCCTATGACACTCAAAAATAGCAAGTTGAGACCCAAATGACAATGGCAACAATGCCTGGATTCCTCGTCTTGCCAAGAATGGTGGCTCGATGACATGTTTGCAGGCCGTGGTGCATTCCATGCTGTGAATCAATCTGACATGTAAACTCGCAATGCCTTAAACAAACCGCCTCATCTGAATCTGATTGTCATGTGTGAGGCTCTTTGTCACCTCCGGACTCTCTCATTCTCCTCTTGCCAACTGCCGAAAAGTTCTGCTGGCTATCGGAACGCCACTGCCTTTCAGGGGCCCTTAGGCGGCGCCTTCCCGCGAATTTCGAGTCCGGGCCCCACGTCTCTCGGCTCTCGGGCGCCGGGCAGGTGGTGGTGGAGTTCCGCGCCACCCCGCAGGAGGAGGGCGCCGAGACCTGCGCCGGCGCAGGCCACAGCGCGCGGACCAGCACGCCGCTGAGCACCGCCAGCGTCACCGCCACGACGATGCCCCCCTCGAGGCAGAGACTTGGGGAAAAAAAAACGAAAAAGATACTAGCCCCCCCTCTTTCCCCCACGCCCCTAGGAAAGGCTCTTAGAATTCTAGGAGTCTTGAAGGGCTGAGGCAAGAGACACGGTATCTGGCACGAGTCGTGGCAACGTGAGAGCCCACACGCACACACATACAACTATGTGGGTGAATCCAAACTTAGGGGCGCAAAAAACGGGTACCCCGTTGATTTCCCTTGATTAACCGAAAGGGTACTCCTCGTAGGGACACGGCCTCTGTCAGGCCCCACCGGGCCACCGCGCCCGCACAAGGAACCGCCGCCGCCGTAGGGCCTTTGGAACGGAAAGTGGCCAGGGCGGTCAAGGGTCATCAAGACTGTCATATTAAATATGTGTATATAGGGGTTGATCACAAGGTCCTTCACATAGGATGACCATAAACCACGAAAAAGATCATGTGTCCCACATGGGAAAAGTTAATTTGGGGGTCAGTAATTTTGATCAAGCCCCATATGCCAAAGTGAGGGATTCGTTTTGAATTGGAAAAGAAAACTGAAAGGACACAAATCATTTTGGAAGGATCTCCCTAGATCTGAAGCTCCCCTGTGCTACTGTAGGTGTCACGCATGCATAGAAAAGTCATTCAAAAATCGACCTGCAAGACTTTTGTGGCACAATCCTGCCCTTGACCTTTCCCCTTTGGTAGACATGGCTGGATTGATGCAAGTACCAACCATTTTGGGGCTGTTCCCTTCTCAGAAGGGATTCTTGGAAGTGTCTTGGATTTTTGTGTGGCAGGTGTAGGACATGTTGTTCACACGGGGATTAAGGTCAAAGTTCAACCACCAGAAAAACCACAGGTTCTAGTCCTTGGTTCCATTTGCCAAGGCAACCCATTTTGGGTTTACCCTTTTTTGACCCACAGCCACACGGGGATTGAGGTCCCTACGCTGGACTCCGCCGTTCGCCGGCGTGCGCCGTGCGAAGCAAACCCCATTCCTCAGGCCAGCACTGGGCAGCAGCTGCGGGGGAGGCAGGCGCACATGGGCGCCTCAACCTCCTGGCCGACCCCAGCCAGGACCCCCCACCCGTGTCCTTAGTCAACGAATCCCAACAGGGGACCTAAAAAAGCCTTCATCCAAATGAAGGTGTGGAAGGCGTTCGAAATATACTGAGCGGCAACCCAGGATCATAGTTGCCATCACGTATGTGCTCCAGAACCCTGCAGCAGGTTTTTTTTTTTTTTAAACGGTCCAGGATTGCCACCCGACATTCCACATGAATACGCAGTTTTGGCCGATCTTGAAGACAGTTTCAAGCTCGAAATGAGCGGCCGTAGCACTTTCTGTAGGCACGAGCTGCACTCTCTCCTCGCGCTCGCGCCAGGCAGCCGCCTGGGACCTCGGCGGGGCAGGCCACGCTGGACCTGTGTCTTTTTGTTGAGGGTACCCTTTTTGGAGTGGTTTGAAGGGAAAGCCAAAGCTAATCCAAAGGTAATCCAAAGGTAGATCAAAAAACATACCTACATCAAAGGGAAACCAGAGAGAAGCCAATCATTTTGGAGGGAGGTCCCCTTTCTTGAGATAGACCCAAATCCTGGGAGCCAAACCATTGACACCCCGCGTGCGCACTCACCCAGACTGCTTAGACGCTTGGCCGGGCCCCGCGCCGCTTCTTGGCCTGCCACAGGCTCATTCTGCTTGGCCGTGCTGTGATTTTCAATTTTCATGACCACAGCCCACTCCCTTCCACACCTGTATCGTCAATTAGGAGCACCTGCTCATATCAAAACGTGCTTAGTGCACGGCCCATCGCCCCCTCTTTTCTCGGCAAAGTGCTGGCATCGCTCCAGCCCCAGCCAGCGCCACGCTGGCTGGTGACTAAAAACTTGAAGGGCAAGGCCTTTCGGCCAGGAAGAAAATCGCAGAGCATCTTTTGAGCCACTCGCAGCCCCCGAAGCGCGCAATGCAGCTCTTTTCTTGGCACTCCCCCACTGTCGGGACAAGCAACCAATTCGCTTGAACTCATTGCGGGCCATGGAGGTGGAGAAAAGCGCAGTGAAGCGCCCTCACTGCCATGGAAGGGCTGTTGGCACCTCAGGTTTGCCGAGAGCAGGAGAAGCTGATGCGAAGCTAGGAAGCCAAAGGCCAAAGGACCAACCCCCCCGGACAGGATTCTTAAAACCTTGGAAAGAGTTCTTATGAATCTGTCACAAGGCGCAGATCAATCAAAGGTGAGTCGAACATGGGCCAAGTGCCCCACTGGATGTGTGGGCACTCCACTCGCCCTGATCGACTGACGTGAATCTTGACCGCTTCCCTCCGCACCACGCTGGTCTGCTTTGACCTGATATGAGGGCTTTTTCTGCAAAAACAACCGCTTCTCTGCATCTGAAACAGTGCAAGGACCCTGGCCAACGATAGAGAAAAACCGCCCGAGGGCGATTCTTGCTTTGCGCCGCTATTGTCTGCAATCAAAACAGTCAAACCAACGTACTCCTTGTGCCTTGCCGCTGTCTGACACGAACTTAGGACCTATGAGGGTGCTTGCCCTTCCATGGGAAGAAGTTTAAGAAGCGTCTCGAAGTTAGTATACGGAGTAAGATAGTTACTGATCGTTTATTTCTATAACCTACACCATGACTACTTGTGGTTTTCAAGTACCCATAACCGCAACATGATGAGTTTAGCCCTATGCTAGGCCCTCCTTGACATCCCCTTTCCCAACTCCCAGCTCTGCATCTTTTCCCTCGTGTCGCCTTTGCCGCGTGCTGGCGGCAAAGCCTAAATCAATCAGTCGCTCCGCTGGGATTTCCCAGGGCGGGTGTTAGCTTAAAAGCAACGTTAAACACTGGCCGGGTCGGCAAAAAGCCCCACTTCGCGGGGAGGAGGCTTTCACATCCTCCAGCGCTATCAGGCTTCTCAGCCTTTTGGTCTTCTGGGGTCACGGAAAGCAATCTTCTCCGAACAAATTCCATTCCGCATGGCTCCCTTGGCAAAAGCGTATGCTTGGGCGGGATCCTTGGACAGTACGTCACCTCTGGGTTGCTTTCTTGGAGCACCTTGGTCGAGTCCATCCCACTTTTAGAGCTAGCCCTTCTTCAAGCTAACTGGTCAGGCGCGCTTGCCCCACGTTCGGACCAGCGGCACAAAGACATCACGAAAGTCTCGCGTCTCGGGCATGAAAATCACCCAGCCCAGCTTCCAAAGGAAAACCTGGAAGAAACCAGCGTGCCTCATCTCCGAAAACTGGGTCCGCCTCCCCGATGAACCCCCAAACTGGGGCCGCTTTCTGTGGCTCCTGGCTCTCACAAGCAACCGCCAAAAGGGTACCTGAAAGAAATACCCGAAATCCTCATGTGGGAAAATGGATAAGGCTCGCTGACCGTCCCATTCGGACGAGATGGATGCGAGAGCCATCTGCCCCTCAGAGACCCAGACTTTGCGGTCATTGGCCTGGAATCGGGTTGCCCAGCTGATCGTTTGTTCCTGTTGATGGCTTAGTAAAGACACGCTCGGGATGCAGAAGTGAGCTTGAGAAGTGAGTGAGGCATGAATAATAGCAACACGCTGTACGAATGTGTGTGTGTGTGTGGTAATCTGCTTTTGGGTATCCTGTGATGGCAACCAGAGTCAGCAGCCGTTGTGAGGAGCAAATGAAAGGCACGGAGACAGACAAAGGATGCTGTTTGACAATCAATGCTCTGCAAGAATGGGACTGTGCTCACGATACGGCACGATATAGTGACAGACACACAGATAGAACATTGATAAGTTCCAAACGAAGTTAGATCAACTGGTATTGCTAACAGTTAGAACATCGATAAGCTCCAAACGAGGCTAGAACAATTGGTATTGCTAACAGTTAGAACATCGATAAGTTCCAAACGAGGCTAGAACAATTGGTATTGCTATCAGCTAGAACATCATAAACAAAAACAGGCCACTGTTGCAAGTATCCAAGAGCTAGAATGTCAACGCGAGCCCCCTTTTTGTGCCCCGTCACAAGTGGCATTGACATGTGGGGGGGAGGCCAAGCATGCCAGATTTGAAGGACTTGAATTCGTACCAAAGCACCAGGGCCAGATAGAACATAAAATTCTAGTGCTGGCAATGCAAGTCAAGTACTGGCAATAGTATGCTGGCAAAACTAAATGCCAATATCAAGTTAATACCCAGATGAGTCAGTCCATGTCGATGCTCTGCGTCGCTAACATGTCTTCATTTACTGGTTGGCCAGGTCTCCAATGTTCTAGGTGCTATGCTCGAAATGACTTTTCCAAAAACGGGGGGGCACGGTTAATGTTCTGCTCGCCGTGTCCCCCATGATGTTCTAACGATCCGTCTGGTACGAGCGAGGATTCTCTGTGACATGCCCTGTTGCTGATGTGGCATTCCCTTCATGTGTGCCTTCAGCAGATGTTGTGGGCAGACGGCGAAACATACCGATACCGATCAATCTGCTACCCAAATCAGCCAACCCCGTCCGATGTCCTGGCTCACATTCTTACCCAAACCGAAGACAAAATATCGGCTTCGGGCTCATTCCCACCTCCAGCTGCCACAGCTTCCCCCCTCCCTCAGGCACCTCACTGGGCCGCGTTCGCGTTCTCCGGGGGCAAGGAGTTGTTGTGGAAGGAGGCGCTCTGCGTGAGGCGCCGCAGTCGCCGGGGGGAGAAGCCCTTCGGGTTGCAGGAGCCGCGCCTCCCGGGCGTTGGAAGGGACAGGCCCGACGTGCCAGGGGCTTTTTGGTTTGGAGGGGTGAAAAAACGACCGATCCAAACACGCCTCCGCAAGCGGAAGGTCGCAACACCAGGTCACAGGTGCATGCAAGCGAGTTTAACGAAAGTTCTATTGGTGGAAACGCTTGGGTTTGCGATTGTGGTGGGGGTTGGCTCGTGGACTTCGACCGCCAAAATCAACAGTCCCTCTCACAATGGGTTTGACCCGCATAGTAACGAGTCGCAATCAACAATAACAAGATTAATCAGGTAGTCAGGTAGTGTAGGTCTCTTATAGGATTTGGACCCTGAGAATTGCGCTATCTCCCTTTGGTGTCCTTACCAGAAACTGGTGCAGGGAGCCACGGTGTGTCTTCCCCTTCCTCCCCCACCTCAGCCACTCATCCACGTCGGACTGCTCCAGCAGCCCGTTCTTGGTCACGTCCAGCTCGGTGAAGTTGCCCATGATCTGCTTGATCTCGTCCACGGACACCGTGTCGTTCTGGGTCAAGATGAAGCACAGGAACTCGAAGGGCGTAATCTGCTCCCGCAAAGAGTCTTGCGGCCTGGAGTTGTAGCCTCACAGGGTGATTCGCGCAAGGCGCGAATGAAGAAAAACGCAACGGTCTGCCCGAGGCAAATGTGGGACATGAAAGTTAATTAGGAACCCTGTATAGGGATTTGTGTCCACAGGTGTTTGAGGGGTTCCCTTGAAGATTCAGAGCCATATGGCTGGAAACCTCTGGCTGGCTCTGTCGCTCGCTCCCCTGCTACTTGCCTCATCTGCGAAGATCAAGCAACTATTTGGCTGATGCCATGCCACCCTACCTTGACACCTCTGCACATGAATGCTTCCGTTTATGAGCACAAAGGTCAACCCGCTCAAGGCGGTGGTCCCCGTCTCCTGCCTCCCGCCCTCCAGAGCTTGTCCGTGAACTCGATGAGCTGCTCGAACTTCTCGTTGGTGAGCCCGCCCACCACCGCCGGAATGCCAGAGTTCCTGCACCAGTCTCTTCGGAAGCAGGCGAGCACGTCTTGCCCTATAAGTCTTGCAACATGGGGGAACTTGCCCATTGTCCCAAAACGGGCCCAGCAGGCAACGTTTTTGTTTTTGCACCTAAGCCTTTGTCCAGGCAACGAAATCACAATCTCCGACACTGGGCTGTCCTCAGATCCCCTGCTAAAAGTTTAACTTTTAGACTGTTAGTGGCTTCAATGGAAACCCCCCGCACTCAACCTGTAAAAAGCTATTAAAAAAAAGAAGCTGGTCACACCAAGGACAACGACCAACCCTCGCAACCGGACCCCCGCCCCCACGCCTTCCCCCCCCCCCCCACTTCCCACCTGGCGCGGCCGTAGGCGATCTCCACCATCCGCGCCAAGAACAGCGCGAAGAGCGGCACCCCGATCAGCACCACGATGCCGATGACCACCTCGAGCCGTGATCCGAGAACGCCAGCAACGTGCCCGTAATTTTTTGGGAGGTGCCTTTTATTTAGCCTTTGGGTGTTGGCTGAAATTTATGGAAACTCAAGGCAAACCAGCCAGTTTGAGGGTTCCTGTATTTTGAGACAAACCCAGATGCATAGTTGATGGTTCTTGTGGGTTGTTCTTGGTTGTTCAAATACTCAAACAGTCAAGCTAGCTCCACAAAAAAATGTGGCTGCAAGGTGTTGTTCTAATCCCAAAATATGTTTATGGTTATGGTAATAATTAAGCTGGCTTGTGATGTAAGTCCAAGGATGAGAGCCAGAGACCCAGAGCTGTTCCCAGCATGAAATGATGCATGTTGCCAGGTCACCATGAGACAGAGAGTTGCTTGGTGTAAAGAGTGAGGCTATGAATGAGGCTTCTTCATGCGGGTGTGGTTTGCTGCGCCACAGCACCGCCGCGCCCTTGAAAATTGCGAAATGCCCAATTTCCCTGCCTGGCGAAGTTGGGTGCAATCGGTGTTAGTATATTAGTTTCATTCACTCCCTCTAACCCCCGTCCAACCCCTTCCAGCCCCCCTCCAAACCCTCTAACCTCCCCCTTATGACGCCGAGGCAAGGAGCCCGGCTGCCGGGCTCCTTGCCCGGTGTGAGGTCTCCGTACCCGATGGTGGACAAGGTGACCACGGAGAAGTAGAGCGCGTCCACCCAGGTGTGGCACTTCCGGACCATCCTCGGGCCAGGAGCCGTGCCGCATGCGGCCGGGGGGGAGGCAGGAGCTGGTGAGGAGGCCGAATTATGAACCAGAGCAGTCCTATTTGTTGTCAAGGACCTACCGACGAAACAGGGAGATAAAAGGGGTGGAGTGTGTGTTTTCCCGCAAGCCTGGAGGAGAGGGCAAGAAGCAGTGGAGGGGGGATGTTGCTTTTTGTTCTTCGCCTTCAGGTGTACATTGGCATTCTCAGCTGCTTAACCGCAGAGCTAAGACAACTAGGTCACTTGTGGCAAGCTTCTGGAGGTGCAGAGGACCAGTCAAGAACGACTTTGCGCCACTCCTCACCAGGCAAATGCTCGACTGGTGCATACTTGAACTCCCAGCCACTTGTTTGCCTCGCCTTGCCACGGCTAACTCTTGATATCAAAGTAGTGTTGGCTCCAGTGCGTGAGGCTGCCTCCCGCAATGACGCGAACCGGATCCAGTTGGGTGAACCACACATTTCTCGTGCCAGCACCGCCCTGCAGTTGTTTGGCTTTTCAATTTTGCTGCCTGCCTTTCGCATGTATGCATGCAAAGTGTTCTGCGCTGGCGTTGCATACTCCAAGTTACCTATCCTATTGTTGGCTGAATTGCCATCAAGATGGTTGACGTGCATGTCCGGCGTGCTTGGCTGGCCGAGAAAGGTTGCTGCAACCAAGCGATGCACTTGAAGCTTCTGAAGGTGTATTCCCTCGATGGAACAGCAAATTGCGTAATACCCTGCCTTGCTGAGCGAGCCAAATGTTATGTGCCCCGTACCTGTCTGAACTCGGCCACAAGTGCTCGCCGTCCACTTTGGAATGGGCAGATCCAAGCCGGGATACCGGGCTTCTTACCATGCTTCTCCAGTGAGCGGCGCAGGCTCAGTGAACTGAAACTCGTAGCCCCCAGCGGATCGGCTATGTCCTCTACAGCATTGGCTCACCCCAGAGCAGGACACTCCTAGTGTGCGCGCTGCTTCCAATTGGGAAGAAAAAGTGATCCAGGGCTCTGTGCCAACAGGCCGGCATCGAACTGGCCTTGCCCATGCTGCACACCTGTGTGGTGCTGTTGCCAACCAGTGCCTTGCATTTTCTGACGGCGTGACGTACTCCAAATTCTCAGCCACATTGTTGGCAGGGTCTCCGTCTATGTGGTTTACCTGTGTGTGAGCCGTGGAGGGAGGAGGTCCGTGAAATGCCCGTGCGACCAACCTGTGTACAAAGAAATTCTGGCCCTGAATGCCAACTTTTCTGTAGCCATCCGCGTTCAACGAGCCATAGCGCACCATGCCACGGATACTCTTGATCCGACCCAAGGAGCTCACCTCCCAGTCACAGGCATGCAGCTCTGAGCGATACCTGGCCTGGCACTGCGACCACCATGGAGCAGGCAGCAAGTGGGAGCGAACTTGCAAGCAGCGATGCCAACACCTCATACCTTGCAGGTGGGACGTGGAACACCAGGAAAGTCCTGGGCGGCCGCTGCTCGAGCAATAGCAGCAAGGTCGTGTCAAGCGGTACTGCAAAGAAGCCAGGCCCAGCAATTGTTGCTGATCCACCCACCATCATGCAAAGTGCGTGTCATGTTGCTGACGTATCTGCTTCAAAGTAACCTGCTGCGTGGCAAATGAGTGTGGATTGCACAAAACGGGTATTCGGAAAATCAGACACGGGCAAGCTTCCAGTGTCAAACAGGTTCTGATATCAAAACCCTGCAGCAATGGAGTGGAAGTCGGGACATGCCAACCCTTGGACAAAGGCGCTCACGCGCAGGCGCGCCCACACACACTTGATATGAGACGGCAAAACTGACAATGCGCACCACCATGCAGGTACAGGCTGTTTGAAGGTCTCCGGCAGGGCAATGGAGTTTCGGCTTCACACATGCCTGAACATTGTTCGCCTAGATTGGCCTTCCTCTTCAGGGACGCCAACGGCCAATCTGGCTACTGCATGCCAGGACATGAATGAAGGTGGCGTCCGACTCCAAACTCAAAAGGACAGCAGAAACCCCTTAGAAACAGGGGGGCCACACACACACCCCCCGCAGGGGGAAAAAAAACGAAACACCTAAAAGCCGCCTCCATCATGATTCCCGATGGGTAATTTGGACAGTTGGCAGAACTCCTGCCTATGCTTAATTGCTCACGGTCATTTTGACATGTAGCATCACCGTCTAGGCTCAGGTGCATTGGTTCGAGATGGTCGCTTTCTGATGCTGCTCCTTCAACTTTCTGAGACGTTCCAGGCTCCTCCAGCGCTGCGTGACATCCGCGATGGACCGGTTGAGCTTCTTGGCCAGCGATTTGTACGAGTACTTGGACCGGTTGTCCGCTTTCAGGCTGCAAAGCTGCTGGTCATCTTCCTCTGTCCAGGCGCGAGGTGCGAGGTACTGGACGTGCTGGAGGCTCCGGGGAGTGCGTCCTCTCGGAGGATGTAGCACGGCATCGCTTCCGCTTTGCTCTGCGCCGATCGGTCCCACCCTTGTCCATGATGGAGCTGGGAATATTGGCCTTCTTGATGCTCGGCTGACCAACATGGGTGTGCGCCATGGAGCTCTTCGGGCGCGGGTCTATAGCCTCGTTGGCGTCCCCCGTGACGACGCCGTAGGACAACGACTTGGGGTTAACCACTGCGTTGTGCTGGTGGTCCACGTGTAGCTGGAGTGACTGAAAGTCGACTGGTGGTGGAGGGTCGGCCAGATCCTCCGAGTGGACCGAATGCCGAATCCCGTGGCCAGGTGGTTCTACTTCATTGAGTCGTGCATGGTCGTGTGCTCGCGGTCGCGATGAGTCTGCCAACGACAGACCTGGGACATGATGATGCCGCACGCAATCGTGCCCGCCATGAATCCTGCGACTGTGTGCCTCGTCAGCCTGATTCAAGGTCTCCTGGATGAGCTGCATCATATCCGCAGCGTTCTGGGTCATTCGGTGGTGAAGTGCTATCATGCGTCCGAGCATGACGACCGCTTTCCGATGTCGGCGAAAAGGCCCACGTCTTGAACCACCAGACAAGCTCCGTGATGAAGCCAAGAGTCAGGGGCCCCGGAACTCAAACAGAAAAACCGAGCGCAACAGCCCAACCGAGCCAGACCCGGTTTGGAAGAAGACCAAACAGACCAGAACCAACAAGAGCCACACAGCCGAACCTCGAGAAACAACGACAATCAGCACGTAAACATTCTTTCCGGTCGGGATGGCCGGAAGATGAAACAGGTGCTGCAGATCCACTGACTTGTAGCCGGCGGACAAATAGATACTACGAAGCTGATCCAACGCCATCTGTACTGCTCGGGCCGGGTGCGCATACTTCGTAGCGAGGGCTGACCGTGATCTAGCCCCAGAGAGAAGGGTGGAAAGGCTTCCTGCAGTGTGGGGTCCTCTGATCTGCCAGATTTTTGATGGGGTTTTGTAGTAAATCGCACGGTCGCCCACGTCGATGACGAAGCCGAGGAACTCAGAGGAACCCACCTGTTCCAACACGATGGGTGCACCATAAAAGTCAGCATGAAGCAAAGCCTCCAATGGGGCTGCTGGGTGACCGGAAGCCGGAGACGGGAAGATCACAAATCTGTTGTCAACATATCGCTCCAAGAAGATGTTGTGGCTGGCGAACCATTGTCCGCAAATACGCTGCCAAAGAACTTCGTGCCGCGCGACGCAAATGTGACTGAGAACTGGGCTCAGCTGAGAGCCAATCGCTGTTCCGTGGACTTGGCGAAGAATGAGAGTGCCCACCTGGACGTACATGCATTGGAAGCTGGATTTGACTATATCCAGGATGTCCTCCACATAAATGACCCGCGTAGTCGGCGTACGTCCGTAGGATTGCTTACCCGCAAAAACCCGGTTGTAGTGGACCGCCGCCTGAGTTTCCACCGAATAGATGAGACCAGGATGCTCTCGTCGGTGCTCTGCTAATAACTGCTCAACTGCTGCGCACACCTGATCCTGAGGGACACTGTTGAAGAAGCCGACCAAATCGTCATTGTGAAATGCGAGAGTGACTGTATCGTCTGTGTTGTCAAAGTATTGTTTGACGTTCTGCCATATCTTCGGCGTGGGGTGTATCCCCCACGAACACTTCCATGTACTCGCAGCGATCTCGCCGAGAAGGATCGCAACCGCTTTGAAGAGCTGCCGGTGTACCACCTTATGGTAGGCTATAATAGTTCGCCCCGATTTCCATTGCTTCTTACGTTTGAGAAAGACTTTGCCGACCGGGATCGCGGTGGTCTTCTTCCTGTATGCCCATTTGTACTTCTTCTGCAGGTGCCGGGGGATAGCTTCAACAATAAGAGCCTCGGCTTGGTCGGGCTTCAGCGGAGTGGCGGCAAATGTGCCGGACTGAAGCCAGGTGTTGTGGAGGCCTTTGAAGTAGAGTTGGGGGCAGAAGAACATGAGGTGGTGGTTGTCATGATCCTCGTTATGGCACACAAAGTCCTGGCCGAGGTGTCGATGCAGGATGTTCAGCTGGTGCTTGGTGAGAAGTTGATGGGTGGATGCGTGCTGCCGATGTTTCATAAATTCACTGCGCAGGTGCTGCATGAGGGGTGCGTGGAACTGGTCCAAGGGCAGACCATGGTGCAGGCACCATTTTCGTAGGCGTTCATGAACCTCCACTTCGTAGACTGAAAGATCCACATAATATGACGCCAAGGCTGAGGTGTAATGAACATGCTGCGGGGTTCCCGGAAACCGGAACTCATCCAATCCCGCGGCCACATGGCCTTGAACATGAGATAGCCAGGGCTGTCGTTTTAGCCAGGCTACGCACTGACACGATGATGGTCCTGCGGATGTCAGGAGGTAACTGTCCTGAAACGACGAGAAGTTCCACATGACTGTATGAACCCGAGGATGAGGGGTCTCCGCCAACTTCGTGCTGGGTAAGTGAAATGGAAGAGCCCAGTTGCGATGGTCGAGAACAAGCCGACGAAGGACTTCCCTGGTGGACCTCTGATAATGGGGATGGGACAGCCACGGTAATCGT